TGTCAATAATTAACGTGCACGAAGCTGGGAAAAAGTGATCGGTCTATTACTTATTTCTTTCTAGAATCTGAATTTCTTTTTCATCGAAGAACCATGCCATTGGTTATTGAATAATCTTTCCTAAGGTTCCTAAAAGCACCATCATATTTTACCTCAGATTCGCGGTCTCTCCTTGAATCGTGTACATCGAAAAAGGAATAATCAGAAATTAACAGCCTCTGCAGGTCGGCCATCTTGAAACATCTTAAAATCTGTGTCTTAAATTATCTGTAAAAGAAGATAAAAAATCCCCGTCGTCAATACCATTCATCCTTATACCTTTTAATTCTCTTTTCAACTCTCTTTGATTAATAGCAATGCACAACCTACTAACCCCCTTAAGGCGTCCATAGATACCATACGTTAACAGTAGCGCAACCACAGACGTACGAATCGACCAATAGAATTGCAGAAAATTTAATATGAAATGTAGTAGAGAATGACATGATGATTGGCATTTAATTGGTCAGTTCTTCTTGCTTTGCTTACGGTTACTGTTATCCTAGATATCTGAGAAGGCCTTAACGCCGCACGCATGATGCACGCATAACGCGGGTTGACCACGAGTACCACTAGGCAACCTGTTTAACGACATTGGACTTTACGTCCTACGACGTGTACGTCCACTCGCAGTTATTATTCTCTCTCCTGGAGAATCAACCCGACGCACTTTCTCCCTCTCGACCTCGCGTAGGTCTTCCACTCGATCGCCGAGTTGACCTGCAAAAGAAGATCCCACTTATAGGCGATGGAAATTTACCTCCAGGCGGGATCAAAAGGTCGCGGTGTGCCCTCCATCGCTTCAGACGCTACTATGCGGTTTTCCGCTGCAAGCAAATTGAGGAAAGCCTCTCAGATTAAAGTTCCACATTACGGATGTGTCATACAAACTCTTTTTTCCTAGGCGAAGTAGAATCGCAAAGAATCGCGATTTAAATGGGGGGGGCTAAACGAGAGAAAGCAACGAGAGTAGATCCTTTCGCGAAAGAAGAAGGAAAAAAATAAATCTACCTTCTGCTAAAGCCAAACTCGGGTGTAGTTTGGAAAGAGTCGCCTTATCGGATTGCTGTAGAAGTAAGGCGATATTACGGGATGCGATATGCCCTCGGAGGAACGCGCTCGGGACGCTTTCGCGACTCACGGGAGAAGGTGTCTACACGGTGGTCCTGAAACGCAGGATGCTCACTCGGGCAAATCCCTTTAATTTTTTCATACTCTCGTTTCTCCACCTCTTGAGCTTTACACTCCTTGTCAAGGGTCTCATTTTATGTTATATTCGTGTCTTCTTAAATCCATGCTTCCGATTTTCTTTTTTCTTTTTTTTTTATCCCTTCTCTCGTTTTTCCGAGGCCCGCTACGAACGGTAAGCTCCCGCGCACTCGTCTGCGCATGTCGCCACCGTCGCGCCCTCTTGAAAGCGCTTTGCCTCAGGTCTCGTGTCGAAGGCCGCGCCGCCCGCGCCTTCTCGCGGTCTAAAATTAAGTATGCACGACACGGGCACGTATAAACGCTATTGGGGATACGTGAGACGGCGTTTAAATCCCACGTCGCGTGTCCCCGCAAAGGGAGCACGACCGGCTCGTGCGCTTAAAGCCGCCCCATAAAGATCTCGTGCACGCGGGTGTGCGTCAGATATCTAGCGCACGTTACCCTCTATTAGTTCCCGCGGTCCGTGGCTCGTTGGAGGGGGACGGTTTATTGACTGAGAAAATCTCGATCGCGACTAAATAACGACGAGCCTGCCTCTTACGCTAGACAAGAGGTTAACAGACTTTAACGCTGTGGACTTTCTCAAGGTGCCAATTCATTCAGACCCACGCCTAGTAACTTCTAGTAATACTTTTCACCGCGCTCCTCGGCGTCCGAAATGTAGAACGAACCTGAGTTTACAAAATGACACTTGATGAAAGCCCCGTTTCATTACATTTCTTAAATATATAGATCACTGAACGTGAATTTCTTCTGTATTTTCTTTTCTTTTCTTTTTTTTTGTTTTTTACTTTTATAGCAAATGGCGCGGCTACTCTAATATTTCTGTTTATCACCTTGGCATTTAATATACTCGCGCACTGAACCAGCGACACGTGATATTAAAAAAGAAAAAAAAAGAGCGATCACTTTATTCAATATTTATTACTTCGACCACTACCGAATGTTTGAAGAAATTGGAATAATCGTGTATATATAATTCGGAGGTGATAAAAGTCGTACAGATGTTCGATATGATTTTCGCCTCTTTTACGGCTGAATTGATATTACAACACCCCTTTTAGCAGAATTTTTAACGCGCGAATTCATCAAGATCGTGTACTCACGTTACACTCGGTTTGGGTTAAAATTACGATAATGGTTGAATTTATAATTTTACGACAAGCTTATATACTAAAAGTTTATGAATTTTATGAATATTTTTGCCAGTGCAGCTCCGACAATTGTGTCGCCTTAATAATAATTAAAAATAATCAGGTAGTGACATTTCGATGATCCACCGATGACGAATCAACGGGCTCGCCGACTCTGCACATTGATATTTCTCTCTCCCCCTCCTTTTTTTTTCCTTCTTTTCGAACGCGATGACGCCGTGGCATCTTGGTAAAAAAGCACGACTCGTCGGGAATGTAGGACAGATTTTCCTCTATTAATTACCGTCACTGTGTGAATACAGGCGAGAGATCCGGGATATTTACTGCCGCCTCGCGGAAGTTTCACCCGACCGGCAAGAAAGGTCTCTACCATCCTCCCGTTTGCAAAAAGGCAGTGCGCTTTGATTGCAAACAAAAGCACGACGCATAGTGGTCGCAAAGGCGGACATTCCTCGACGCGACGAATATTGCCTCGTGGTTTTTCCTTGCGCCGGTTGTCGGGCAAACCAGATAACCCAGCGGGACTTTTTGCGGTTTTTTTTTTCTCTCACTTCTGCGATAAAAATGAAGGGGGGCAAAAAATGCGTAAACATCGATCCCATGCTCCCGAGGACGTTCCTCGGGTGCGATTCCCTTAACTACGAGACCCGCGGTTGAATGAAATCGGAAATTCTCGAGATGATTTCAGGGTTTTCGACTAGAAGGGAGATAACACGCGACGCATTCCAGAAATACACGTATCTACTTTCTCCCTCTCTTTACCTTCCCGCCTAATTGTGCAATCTGACTTGAACCTCCAAATGAGGAGAACACGAGGTATGCGTCATCGGGCAAACGGAACGTTCCCACGGAACTCGGTTAAGCGGTTAGTGGATCCGTAAAAACATAATCAGCACGGAGCTAGCAAGAGATACGACTGCGCTTGTTCATCGGACCGAAACTAAAGTGCCCGATAATTGGCATAATTGAAAACTGAAACCGGCAAATGTCCGCGCAGAAAACCTACGGAAGTGCCCGGGAGTTATTCCTAAGGCTGGATGTTAAATCGAGATTATTTTCGGTACTGGCTGTCGGGTGGGAAATTGTTATCACCGGGTATCATACTAGCGTACATCGTTAGATATTTTTCAAAGTTTATTTACTGTTACTTTTATATAATATATTAACAATTCAAAGTTATAGGAACGGTTATTAATCGAGTTGTATTTGTACTTGTCTTGCGGTAACTGATTTCACTACTTTAAAAGGCCATCAGTATACCGGTCAAATTGTCTAAACTTGTCCGCAACGGTTGATTTCATACCTTTAGTAGGTCGAACNCTTGGACTCAAGGTCATCAGGACATCGCCCGGCCCGTTTTGAGGAACCTGATGAATAAAAAATCTCTGAATCCGCGTCTTAGGGCGGAAGTTCTAAGAGTATACGGAAATTGGATGGTAGAAATGAAGTTGGAGAATCCACGGGTAAGAGAATACTTTTCATTTGGTCTGTCTAATAACTCAGGGCTTCTTTCTGAGTTTATCAAAATGGCAATACCATCAAAAAGGGTATAGATGAATATTATTTCATCTATGTCAACTGAATTTCTAAGCGCCTTTTATATCACTTTAAGGGGGTGTGGAAGTGGCATCTTAGGGGTCACTCGTTCATGAATCTTTTCTCCGAATTGGGTTTACCAATTTCTTTCAAATTTTACAACAATAATTAAGAGACTCTAAGGTAGGTCCTGAAACTCGGGAAACTTCTTTTGTTTTTAAAATTGTTCAAAATAGCTATAAACAAATCATCGTAAAATTGAAATGTCTTGGGTTTCAGGACCTTCCTTATAGCCTCCATATTCACATTGTCAAACTTGAGACAATTTGGCACCCGCATACAAATGTTTCACTTAAATATACTGTTTATATAAAAACTATCATTAGTGCGTCATAATAAAAGTGCAATGATGTGCATTCGGATTTAGAGCGGACGAAATATCAATTTTCATCGTTGTTTCGGTAATTTATGCAAGGGGCCCGACAAGTTCGGTACTGCGATTAGCAACCCTTTAAATGGTTCAGAATGAAGATTAGTCACTTATAGAATCAAGTGGAGGCCAAAAAGTGAGGAAAATGATAGACCATGAAAGTATTATACTAGCATACATCGTTAGATATTTTTGAAAGTTTATTTGCTGTTACTTTCATATAATATATTAACAATTCAAAGTTATAGGAACGGTTATTAATCGAGTTGTATTTGTACTTGTCTTGCGTTAACTGATTTCACTACTTTAAAAGGCCTTCGGTGCACCGGTCAAATTGTTCTAAATTTGTCAGCAACGGTCGATTTCATAACTTTAGTAGGTTGAACTTGAAAAATAATTTTTTGGTCTTTTTTTGTAAAAGTAAAGTGATTACTACTGCTACTTCAAAAGGTTTATTGTATTTTTTTTTTTTTTTAATTAATAATAAGATAGTGGCAACTAATTCTTTGTAGTAATGTTCGTAGTGTTTCCGGAAGGTGCAGTGACATCAGGCAATGAACTGGTCTTTTTTTTTACACCAAAGGTGTTTTTGTTGATTTTTTTAACCGAACGTTCCTTCTTCTCTTCGGCAGGCTTCGACGATCGACGGCCGCAGGAAAGGAGCGTGCCTCTTCTGCCAGGAATACTTCATGGACCTGTATCTTCTGGCCGAGCTGAAGACCATCTCCTTGAAGGTGACGACCGTCGACATGCAGAAGCCACCGCCAGATTTTCGCACCAATTTCCAGGCGACGCCGCCCCCGATACTGATAGACAACGGCGACGCCATCTTGGAGAACGAGAAGATCGAGCGTCACATCATGAAGAACATTCCCGGTGGTCACAATCTATTCGTTCAGGACAAGGAAGTCGCCACTCTCGTGGAGAATCTCTACAGCGTACGTTCCTAAATAGTACTTTAATCATTATTCAAGATATTAACGTGACATCGAAACTATTCAATTTTGCGCAACGCCGCATGCTTAAGGAAATCCTCCCGTCGAAGCGCTCGAAAAATAGTTTCCATAAATCAATAGAGGAAACCAAACGATGGAAAATAAAAATGATGAAAAGATGACGTAACGCTTCCATTAAATCCCGCAGAAGCTGAAGCTGTTGCTGCTCAACACCAAGGACAAGGATAAGGACCCGAAGTCCTCCTCGCTGATGGCCCATTTGCGGAAGATCGACGAGCACCTCGGCCGCAAGGGGACGCGGTTCCTGACGGGGGACACAATGTGCTGTTTCGATTGCGAGCTCATGCCGAGACTTCAGCACATCAGGGTCGCCGGGAAGTACTTCGCCGACTTCGAGATACCGGGCACCCTGGTCCACCTTTGGCGATACATGCACCACATGTACAGGCTCGACGCTTTCCTGCAGAGCTGCCCCGCGGACCAGGACATCATCAACCACTATAAACTGCAGCAGGTAAAGAAGGCCTCCTGAAATCGAGCGTTCATTGGAAGCGGCTTTCACGCTGACGACTTTTAGCAGCGCGACTATCGCGTACACATTATTTTATATGCAATTCCCTGTTGCTATACGCGTTAACGATTTAGCCGCGCTATCGTGTGCTATAGGGAATTACATACAAAATAATGTGTACGCATTAGTCGCGAAAGTCGCTAGTGAAAGCCGTCTTAAGGTGATATGAAAGTGGCATCTGAAGGGTCAATCGTTTATGAAACATTTTTTATTAACTAGATGTACCGAACCGTTTGAGATTTTACTACGTGGACAGAGAAGTCATGGGTATAAGGACCTTCCTTAGGGCCTCTATATTCGCGTGAAAGTATCAAACGACTCGGTACACCCTGTTAGGAAGAATGTTTCGTAAAGGAGACCCTACAGAGGCCACTTTCGTATCAGCTTAAAAGATTGTCCGTATCAAAAGTGAGAGAAAAGTGAGATCAGTTGACATTGATATCTGGCATCGATGGCTAACGTTTCACTCATCTCCAACAGAGCATGAAGATGAAGAAGCACGAGGAACTGGAGACGCCAACATTCACCACGAGCATCCCCATCGAAGTGAACGACGATTAGGTCGCTTCTAGAACGTCGTTTATCACCTTATCGAACACCGTCAGGAGACGTCGGCGTCGGCGATATCGACGTTTCTCCCGCAAATCGAGAGTAATCCGGAGGGGAGTCTGTCAAAATTCGGACACATTTAGCACGGCATTTGGACGAGCCACGTTCCGTCCCGATCGCCGATCGATCGTTGATCGATCGCATTGACGCCAGGCCCGTGGAAAATTACAATAATGAATAATCGCCCGGCAACAAGGGGCACGCAATCCGATGGAGCCGCAATGACAAGGATTCCCCGATTAACAAGGACCTACGGCGAAAGGCCTATCTGACAATTGACAACAGCTATTCATTTTTTTTTTTTTTATGCCACGAGGCGAGAGAGAACTCTCGAACCCCGTGAATGTCTAGGGGTGGGTTCTGAGATATGTGATTTAACCCTCTCCCCTGGAATTGAATTATTCCAAATTTCTATTTGTTTGGTTTTGTTTGTTCTTTTCCAACAATTCTCGTTAGTTTCCTTCGTTGAGGGAGATTTCAACGAAGGGTCCACCTTGCGATTGATGTCTGCATTTTTTACGGTACGTTCCCGTGAACTCGAGATGCACAGTGCTCCTTCCTCCCTGGAATACCCGTTTTATACTTAGAAATCGATGTTTTCATAATCGGGGAGAATCGAGAGTAGTTATTACGTCGGGTTCGCATTATGTATCGTTCGCCAGGTGGACGTTGGTAATCTTAAAGGGAGGTTCCTGAATGATCTAATACAGGATGAACAAACAATAAGGGGGCGATGAATAACATTCAGGGGGTGCACTTTTTAAATCAATGAACCTTCAAGTACGTAGTCCTCGAAATTGGAACCCCAGGCTTAATGAGAGAAAGCTCCGCAGAATTTGGAAACCTTAACAAACCTTCGTCGCTTTTGACGGTTCGAATTGGGCGTTTGTTTTTTTTTTTTCCTTTCTCTTTCTACACATTTCAGTGATAATTTAATGTGGGAAACAAGCGAAATGGAACGTTTGAAATACATATATGTAGTAGTATTTATGTTACATGTATATAGTATCCGAAATCCGCGGCAGTGGAATTACTGTTACTCGTTTATATCGAATATATAAAGATTGTATATTAGACATCAGGGTACGTATGACTTGAGCCGATTTGGAATAATTATATCGCAATTATAGCGAAGTAGCTATGACGAATATCGAGCACTGTGTTTTCCCTTCCTACCTATTAAATGTAATACATTTAATGACCATCCCGATCTCGAGAATACTTTCGCTCGTCCCTGCTCAAAATTGCAATCTTGTTTCAGCCATAAGTCGAGCGTAGAATAAACGAGAGACCCTTCCAAAGAAAATTTCAATGTTCAATGGAAATCCTTGCAATCAATATCTCTGCATACCCTGACAGGCGTGTCTTGTTAAATGCAATCGATTATCTTCCAACGGTTCCAAGCTCAGGTTTCCAATTTCTGTGTAACGAGGTGGTACTTCCTTTTTATAAAACAATTGTACATGAGCCAGCCTCTTCATTCGCATGATCGGTATCAAGGGAAGAAAATGTGTCGGCCTAAGAGAAAAATCATCCTAAGGCTTTAGCCAAGGTGCGATCGGTCGTACGAATCGTGCTTCGCGCGAATTCTATAATTAGCGGTCTCATTATAAATATATATTTCTCTCGACGTAAACGGCCGAGAGAGAACGAAAGTCAACTAACTTTCCCCATGATAGATCCAAGAATCTTCCGGGGAAATTGTCCGACTGAGATTCCCTCTCGTTTCCGTTTCGATTAGTCGAGTTAACGGCGAACACTGACTACCGCTATTCCGTATTATTAATATTAATAACGATTATCGTATCGCTATACATATTTGGTTTGTACTCATAGGAATTAATATACCAGTGTTTACAGTAATTAGGTGGCTCCTGATTCCGACCTGCCCCGAATCAATTTAACTTGATTCGTCTCATCAAGAGAGACCCTAGTATTTCTTTGAATAGCCTATCTATTATCTGTCAACATTCAGTAACGATTCAAATGTAAAAGCGGAAACTCTCAAAACCCCCGTTCCCTGTTCCGGCGTTTACTTTCGTAAAATGGGTCGCGCCGTCCCTTTAAAAATGGGCGCGCCGCGTTCGAATTTGCCGCCAAGTGCGCGGTCGTCGCTCGCGCAGGTCGGATTCCGCGCGACTCCGGAAAAGAAAGCAAAAACTCCCCCCGTCCCCGAGGTCGCAGGCGGCCGAGAAGGATTCGAAGGAGTTTTAAAATAGCGTAGCCGGTCGCCCCTCTCCGAGGCCGAGGTATCCGTTGCCGTGTCGTCCATTCATAAATAGGGAGCCACCAGCCGAGCCGAACCCCGTGGCCGCCATCTTGACTACTCTAATGCAGCCAGCCTCTTTTATCGGAACTCACGGCCTCGTCCTCGGCGCGGAGAAAATCCTTCCCGAGCCTCCAGGGGAGTCTCGGGAAATTTATGCCACGATTATACGCGGCCGACCGGGCGACTCCCCTCGCGATCGCGCCCCGACCGCGGAATATTCGACTACGAAGACGCGAGGCGCAGTACCCGCGAGCGGCCAGTGCACAGCTGATCAGCGCTCCCGCAGGACGGACGGCGGAGTGTCGCGGCCAGTCGCGCCTCGTCGTTTTTCCGGGGTTATTCGCGAGGCCTGAGATCCGATTAAAGGACTGATCGAGACCTAAAGAAATGCAAGGGCGCGGAGCGTCCTGAGGTGGTCCTTGCCGCGACCGAGGAGCGTTGTCTTCGACTCTAAGATCGACCACTCGGCCCGTCCGTTCTTACCTCTGGACCTTTCAATGGTTGCCGTCCGGTGAGTTTACGCCTACTCTCTCTCTTTCCCTTATCTATCGAACGGCTAGCTAAAAATTCAAGGGGTCCACCATCTCGCCCGTTATTTGTACCCCGGATTTGCCCCCACGGCTCGCATTCAGCCGGGCAGACTTTGATCTCGCGAGTCTCGTGTTTTCGCTCGAGGAAGGCCGTACACCTGGGAACGCGCGGGATGTAGAGGGGACGCCACGGTGTGGGAACCGGCCAACCAATCGGAACGTCCGCTGTGTCACGTGACCGAGGTTCGAAGATTACGCGCCATATTGATCCCGTAGATGGGATTGAGATTTACCTCCGATCGCACCGAAAAGTAAGAACTGCGAAGTTCGATGATCGCGCGCCATATTGGTTCCGTATATGGGTTTAAGGTTTACCTCCGGTTGCACCTAAAAATAAGAACTCGACGCAGGGTAAATATTTGACATTGATAGCGAAAATCGGTACACCAATCGTTACCTTTCGACCAACATAGTACCACGTGACGTCGATTTGAATTTCGCGCGCGGGAACGTCTCTGTCTTCCTTGGATGCGTTAGTACACGCGAAGAATACCAGGGTGAGAGGCACTGAATTATTTGCTTATCGACGTAAACGCGGATACTGCGAACGTGTATACACACCCCGACGACAAATCCGCGGGCATAATACGAATATATATCTGTTGCCGGCGAGTCGTAACTTTATTCGACCTGTTCGCCGAGGCGAAAGCCTCTCGTTTCCCCGACTCGCTCATCGTCAAGCTAATCCGCGGTAATTGAAGCGTCCGGGAAACGTAAATTTGTCAAGGCAGGCATTCGCCTCTCGCCGAGCACTTCCGAGAAGGACGCGTCGCCCTTCTTCGAGGATAAGGAAAAAGATAACGGTTATTATCGGAGGTGAATAAAAGACGTCACGAATAACGGGAAAATTGTTGGACCATCGGGTATATGCGTCAAGCGCTGTGTCGTAAGCCAGTAGTAAACATTGTCTTCGGGCGTTGCGAGAACGACGGGGTAAATCTCAACAGGGATCTCTTCGGTTTCTCGCGTCTGTCGACGGTGACGCGCAACCTGGCATCGCCCGGGGAATTTAGATCTCGAAATTGCTACATCTTCGTTCCACGTCATAGGAAACTGGCGACTTTGCGGTTCTATCCGAGCGGTTCGCCCATTATCTTTCCGGGAGGGACCGTTTTTCGCGAAAGCATGGGGGACTCCCATAGTTCGGCGACGCCGCCGCCAGGTGGCCAATGGCGGACGGGTTTGATATAAAGGCGAGTTCGATTCGCGGCCTCTGCCGGCTCCGCCGACATGGATCCGCGCCAGCAGTGGATTCCTCGATTCTTTTATTTTATTTTCATGCGTCGATCGGCCGGAAGTCGACGAGACGCGTCCAGGAGCGTCGCCATACGCCGTCGAATTCTCGAGGTGGGCCGAATGGCCGCCGAAGGCACGCCTCTGATCTGGCTCCGGTCGTTTAGTCCCGAATAGGAAAGAACAAAAACGATCCTTATAACGAACGGCCCTCAACGAGAATACCCTTTTGAAATGTGAGATATGTGTCGAAGGGAACTGAACGGAATTTTGGGAGAAGAGAGGAATATCTTTAAATCTGGGAATGTTTAACGCGCGTGTCCTCTGCGTGTGCAGAGGAGGTTAGAAAGAGAGGAATCATCCGTATCTGAAATCTTTTTTTGACAAGTCCATTGGACACGCGCATTAAACATTTTTTTTGGTAGATGAAGTATAAAGGCCTTCACGGATGCCTCAACAGTAAAGGCCTGTTCACCCAGCGGGTTTTTGAATATGCGTTCATGCATTGGCACAGATATATTGCGTTCGCAAAGAAACGCGCATTTCGCTCATAAAAACAAAAAATCGCTCGCTTGCCGGTGAACGCGTATAATTGCGCCATTACACGAGCAAACGTAAATTCGAAAACGCGCTATGAGAACGGATCCTAACCGTAAGTACGGCTGCAGGAATTGGCCAGTTAAATTGGTAAAAATAGGACGGCATTTTGAAAAATTCTCCACTTTCAATAGTCAATTTTTATTATTATGCGGCTTTCCGCATAATGCAAACTTATAACTTCCATATTTTCTACAATTGCTTAGGAATAACTTCCGGGATATCTTTAATCTCGCTCCCTTCTTTCATCCTCACCATTTTTATATGGTCCACGAACCTCGCCAGAGAAAACGAATGTTTTCAAGGACCAGAAAGAGGGTGGGAGTTTCTCGTCGAGTCTTTCCGACTAATGTCCGACTTTCTCCGTAGGCGCGCCACCGGGGCTCGTTAAAGCCAAACGACGGGCAATTTGGCCGCGCATCACTCGGACTTCGGGGTTAATTTAACGAATTGGCTCGGCTAGGCGGACCGGGAAAGCCTTTGAGGAGTCTTAGGAGGAAGTGGAAGCAAGTCCGGCCGGCGGTGTGTACTTGGCGCGTGGCGCTCGCCGAGTGCCGGCTAATTATGTGCCACTCGTAGGTGGCACGCGGCACAGGTGTCCGTCCAAAGCCGCACATCCCGTTCTCTCTGCCAACTCGGGGCCCCTCTCCCTCTCCCTTGCGCGCATTCCCTCCCGCGTCGCTCCGTCTCGCTCCCTCCGCTCTCCGTGCCCGACCCTAGTCTTGGCTTTGGCGGGACGAGCGTAGAACGTAGCGGGCTTCCTCCTGAAAAATGGGTCACAGCCGGGTTTAGAGACGCGGAGGAGGCGAATACTTTCCGGGAAACAGGGAAAACTGAGGGAACCGAGTAAACTGCCGAATAATCCCCGAAATAATTGCCGATGGAAGGCAGCTCCACCAAACCCTTTTTCGAGGGCTCCATAGAACGGCTCTCCCTATCTTGAAATCCTTATCGGAACTCTACCCTGATAATGAGCGAGAGAAAAAAAAAGAGAGATAAATCGGTGGGTGGACGTGAAATTTCTACGCTAAGAGAAACTGTTTACATATTATTGACCGTTAATAAATAATTCATTGAAACCCTAGGTTCAAATTGAATGGAACATTTTATCCGAAGATTACGTAACTTCTGTAACCGTTTTCAATGTCCGAAGCCTACTTTGTAGATAGATTTTTCATCGGGAAATTATTCCAGTTCGTTATAGAATGACCAGCACTTGACTCGCAACGCCGATTATTCCTGTATTATCAATATCGATGAAGCGATGGAATCTCTTTGGCGAGAGACATTTAATATGACGGCAATTCATTTCGCGTGGAAAGTGGATTTTTCACCCGGGGTAGTTCTTGTTTGTTAGAGGAGAGGCTTTAGGAGAGAAGCACTCGATTTGTTAGACAGATCTGTACTGTAAATACTGGACTACGGTCGCGCGAGATTAATTCGAGAGGCTACGCTGTCTCGGTGCGAATTATTAATTGGAACACCTCAGGCACGTCAAACACGTGATAAAGGGACGAGTCGTGTTAACGTTCCCGGAGACGGATGAGGGAGAGTAATCGGCAATAAATAAACGATCACGACAGGTAGGCCCTGCCACGACGATGGGGGCCCACGATGGGGGAGTGCCACTGCTCTAACATCGCCATCATGCAGCTCTTCCACGAGTTGAAGCAACAATTCCCTGCACTGCCCGACCACGTTGTGTCTCAGTGCATAGCGCAGGTACTCTTACCTCGCCCAGACCCTGGTTTCATGATTTATGATGCATCTCCCATAACATGGCGTCTGAATTTGGTTTTGACCTAACATGAATTTGCCTTGTGGCTTGTCGTTGATGTTAGTGGGTGAACGTCCGCTCCAAACCCGACTGCCGTGTAAACGATTCCTCAAATCGTGAAACGTTTCTTACAAAAGTTGTTCCCCACAGTGAGCCCTATGAGTTTCGTCCTAAGGTATTTCCCCGTATCGCGACTCCTTCCCGAGATAAATCCCAATTTTCTTCCGCGTAACTCCCCTGCATGTCCTGTGTGTGTGCGTCGTGGACCATTCGTCCGAAACTCTGCACGCGAGTCTAACCCCGGAATTAGATACTTTCCGAATGATTCCGTAGAGATTCCCGGGACGGTGCACCGGAGAAACTAACAAAAAAGTGTGAGGAAAGAAAGGAAAGCCAATACAGTGGATGTAGAAAATCGTTGTTGGTGGGTGTACTTTGCTGGACGTGAATGCCTTTCCGTCGTACATTGGCGACGCCATATCTACGGAGAAGGTATTCACAACCACCTGTACAGTGTATACCGCATGTATAATGTGTATATTGTGTACTGTGGCGGACACGGATATCTTCCTATTATGCATTAGCAACGCCAAACAGAAAAGGACCTCATGGTCAGCGTTGTACAGGGTGTACAGTCATATTCGCAAGGAAAACATTTCATGTTAACCTCCGTACAGTGTGTATACAGTTTGTAAGGTAGTCTGATATTTCCCAGGAAAAAACCAACGCATTATGTGGCATATTTACAGACATGTCATGTCGAGTATACAGTCTGTACAGTAGCGAACACGACACACCATATCCACCGAGAAGGTATTAACGCGTGCCACTGTACAGGATGTACAGTGCGCGTAGTGACGGACACGAGTATCTTCCCTGCGGATATAGGGTAGCCAATGCATTATAGGAAGATCGTATCCACCAGGGTACAGTAGGCCTAAAAAATGGTGTCCTCGGAGGCCGTCCGACGAAATGCATTCCACGCAGACGGGTCCGTGTTGCAGAACAGCCACGACCGAGAGATATGTGCACGGAGCTTGCGAGCGACCCAGGACTCGAGACCGTCCCCGGGGGCCTTCCCGCCCCCGCCTCCACCCCCGAGCCCGAGCGCGAACCACGGCATGTCCTCAGTCCGGCCCCACCGACCGGCGTCCTTGGACATAGGTGTAGCCCGAAGGTGCCCCGCGGCGGCGCCCCTGCCTACGGCCAACCCTCGAGTGCCCCTAACCTTGGCGCCCTCCTCGGCGCCTGCCTCCTGCCCTGCAAGGGGCTTCTTCGACGACCTCACCGGTCCCGACTCGACCTCGACGTGTGGCAACGCCGGCTTCGAGCTCAACGTCAACGTCGCCTGCAGTCCGGCCGGCAATCGCGGTACGACCTCAACTTGTATACGTGTGCGCATGTCCTTTTACCACGATCCAACGCAGTGCACCGTTGAAAGAAAAAAAAAAAAGGGAATAAGAACCAAAAGTGCAGTGATTTTACAAAAATTATTACACGCTCGTACAGACACGGTCTACCGATTTCATAACGTTCTATACCTATATACTTTATAGACATACGTTATATATTTAGTATACCAGTGTATTAATTTACCTAGGTCATGGCACGATGTTAAATCATTACTAAATTGTACACTTATTCAGAGATTTATAATAAGCGTACGCTAATTCGCCCGTAAGACGGCGGATTTATAATTTGATTACCGTGTACTAAAGGCATGGACATTTTGTGAACGCTTTTAACGGGGTAGATAAACCTAGGCCGAGGGGATTTTGGCCTGGGAGGTAAGGGGCGATAAGGTTAATAGCTGGGTATCCATTTTCCAGCAGATTTCCGAACGGTCCCCGGCCCGGGGGCCTGTAAACGAAGCGACCTGAAGGTGGAGCCGCGTCCCCACTACGCTGACCCCCACCAGGCGGCCGCCAGTGGTTCTCCAAGCGGGGCCCAGGTGGACCAGGCCCGCAGCTACACCTCCGTCAGCCTGACCCTGAGGCCGCCGTCCTCGGAGCCGCAGCCGCCCATCGACATCCGGTCCCAGGGCTCCAGCCTGACCTACTCGACCTCCTCTCTAGATCCCAGGGGCTTCCAAAGTCGCCTGCAAATCAGTATTGGCCCCGGGAACGTCGGCAGCGTGGCGGCCGCGAGGATCAGGCCCCCCTTGGGCCCCGTCAGGCCCAACAGCCTCGTGCCGCTGCCCGCTCAGGCCGCTCCCCAAAAACCTCCAGGTATATGAGCATGGTCATAGAACTAGAAGGGACAAAGCATCTTCTCGCGGGGTTCAAGCCGAGGGGGAGTGGTCGGCCATATTGGCACGTTCAAGTGTCGAACATGACGGCGTCAAACAAAGTGCTAATTTAAAGGTGACAAATTGAAGATTTTCAATTTTGTTCTCTAAAAACGATTAATTTCCCGTGTGGTACGTTCTTGCAAGGAAACGGCTGGGAAGGCGATGAAAAGGAAGCAAGGTGTACCTGTAGTTTCATTTCATGCGTAACTTGAAAAATTCGTCCCTTTTGAGATTTAGCAACATTATTTTCCATTCTGAAATAGTAACGATGAAAGAACGATGATGTGCGTTAGAATATAGTTGTTTATTTTATTCATTTTACTCTCAATGTGAGAAGTGGATAGACCCGCGATCCGGTACTTCACCCACCGTGTCTAGGTTACCAGGTCATGCCCAGACTCCCCCCTCTAGTTCTGTGTCCATGTATATCAGTCATTCATCCGAAAATCATCCATCCCTTTGGATGGATGCCGTTGGTCGTCCTAGAAAATGTTATCTTAAATTTCAGTCAATATGGTAATTCTTTCCCGACCAGGTCTACCAGCGGGTCCTCCTAGCCAGCTGCCGAGACCGACGACGACCATGAGCGCCCCGACGACTCCTTCGGTCTCTTCGGCTGGAATCCCACCTCCTAGCAGCCTCCCGACGACACCTTCGCAACCCTCTCAGCCGCCCAACCCGAATTCGCCCACGTCGAACCAGGAAGCCCAGATCAGCGCCGAGCTGGCTCAACTGCCGTTAAACCAAGGTAACTGGGTTAGAAAGTGCTGGAAACAGGGATTCGAGGTTTCACTCCGTTATTCGGTACTATCACGTAACAAGATAAGGAGACGTAACGCCTGTGGTCGATTTTATAAAAAGTGGCCCCAGAATCGGGATTCAGGGCGCTGACCTAACGATGCGGGAAATGTAGAATTTGCATGTAGGGATTTATTTGCGATACCGCGTGACCGAAATCTTTTCTATCGATGTAAATTACCTAAAACGCTTTTAAACCCTTCCTCTACAATTTAAGTCTCGATGCCGCATGCCATAATCAACAGCCCCTCGTTGCCGTACCGTATTGTTCACGATGAGTCTATCTACAGACCACGAGCCTGACACGTGTTGTTTACATATGACCCTATCGACGTACCACAGCTCTCACACGACATTCTAGGCGAAAGTGTTAATTTTATGATTAAGGTACGCGACGTGCAATGTTAATCCACGCATATTATACGGAATTTGATGGCTTTAATGTGATAAAAACCAGCAGTCGCGATAACAGATCATTTTTAAGTTACAAAGTTCCACCGGAGGGGCGCTGTCGGCGTTAGGCCAGTGAAAATCTGAAGACCTTGGACCTGTAAAGTGGAGCGGACTTCGATACACGACGTTGTATCTCTCTTTATCATACTTCTCTTGTGGATACTAGGCATACGAATCTAATATCACAACTCGTTAAACTCGAGTCAAGCATGTATTCGAGTCGACTCATGTCACTTTTGATGTAATGACGAGTAATTGACACGAACGAATGCAAATTACGAGCGCGAGATGTTCGCCAATTAATAGATGCGACACCGAATCCAAACTCGAGTTGGTAGTGTTTTCGAATTCGAGTGACTCGAATTGATAATGTATTCGACTCGTCTTATCCCTATGTCGTTACGCCGCGCTTCTCGTTCGACGCATTTTCCTCGAAGGGGGGTAAATCTTGCTCGCGTCCTGAATTAGTACTAATTCGACCAGCAGGTTTACCTGCGCGGAACGAAACGCCGCCCACGATGGGACTCCAAGAGAGAACGATATTTACGCATTCCTGACCCACGCCCGGTTATACATAGATGTCGAGGGACCAGGTTCCTCGCTTGATCTAGCTGAACGTCGTAACCGTGGTAGCCTGTCGAGCATTGTGAACCTCATTGTAGCTTTCCGTTTCGGTACTTCAACCCCAGCACCGGTCTCGGGGATCCAGCTCGCCCGGTCGTCGTGTAACTCTCACCTCTTGCGTCTATATTTGTCCCCGCGGTTTCGTTTTAATTTCCAATTGGAACTCACCTTTTCTCACGTTCTCAAGACTCGTTTGCCGAATGCTTCACGTTCCATGTATCTTTTCACCCCTTTCACGATTCCTCACCTTGCATTTTGATATCTTACATTCGTTGTTTCTGAGGAGATAATGATGAAAAATGTTGAAATTGCGGATTTTAAATTTTCAGTGGCAGAGCATCAAAGGCAGCTGGTCGCGGAACAATTGTTGAGGAAGGAGCGACTGGCGAAAGAGCTAAGAGCTGAAAAGGGGAGACTCGAAGCCATGAAGAGGGAAGTGCAATCCCTGGCGAGACCGATCGACTCTTCGATACCCCCTCAGGTAATTTGAGTGATTTTAGACTCCTGTGATTGATTATTTAGTAAATGCGTGCTCGCGCGTGGTTGCTTTTTTTTAAATTTTAGGAACTGAAGAGGAAGCTGCGGAGCGAAATCTACCAGCTTCAAGTTGAATGCGACAGACTCGCCGACGAGGTCGATCAGAGATCAGACCCGAGAGGTGACTATCCTTTAAGGAGAAAATGAAAGAAATTAGAATTACTTAAATATTCAGTGTTTGGGTAAAGTACCGTTCCTTTTTTCTTCAGTACCCCTTGGAGAGACTAATGAGGAATTCTACCAAGGCATTTACACGGGCCAACCTTACGTTCCAATGCCACCTCCACAACTCAGTCGACAACCAGTCTGGGATCCTCCTCCGATGGGAAATGCTGTCGATAGGGAGGACCGGGATGGACCATCCTGGGTCTGCAGACTCTGCACCTTCGATAATCACCCATTGATGAATACGTGTGAACAGTGCAACCTGCCAAGGATATTGGAGCATCATACCACAGGTACATCTGGATTTTTCTTATCCGAAGGCCAATCAAGGGCACCGCCCCTCTTCGAGGGTAACCGATCCTGTTCAAAGAATTGAAGCTGCTCAGATGTTCAAACTTGAGCCTTGCTGCCCTCTTAATCGCATGGCTGTGCGTGACGTATTCTTAACAGTGTTTAATAATCTCCCTAATGACTCCGAGGGATGATCAGTTTTCAAGACAGCGGAAGGGATGATGGAATCTGGAGTATTTCATGCAGACCTGTAAACAAACATTAAAGTGCACTTACTGTTGTATTTGAGACTAATTTGAATGCTGGTTAAACTCTTAATTGACTGCGAGTGAATTTTAACACTTGCCGGAGTATGTTAAGTTCTTAAGTTTTGAGACGATAAGTTTTAGGTGGACTCTCCTATAGCGATTGTTGACGAAGCAAGTCAAGACGAATCTTATTCTAGTATCCTACCTCACAGTGCTTTCTCTAAATCTATATGAAGAGAAGTGTCATGATTAAATCATATATATTTGTACGACACTGTATGTTAGTTACAAAGATTAACTTGGTGATTAATTAATTGTGAAAATATTTTAAAGAATAAATTATTCACATTCCAGTATTACGAAATACGAAATTTAATTGAACTATTAGCAATGACTAACGAGACTCGAACGCCCATTCAAAAAGGTAAGTCGATTTTAGGCTTCAATGTTCGATATGAATGTGATGTGTAATTATTAATAATCCCTAAATAGAATCAATAGCAGCATGGTTATTCCATAACAAATATTTCTTAGTACTAACCAAGGTTTGTAAAACTTATCCATTGCAAAAATATCAAACGAATCTTACTAGAATACTAGAATGAATCTAATTAGAATTAAATAAAAATCATCCCTTTTGTCATACTTTGTTATTTTTATTTTTATCTCATAATGTTCATGTATACTTAATCTTAATAATTATATCATGTTGAAATATGACTCCTAAATTCCGGACGCTCATCCTTTCATTTTTACAAGTTCTATCAAGCGTATTTTTAAGATTTTAACGTTAATTATCTTTACCAGGTGAAACACAGGATATTCATATACGGGTCACGCATCATCACAACTTTTCACCTAGACGTAAGTAACTACTACAAATTATGACCTTTGAAAAAAAAAATCATTGCATTAATTTATCTTCTCCAGGAACGGTGCACAGTTGGGTGGTATGACGTGAACTGAATTAGTACACTTCAAGGAACTTGTACATATACATATTATTATAATTTAATTAAAGAAAACGAAAAAGAAGAAAAAGATGAATTAACTGAATAACCAATTAAGGAGATGTGTGACCAATGGAACGATGTAATTAATTTAATTCTTTTTTATCTACGTCATTAGCATAAAATGAAACTTGAAAGGCGATGGACGGGAACGACCCTTTGGAATGTCCTCGCCCTGAACCTCAATGAAGTCAACATGACTTTATACCGGCTCAGATTCCAGTAATTTTTGTATTCACAGATTAATATGAATAATAAATTCATCACGAACGTCGTTGCAGGTAAATTATCACAAGATTTTAATTATTCTCCCTAGTTTCAATTGATGGTTGATCCCAAGACAAAGTGCAGTCATTTATGAATACTCAATTCTTTTTCAATATCCCAAAAAATATTGTATAATCTAATTATAGTTACATTCACATCCATTGTAAGTATAAAGAATACTTTCACAGACAAAAGTATCCCTATGCAGGTACCTATATCAATACAGGATAACAAGTTAATAGTTTATATCGCCGTGCCACGCTCCAAGTTGAGCTTTGTCTCTCGAGTATGTTCTCCATAGAACCGCTCCAACTTTTGATTAAACTTGGCATTGCGTTCGTTTATATAGTCGATGTCTGCATCATCATTGTGCATTCTCCTTCTGCTGTACTTCTCTCGTTTGGCAATTCTGTAAATAAGGTATAAAGTATAAAAATATGTAACACAAAACAACCATTTCGTTGTATTACTTTGGAAGCTATTCTACATACTGTTTCTCTAAATCTTCGACCATTTTGTCAATAGCATCTTTCTTGTCTTCATGCAGTCCTTGCAAAATAGTGTTTTTATCCCCATAAAATGCTCCACCCAGTTTTTCTTTAGCCTCTTCATAACTTTCCATGTTAGGTTTCATGTTTTTAACAAGACGATTATATTGCCTTATCGTTGATTGTTCATAGTCTGCAAAGCCAGGATCTGGATTCTTCTTTCTCTTCTTCCTTGCCAAGCGCTCTGCCTCGATGGCATCGATATGTAGCAATTTTTCCCTCTCGTAATCTACTCCCTTTTCCTCCGCCGACTGCCTCGCCTCTTCGTTTTTCATCAACCATTCAGCTTGTCGCTTACGTGATTCCCAATTTGATGGAAGTTTCTTCCTCTTATCCTCCTCAACAACCTCCATGTGATTTTGCTGTCTAGCTTCATTCTAGTAATACAGTAAATAATTTAATACAAAACGGTGTATAGAGGTTATATCTCCATTCATTCAATTCTTAACTTACCCGCTTCGAGTGAAGTTCTCTAAGGCGCTTCATTCGCTCCGCTTGCTTCTCCGCAAACGTTTTGGTGCTCGATGTAGATTCATCTGACATTTTTAAAAAAGTAATGAAACTTTTGTTTCGAAAGGCCTTTATTTTCCACTGATTCTATGTTCGACATTAGCCAAGTATTGCCAGAGATGAGTTGGGAGATTGCTCACGGGCAGGATCGTGCGATCGCAATCTGTGCTGCCCTCTGGTTTCGTACGTTAGCTTTCACCGTTTTTTGCCTCCAAGGGCGGCACAACAAATTTCTTATAGGAGCTCGCGCACTCACGATGGCGGTACCATCTACCAGTCGCCGTTGGCGGCTCACGTACTCATGATGGTAATACCATGCGGCAATTGACCGTGGTGGCTTACCTACGCTTACCGACACTGCTCGCTTTTGATGGTAAGGGAAGAACACTCGTGGCGCGCTCTTTGACTTTACCCTTCACATACCTTATTTATTTTATCCGCAAATAATACAGGCAAAACTACAACGTGGGTTCTCGAGAGTTGAGTTATACTTTATATACAATTTTTATAAGGTACGGAAATGAATAAAAAAAATAATGAATGTTTCCTAGGGACACATAAAACCTACACAAAACCTATATGTGTATGTGACGTTTCTTTATAACGGCTGATAACGACTATTTGAAGTCGTGAGATTCGTAACCAATGTTTATTTCAAAATGTGTAAAGATAGAAGATCAAAAAATAAATTATGGAATGAAACAAATCGACAAGATGGATATTCATAACCTAGCGAATACCGCATGTCTACGTCTGTCTTGTCCGCCATATTTGATACGTTTTCTTCTGGTTTTCTATGTTTTCTACGTTTTCTACAGTAAGCTATTTGATTTAGATAATATACATCAAAAACCTCGATAATCGTGAAATTACCCAACCCTAGGTGAGATTATCGTTATTTATAGGAAGTAGTGAGCCAAATGTTGGACCTATGAATTCCGACAAATTAAATTATTTAACCTAAAAATGTTATCGATGTTTAATTACCTGAAGGTAATTGAATCACACAGAGCATGGCGTGTCCATACGTCGATGATGAGAGAAACCAATCAGAACTGCTTTAAAAAGTGTCACAAGAGAGCACGGCAATATTTATTGTACACGGATATAAAATAGGAAGGACTAACAAATAAAACTCGTAAGTACGGAAATCGTAAAGCTTGTGGCAGACCGGCTAACCAGTGGACGAGGACCAGCAGACAGTAATAAAAGATACGGCCGGTAACAACTTCGCTCTCCAGTTGGCAGCCATATTGAATCCACGCGAAGGACGCAACGGCTCGGCGAGACATTACCGACCTCGTTAGCCGACTTAAATTACGTCGGTCTATCTGGGACAGGCACACTTCCGTTTCCGCTTCCTTTCTTCCCGCCGCTTCTTTTCCTCGTTTGCGATGTCGATGTACTTCTTCCTTTGGTCTATCGACATCCGCGTCCATATCTTACCGGCAATCCTGGCGAGCTCGGTAACTGGCTTCTTCGGCTTCTTCTTGCAGAGTCGCAGGAAGAACACGATGAAGGGGTTGGTGGCCCGTCTATGGTTGGTAAGCGCGGAGCTCTTGCCGGAAGCCCCTTCTGTGCTGCGCAACAACGGAAACTGCAAAGTACTCCTTTGTGCAATTGGCGCTCGTGCGGTCGACGAAGTCAGATGCGTACCAAACGAGTAATTAACACATTTTGTTTTGCGAAAAGGACGCGTTAATGGTCAAAGCATGGAAAGGTAGGCCCGGAGCTCGATTTTATATCTTTCACGAGATAATGAGGGTTCTCTTCTATATACACACACCTGACTTCGTGACGCGACTTAATCTAGCGGGACGCGGTCCCTCTTACCCGTCTAGCTTTTTCCGGTCCTTTTGCAGCGCGGAACCACCGCTACCCATCTCTTTCTCCTCTACCTGACCTTGCCGATGACTTCCGAACTCCCTGTCACCGATCACCGCATCACTTGACAATTTTACAAGCAGACAAAACGAACTATCTGTGACAAAGGGTTCCGGTGTCACGTTGACATCTTGCCGGAAGTCCTTCCGCTGTTTATTCGTCGATAAACAGCGGAAGATACCCGCGCTACACTCGACGCTGCTCGGTGCAATTTCTCAAGATCTTTCAAGATCTCCGCCACTTTTGTCAAAGAAAAAAGAAAAAAGAAAAAAAACTGTCCACGTTTCGCAACGTCGGCTAGAGGCATCGAAACGCGCAAAACTTTTTCACAGCAAATGGGATTCGCCGAGAGTTGAGAAACTAGACCATGGATACGATTAACGAAATAGGAAATCAATTAGAGTTCAATAGCTACAATTCTTGAAACTACTTAATAATCCGAGAATTTCGAATTTGTGTAAGAGAAAGCGAGCCGCACAGCGAACAACAAAGACTTAAAGGAGGAAACTCGGTTACTCTTCTTTATTTCTTCTTCTTTTTTTTTTTTTCCTTATATCGTTTCTTATTCTTTCTCAATAAACCCGAGCATTTACATCCGTTATTTATACGCATAATGAGAATACATTTAACAACCATTTTGACTTGACCTACGATTAACAAAATAATTTCGCGGACGACCAAGCTGGCAACGTTAATCCGAAAGAAACTTAGGCGATAATCGGTACATAAATATTATACACGTACTGCCCTACACGAGTGCAAATGATCCCCAGCTTTCAAAGGGCCCGCCTTGTGCAGCGTACGCGCATTGGATATTCTTAAATATAGCGCGATCGCCCCATCGCGATGAGGTTAGGTTGCGACCCGGTACGATTTGTGCTCCGCAAACGAGGCGCTCGGTGTAATTTATACCTATTTACAGGAAATTATTAAGGACTACGAGTCATGGTGGGGACGGGGGACGGCGCGCGAGGGACGCAGTCCTTTCCTCGCTTGTCCTCGGGGTGAGAAATGCAACGGCGTGGAATGTTTAACCGAGACCGGCGTAACCTCTTTAGAATCTCGGCCACGAGCTCCAGGGGTACAATAGCTCTGCATCTCCATTGGAGGACTCTTCTACCACTTGGCGCCACAACTACTTGCATTCGGTTTCTCCGATTAAGCAGTCGAAGTCATCCCCAGTGCTCGCCTACTGTCATCCAGTTCAACAGTTGTACTGCTCTGGAAGAACGTACGATATATCGTCCCAGGGGTGACGGTAGAGACCCTGCTTCAACCTCTTCTGATCCATATAATGACCTGAAAGAATATAAGCGGTGGATAAGTTGGATAAGTAGCATGATCTTATCGGTACTGCTAAAAATATAAAACTACATAGGAGGTGATTTCGAAACCAGAAGCTGACTCACCGATGAAGCCTATACTCCTGCCGAGTACAAAGAGACTGTTGATTGCACCGATCTCAATGTACTCCTGAGCCTCTTCCCTGGTGAAGCCTCCACTGTTTCTGAGCATGTCGACGAAGGCACACGCGATAACGCCGTCCACGTTCAGGATCAGATTAGGCTTCTTCCCAGTAGTGATCTTCTCGACCTCTAGAGCGTATTCGACTAGTGGTTTCGCTGGGAAATTCTCCAGGACGTATTCTTTGATCAGTTTGACCCTCATGTCTGGGTTGTTAATAGACTTGACTCGATGTCCGATGCCCATGATGAGTTCACCTTTCTTCCTGGTGTTGTTGACGAACTCCTGGGGGTGTAGACCGGCATCGTAGGCCTCGGAGAACATGCGTGCTGCTCCATCGAGTGCTCCGCCAAATCGGTCGCCCTAGACAGATAACAATATACGACTTAGAGATACCAAGGAAAAGAACAAGTTTGTATAGTACCACCAAAATGATTGGCTAAGAAGTAAAAAACTGTGACTTACGATGGTCAGTAAACCCGAGACTAAGGAGCTGACCAGATCCTTTCCAGCTCTTGCGCACACTATTGTATTATGGGCACCGGACACTGCTGGGCCGTGATCGGCCGTCAGCATCAGAGACATCTCCAGGAACTTACAATAAGTAGGTGGCAAACACCGTTGGAACCAAAGAAGGGACACCACGCCTCCGATGCCTAGGTTCGACTTCAGCACCTCGGTAACTGGCATACCAGCGTAGAGTAATTCTTGGCCACGCTCGTCGCATATCGACGTCATGAAGGAGGCTGGCTTACGGATTAATCCCAATTCCTGCAAAAGTTAAATAAGACATTGATTCATTGATAAAGACTCAATACATCTTGCCGAACACATCTAGAATATTTATTTATCATTTTATAGTTTACACATACACGAGCCCAGCTGTAGTCCATCGGAACGGTTGGTGGCGGGAGTTCCGGAGCAGGGACAATGGTACCATTCTTTACCAGTCCCTGGTAAACGGACTGGATGAGATCTCCAAGGCTGTCGAAGCTCTCTGGCACGTAAGCACCAGCTTCCTTCAGAGCAGCGTTCTTAGCGGATGCTGTTTCCAGATTACTCTGGGCTATGGAACCAGCGTGGCCAAACTGGACCTCCGAGGTAAACATACTGGCACAGGTTCCGATACACCATGCCACCAAGGGCTTCGTAATCTTCTTCGACTTCAAGGCCTCACAGACCTCGTACTCCTCCACGCCACCGACCTCACCCAAAAGAACGATCAGTTTGGCCTCCGGGTTATTCTGGTAGCGCATTATGTGATCCATGAAGGTCGTCCCAGGATAACGATCTCCACCGATGGCCACTCCTTCCAGGACTCCGTTTGAAGCCTTAGAAATTATGTTGTTAAGTTCGTTCGACATCCCTCCTGATCGGGACACGTAGGCGACGCTGGAATTAAAAGACATTATGCATTAATGACGTTGACTTTGAGTGACTCGAAGGTGTGGCATAGAACAGGTTTCTAGATGAAGTACCTTCCAGGACGATACAACTTGCTGTGAAGAATATTGTCCATCATGCCGCCGGTGTTGCCGATTTTAAAACACCCTGGTTTAACCCCACCGACTGTGGCCGGTCCGATGATGGTAACGTTCTTATGGTGGGCGAAAAGGATCAGCTTTCTTGTCATATTCTCGGGGATACCCTCGGCGATTATGGCTATGGTCCTGATTTGAGGGAATTGCAGGGTCTCGACGGTGCTCTCGTAGGCCGAGCGCAGGGAGGCGAACGTCACCATGACGTCTGCATCTGGGTGCTTCGCCATCGCGTCCTTCATTTGCTTGTAAACGGGAATCAGAACCTAGAAAATGAAATAACAGTACAACAGTATTATAAGAAAAAAAGTGCAGCTGTGTATTAAAACGATCAGAAGGTAGCGATGGAACAGTTTTGGTGGTTCGAAGCATGGAGAGGTACCCACCTCTTTGTGGCCCCAATAGAACTTCTGCTTATGGTCTCCGGTGAAGGGATAAACCATGGCTGCCACCGAAGGCTCTGTCCTTCGACAGACAAAATCGAAGTCCAGCATGCTCTGTACAGCTCTGGTCTGCATTCCCCAGATGATCGCTCTGGTCGTTTTGCCAAAGAGTTCGGAGCTCTGCCCAGCGTCAACTTCGTTGGTGTCGCACGCTCTGGTCTCCTTTTCTCTGGTTTCTCTTTTATCCTCAGAGGGAGCGGTAGTCCTCACATCTTGTCCAGAAGGCAAAAGAAAATTAGCCGTGGAGAACTCCTGGGCCTCCGGGTCAGGTATGGGTTTCTTTCCCAAAGCCATTGAACAGATCGCAGTCATGTGGGTCTCAGGACCGAAGACATGGACTGGGACACCGAGACGTCTGCCCACTTCACGAATTATGCTGAAATCAAATACGTCTCAATTTAATGTATGTTAACGAGATATTGACAAGTGAGTAATTTCCTCTAAAACTGTATGTCATTTCATAAGATACTAACCGGAGACCTTCCTGGTAATTAGGTCCTGCTCGTCTAACAAATATCTTGGCATCGTGCTCGACTAGTTTTGGCTGAAATTCCTGAAGTGCCTTAACGATACCCTTGAATGTCGATGCGACATTAGTAAAGTTTGCTATGCCACCTCCGATGATAAGGACTTTCCCATCGGGATGTTTCTCCTTAGTCATAAGACTCAGAATTGTTTTGGCATATTCATAGGTCTGCTGTTCGCTAGGTGCACCTGAGTACTCTCCGTAGTTAGCTAGTTCCGATGCACTTCCCAGGTCACAAATGGTATCGGAGTAGATGACCGATGCACCTATTGAAACAGAGTATACTTTATGTCTACTCAAACGTACAATAAGGAAATTAAATAAAAGCAATCTACTCATTTAGTTATAACTCTTACCACCACCAGCAACCATGGTCCAGATTCTGCCCTTCGGGTTGAGAATAGTCAGTTTTAAACTGGCCCCAGACTTGGCATCCAAATCGGCGATATACGCTTCTTCTGGATAAGCATCCCGTCCAAAGGGTGGAGGATAGTCGATATTACCCCAATCAGGCCTGCAGATGAAATCAGCAGTGGTGTCAAGCTTCGCTGCCAAGTCCAGCATGTAAATGCTATCATCGGTGACAACCAACGGATTGATCTCCAGGTAGGTAAAGTACAAATCAACGTACAGTTTGTACAACGCTTCGATGAATTCAGCTACCATTCTAAATTAAAGATAGCGAAAAGATTATTATACGCTAGAAAGTGTGAACCTTGTAGTCTACATCAACTATACTAGGTCTCCAAATAAACCCACTCTCTCTTCTCCTCAGGCACATTAGGCAGAAGTTTCTCTTCGATGACCTTCCGGTCTGGCAGAGTATTGGAGCCAACAGGAACGTCAAGCTTAAGAGCTTTTGCGTCGACGTCCCCTACATCGACTCCACCTTCATGATGGAAGAGGATAGTATCCGCCTTTCGGTGAGAATAAATGCAGACATAAGCCTCCTCGTCCTGCTGATGGGGCACGAAGGGCTCGACGATGAAGTTCTTCAGCTTGCCGGTGGCCTTGCTGACCTTCTGCTCCTTGTTCATGCGATCTGCAATCCATTTCTTAACGTCCTTCAGGTCGGCGTTTACGTGGATGAGACCAAGCTTGCCACGTCGTTTGATAAGCTGATCGGGCTTGACAACCAGTCGTTCGGTCAACAGCCATGGATTTTCCTCAACAGCCTCGGCCCAGTCGGTGTCGTCCTTTACGCTGACGAATCTGCACTTCGCAAGTCTAGTTCCCTTCTTCAGCTTCCTGACGATGAGGTCCTTGCCGGTCGCCTCGCGAATTGCCTTTGCCGACATGTCTCAGGTGTTCCTGGGGAGTAGGTTTCAACATTAGAACATAAAATTAAGCCGGAAATAGAAGGTGTTTCTCTCTTTTTTTTCAGTAATAAAACGCTTCTAGGTGCATAAAAATCGCCACAGCAGCGCCACTCGAGGCGAACAAAAGGGAAATGTTAGATCCAAGAAATCTCTCAAACGAAAATGCAAAACAGGCTTCCACTTTCATCAAAAATAAAATCCCGGCGTTCTTTTACAGTGACTTTTATTTCCTACTTTTCCCTTCTGGCGGAGAAATGTACGACGCGTGTACACATGGAACTGCGAGTCAATTTAATCGATTTAAGTCAATGTTGGACAGTTTAACCGAGCGTGTCGCTTCGAAAGGCCCGAGCAAGGAAGTTAGTGTGAACACTTTCACGTGCTTTCACCGGTCCCGGTATTTGCCCGTGAAAGTGTTCGTCAAACGACGGGAAGAAATCATTACAGTAAACGTCGGCATACCGATGGTAATTAACGTTTAATTCATTATTGGCGGACGTCTCGAGTACATGAAATGTGCTCGACCGGATCGCTGAGCGCATTTTCGCTACACCTCCTCCTATTTCTCTCAACCTTTAAGGCCGTATCGGCGCGCCCTCGTGATAAGCCAATTGTGTTTCTGCACTACATCCGGCCGCGAGTAATGACGCGCGAACATATTGAAAAAAAAAAAAGATACGGCAAAATAGTCGGAGAAAAATCGCAAGAAACGCTTGCATAAGAGATAACGACCACAACGAACGATAAGTTGTAGCAGCGCGTTAGACGAGCCGCTGGATACTTGAATAATTATGCGGACGTACTAATAGGTTTAGTGGAAAGAAAAAAAAAAAAATCGAGAGAAGTAGGTAACTCGGGCGAAGTTAATTAATACGAATTAATTATAAGAAAATATTTAGAATGGAGATCAGTTACGATCAGAAGTCGCTTCGCATCTCGCGCGTATCACATCGAGATATTTCTCCTCCTGGAGATTCAACAAACAAGTAAACGAATAAATCATTGAAATCACTCGAGGATTTCGTGAGGTAAGCCACGTTTAAATAGACCCGTGAAGATGTATGCGGGTAACCGGGTAAAATGTCTCGTCGCCATGTTTCCCTACGCAGAAAATTCACCCAATCGTCCTATACCGTGTTAATACGTTAATTCGCTTTTATGTGGGGCAATTGGCTTGGTCGTTTGGGGCACTTATGTATGGAATAATTAATCCACTTGTCCTTTCCGTTTAAGTATGGAGTAATGGAGGAATTAATTTTTCTTACGCCTGCATATGTGTATAAGTACCGATTGCATGGTCAATTAGCAACGGTGCGAGTTCGCCCCCCACCCCGGACGTGAATCCGCCGACCTTTGCTCGGTCGGTAAGAAGATCCCTGGAGCGCATCTTAAGGGCCGCAGAAATTGTTCTGCTTAACTGCGTTAAGCCAGTAGTTCTTAACCGGTATTCCACAAAGTCGGTCACATATTTTCCATATAGTTCATTGCATTACTGCACATTATGCATATTTATGTATACATTTTGTAACATATTCCTCCCTGGACAGGTTATCAATATTTCTTGGCATCTACCAAGAGATTGCAAGTAATGCAACACATTCCTTGCATAAAGTAAGCATAAGTGTAATGTTAAACGTAACGTCCAATACACAGATCCAAGAACGAACCTCGATAAGCAAAGAGAGGTAGAAGCTACGCGATAAGCGTGCAAATTAAAAGTTGACGATATGAATAGCCTACAATAAACAAGGCGCAGTCGCGCATACATAATATTTTGCATAACCAAAAATTCCAAGCTTGTGGAATTTGTCAACCGCATATGTATTTTACAATGGCGTTTTACATCCGGCAATTTGATTAGTTATTTGAAGATTTTTAAGGTCTCCACAAATACCTCGTGTAACGGCGACCTTTTAAACGTCTGTAAGAACTGACCAATCAAAAGAAAAAAAAAGAAAAAAAATTGAATATGGCGTCCAACATTCGGCAATTTCATTGATTCTTCCTGCTATGCTTGCCGTTATTAAGACACGAAATATCTAAGAAGACCTTAAGGCTATATCAAACTGGCATCTGCGGAGACAATCGTTTATAAGACACTCCTGCGAACTGGGTATACCGAATCGTTTGAAATTTGACCATGATTGTAATGAAATGTCAAAACATGATGTCAAGACCTTCCTCGGAGTTTCCATATTCACATGGGAAAAGTTTCAAACTATTCGGTACACCCAGTTCCGGGAGAAGTTTGATAAAGGAGACCCCTCAGACGCGACATTGACATCACTTTAACATCCATACTTTTGGAGTGACGCGCTTTAACCAAAAAGGTTTACCTCTTTAATAACTCTTACCATCCACGACAACATTTTTTGCACATCCTTGTCGTCACTTTTACGACCGCGGGGTGATTTTACTATTCCGCAAATGTTCCGTTGCTTCGAGAGAAGTTAAGGCATGACGCAATCGTTAATTAAAGAGAGGCTTCCTAGGTGCGTAAAATTAACCCACGTTCTTAAACCGACGGCGGGAGAAGAAGATTCTTCCAAAGTTCAGGTACGGTCGAGCTGGAAAAACTCGTCACCTGAACGAGGATTCGCAATCCCTTGGTATAAATACTTAATAACGAAGAAACGAGAGAGAGGAAAAAAAACAACAACGAAGTGCACGACGTTATTAAAGAAACTCGTTAAGTCGATCGAGACGAGTATCCATCCGTTTTTCGACGTACCAAAGGACGAAGGCTCGACACGGAAATGCCGAGAATCAACGCTGTCGGCTGAAAATCAATTTCCTTTCACTTTTGCGCGCACGTACACGCGGACAGTTAAGCATACATATGCAACGATTAATTTGTTCAAGGCACGCAATCACGCGAGACCGTTCCAGGGCACACCCCTCTCGCCGGACACGAACCCGTCAACCCCGGCCAGTCGATAAAAACGGGTCCGTCCCCACAAAGCATATAGAAATAGAGGATTTTGCTATAATGATACAACGGAGCCAAGATGTATGGTCTAGGACATGCCAATGGTACACTTCCAATACGTACCCAGGTTCGCTACCCAATCGATGGAAATACAGTGCCAAGCCACCAAGTTATAAAGGAGACGAAATAAAAGAAAACGTACAAACGCAAACGAAGGAAAAAAAAAAGAAACATTTCCATGAGAGCACACAATGTCTCTTCTGCATCATAATTGATATAGTCTATGTACTCATTCACGCATGACGAAAAGTAGACAAGGTGTACTACCCCGGAGATTTTTTTTTTCGCGGACCAATCACGGTGCACTTCCAAATTGCCATGTCTGATAACTGATAAAAAAATTTAGCGCCCGATACGAGGCAAATTCAAAAGGGATAAAATAAAATCACGTACAAATAATACAATTTCTCGTCAATCCGTTTCAGTTGTTCGTTCATTTGTCACGATACTTGTCAACAAGCCACATTGCAGTGCGACGAAGTTTTGGAAGACTCAGAACGAGTCGAAAATAAAATCTCTCTGGAAACGCACCTTGTCTCCCATGCGTCACGCGTTCAAGTGACCAGAGGAGGTTAAACAGAGATATCTCCCGTCTCTGAATGTTTCCCGAAGTGCGACTCTTTTCATCCAGGAAAATGTAAGCGACGAGGCGAATATCCAGCACCGCACGAGAAAACTTCACCTAGAGATATCTCTCCTCGTACATCTCCCATTCTCTCCCTTTGTTTTTTTTTTTTTAATATTCCACCCTTGCGGGGTAAGAACATCCGGAAAGCTTTAGAGAGAAGATGCGTCTCCGTCTAACCTCAAACACGACACTACGCGTCTCCTCCTTTTCTAAAAGCTCTGCATTCGCGACTCACCTCAAGAACCGGGTTCTTTCTCTCTCTCTTTCTCGCTCTAGGCGCGCGAACCGTGACGTAACGGCCAACTTCTCGGCGCGGGAGCTTGCGGCCGACTGAACTTTTCCAGTGACACCGGGCGAATATGTAACGCGCTCGCCGGTCTCTCGGCGGAGCACGTCCTTGCGGCGTGACGCCCCTCGCCGGTGCCGGAATATCGTACGATTCTATTTTTCTCGACCGGCCATTTCCCTCCTCTCTTTCTACCGGCCACGCGGTGCGCCCGACGAGGCGGTGGAAGAGCGAGCGCGCATGCGCACGCGGGCGAGGCGCTTCTAGGTACTCCGCGCGATCGAAGATCGCGGAAACCGATCGCCGACCGGTCGGCCGAGGTGGAACCACGTGTCGATGAGGTCGCGCGATACCAACCGACCCGTTCTCCTTATCGTCCATGGCGCGACGCTCTTTCAGTTTTCCACTTTCAGTCCCAATCCGCGTTCCCAATTGATTCAGAATTTCACCCCTTCGTCTTCCCCGGCATAAATTGATATACTTTTCAAGGGATCCTCTTTGCGTTATCGACTCGGCTTGCGTGTCATTCAATGAGGCCTTATGGCCATTGTGATCTGTGGGAAACGTGAGTCTCATGAATAAACTGCGTTAAATGTGACAACATTTGCTTAAACAAAGTATCTAACATAGCGAAACTGTGGGTCAAAAGGTACTTCACCCAAGGCCGAAAAACGAAACAACAGTAACATATTAAGGTCTATACAGAAATGAAAGTCAAAAAACGCTATAATACTCGCTAACAATACTGCAAAACCCTAGCTTAAAGGGGAACCAACCCAAAGGCAAAAAAGAAAGAAGGAGGCCTTATCCGAGTCTCATTCGGTCCCGATAATCTCTTCGGCTCTCTCTCTCTCTCTCTTTAATCTCAGCCGCAGTCTGTAGCAAGAGCGTTATCCCCTTAATTGGGAGCCAGATCGTGAGAGAAGCGTGACACCACAGGCCATCGACATCCCCTCCTCCTGTAGATAGGTCCGTCCGTATTATTCTATAATTGCAGCTCCCCCTTCCGCTGCCCCTCGCGAGAGCCCCAATGGAATTTTTGTCCAACTCGGGGAATCTCGACCGATTAAGCCCGCTCGCTCTCTCCGCGTTATCATCGCGTGTCGCGCGTCAGGCGAGGCGCGTGACACGCAAGAATCAGCTGTGCAACCTCTATCTCGCGATCCCCGTATTCTACCCGGAGCTACGTGGGACGATACTTGAGAATTTCTCGCGACAGTTTCCCCACTTTGGGATGAGTTAAATTGCCCCGAGTAATTTCCACGCCGCTGCCTTCTCGTGAATGAGGAGGTCGGTCGCGAGGCGGGTCGGGCGTTTCCCCTCTAGGTGTGACTGTGAATCGGGACTTTAGGTAGAGCTTCTAGAGAAACGCGCGCCGGCTAATGCCACGGCCCCGGGTGCGCCCAAAGGTCACGGCTACTCGTGCGATACGAGCGCTATCGTCGCACGTCGAGCACGTGGACTTAAAGAGCGGTCACGTGCTGCTCTCGAGAAGAATTACCCGCGGTCTTGCCGCGCCCTCCTAAGGGCCCGCCCTTCGACCATGAACCCAATTATCCCACCTAGACCCTCCACTCGATACGATAAAATGGAAGCCACTGCCTGGAGAGAAATGGAACCGAAAGCGGTTGCGTACCCCGTTCGCAAGGAATGACAACGCGTCTTAGAGGTCATTAGAAATTCTAATGGCTCGAACCTCATGCTAAGCGTGAAATCTTTTTCCACCTGTACTCTGCCCTTTCCTGACCAGTGACGTTTTCTAACCTCCCCTCCATGAGTGGAATCTACGTACGTAATTCCATCATCTTATTCGCTTGTTCCTAAGGTTCTAATTCGCACTTTGAATTTCGCATTACCGAACGAGTCGGGTAACGCGCGCCATCTGTGAGCGAGTGGCGAAGCTGGACAGGGTAGGTCAGTAAGAGATTCGTAGTTGGTTCTGACGAAGGATGCGATATTGAACATGACTCGTTTCTCAAAATATCGTATATTGTTTCATTGTCACGACTGCGAACGAGAGTAACTTACGTAGTAAGGTGCAAAAGGTCTCCTACTTCATTTCTTGACATAAATAACGATTGCAATTCTTCGCAAAAATTGAATCAGTCTCCCATCCATCGGCTGTCATTTACTACGTCTAACTCTTGGCTTGCTGAGCAAGAATAGAATTTGGAATTAAAGGTTAAGATACTGAATAATTATTCAATGCTCTACAATGTTTTAAAGCTAATTCTTCAAATAGGAAAAGCATAGAGGAAAAAAGCACAACGTGAAAGGTTTGCGTTGGTTTACTCCGAAATCAACTTCAATGGAAATTGACGTTAACTGAGATTCTGTTAGTTCTGAAAGCCATTTTTAAAATCTACTCTACTGTATAGTTACAACCGTGCGAAAATCACATTAATCTTGAAGACTTGTCGGCGCTTTGCCGCAGGCTACAGCAAATAGAGGTTATGTCCACCTCAGTTGATCCCAGAATGTATTAAATAAGTATCACTAGCATTGCCTACGCGCATTTCGGGCCCCACATATGCTTATAAAGAGATTTATAACCTCAAAATGTACACATTTAATGGGCCTTCGGGTTTTTTAACGATTTTTATAATCGAGATTAGCGGCCATAGTGAGATAGGTAGCAGTGGCGTCCGGTTGTAACAGTAAAAAGAGATGTTACTCACAAAGGTCTCGACTGGAACCTGTCAAATGAGATAAGGAACCGCCGGTCCGGGGAACTGTGGAGAACTCGGAACGACTCGGGCCAACTCGAGGGTGCATCTGCTCGAAGCGCTTTCCCACAAAAACTGTTAACTCTCGGAAACTGTTCTTACTGGCTCTAGCGCATCCTCTCTTCGTCCCTCTCGCCATGTCCGAGCTCAGGCTAGCCAACGCGTCGATGACAAAGTAAGACGTCATCTTACCTGGTTCCGCGTCTCACCGGCGCCAATTGAATGAATTGTCCACGAGGCCGTCGTTAGGGTATCGGAGAAAACGCCGGAAAATTTTCTTGTCCGTTGGAAGAAGGTTTCGGGACGCTCTTCGTACTTTCTGCGGTCTAGGAGGAGTGCAGAGCCGCCATTTTGAAGTTGCCAAGATGGCCGCCCTGCGCGCAACGCCAGTGACGCCCGAAGATGCACGATGACGTCCGATGACGCGCGATGACGTTGCCGATCATTTCTTGTCGATTCTATGCTGTGTCTTTGCATTTTATGATTATTTCCTTTGAATAAATAATTCAGCGACGTTGCATGGCCTTTAATGTTCATTAATATTACAAAGAATGTTTACATGTTTGCTAATGTCAGTGATTTTTAATAGTATTCGTTTAGTTTTTGAAATTCATTATGCTTTGTTAATATTCTTGGCTTTGTATCTTGTTTGTGACGGCTTGTAATTTCTGATTAGTGTACAGAATATTTATAAGACAGGATTCAGTGTATGACACTGCTTTAAGAGGTTCCAAATAATTTCTTAAAGGGTTTAACTATTAAAGAAAAGACAGGAATGAAACATCCATTTCATTGTGTAATAAAATAACTTTTTGTATTTACACCATTGTGTACTGATTGTACATTGTTCAATGTAGCGTATGTATCATATGGCCTACATTTGGACATACCTCACACAGTCTTAAGAAATACACCGTTAGACGGTGTAAGTATTGGTTCTTCAAAAGTAGATTTATTTTACATTCGATGATTCTACGTATAGTCTCTTAGAGTAAAAGTTCCTTAATCCCCTTTAAATAAATAAATGTTTAATTTATAAAAAATTAAGAGTAATTTATTCTGTGATCAATATTTGATGCATCTGCGATACACTGGAAGTTTACCACCATTAACCCTATTAATTATTAATCTGACTCTCAGTACGTACAATAAGATTCATTCATTGTGAAACATTAAAAATATTGCATCGATCAACAAGCTTCATTAATATAATTGCCTTCTCTGTTAGTTTTGCTGGCTATTTGTAATACTCGATCTTTTAAGAGTTATGATTATCTGATGGAAAACATCAGACTTCGTACAGTGCAAGTATTTTCAATCTCTTGATTATTGCTTGGACCTTAATTCATACTTTGCCTTCCAATTTGGCAATTGCACTGTGAATACTTTCAATTACGCTGTAAATATATGGTCGTTCCATTGGGTTGACTTTCAACATGGACAAGATCAAATCCTGCATATCCTGGTAACAATAATACAATGAAGAAAAGTGTTATTTGAAAAGAAACTATTTTATCCAACTTTTTGAAAAGTATTTTTCTAAAACATTATACCTCATCATAAGGTGCATCTTCAGGAAATGTTACATTTGCACTCATAACTGCTAATGCAACACTATCACCCCTTTCGTAAACCGTATCAAAAGGTGATTTAAAGTAACATAGGGCATACAGAATGCAACCCAATGACTGAAAATTGATAACAATAAATATCCAAACATGATTAATGTGAGCATTTAATTTAATGATTGATGCGATTTAGGGTCAGGCTTACCCAAATGTCTGTTCTTTCATCGACAATACAATAGCTCTCCACATTGAATAATTCTGGTGCACGGTAAGGCATGGAACACCTTTCTGCAGCTAAGTCTTGTAACGATTGCGCAGCATGTGCACTGGAAATTTTAACCCGAGCCTGAGTTACAGAACCTGAAATATTAGAATATTTTCGAAGCACATGCTAAATATACTGATGACTGTCATATGATTAGTGAAAATACCTAGATCCATAATAACGGGTGTCATTCCTTCTCCAAGCAAAATGTTGGCAGTCTTTAAGTCTCGATGTGCGAGAGGCTCTGGTTTCGATTCATGGAAAGCTTTAACACCTTCGCATATGTGAAGGAAAATATTTAAAACGTCATGTGGGTTTAAGTACATATGAGTCTTAGCTCGCCTTTCCAATTCAGCTGCCAGTGTACCTTTCTATCCATTAAAAAATATGTTCCATGAATATTTTGCAATTAATAATAAACCAATGACTAAGAATACAACGTTACCCTAAAATAAGGTAGGACAAGCAGCACTTCGCTAGTTGCATTGACAATTGGATCGGCGGTTCCTTTATGCGTGGAATCTATACATTCAATAACATTAGGATGCTTTACGATCAAATGATATTCAGCTTCCTTAACTGCTAATCTTTGGTCCTCTGGTCCATGGCAGACTATTTTTTTAATCGCATACTTTTCATGCGTGACAGCATCCTCTACGAGAGATACAGTACTGAATCCCCTATAAACCAATAAATAATTCTAAAGTATTTTTGCCTTCCTCTAAATGTGCAATTTCTTATAAAGTACATTCTGTCTTTCAAACTAAATTATAAATACGGGATATTAGATGAAATATGGAAAAAAGACCAACCCTTCTCCTAGGTGTTCGCGAACGGTATATTTCCTGTTGTTAACGATTATCGTTTCCTTAGTGCAGATGCATCCCATTTTTAATATCAGGCTTAGACCCAAGCTGTTCATCTTTCAGTTTTCATAATAACAAGTATAAATGCAAAAATGAGATCGAGGGAACTTGAATCTATGAATCAAGATAAATACCACTAATCCGTTGACAACGAATAATAAAACTAGATTTAAAATTGAATTAAGATAGAGCAAAGTGAGGTTGGGACAGAAATAATTTCAGATTAAACGAATGAGGTTATTTCCTCCAGCTACCACGGCGTTTATTACGTATATTCAGCAGAGATGAGTTGGGAGATTGCTCACGGGCAGGATCGTGTGATCGCACCCTGTGCTGCCCTCTGGTTTTGTACATTAGCTTTCACCGTTTTTTGCCCCCAAGGGCGGCGCTCGAAAAACGATCGATAACGCTCAAAAACGCTCGAAAACGCTCCATAACGCTCCAAAAGACTCTAAAAATGCTCGAAGACACTAAAAACACTCGAAAAACGCTCGGTAACCCTAAGAAACCGTCTAAAAACGCTCGAAACCGCTCTGAAAATGATCGAAAAACGCTCGATAACACTAGATGACGCTCGAAAACGTTCGAAAACGTTCAAAAATGCTCTAGAAACGCTTGAAAACGCTCCATAACACTAGTAGGAAAATGTAAAAATCATACGCGAAATGACTCGACTTAATCCGAGTTTATTCGCCGAATTACGTATTCGCTATATGAAAAAACGAGATCACTAGCACCTTCGGTTTAGTAATATTCAAGTAAAGGTACATACCTGACATTGAACGGGTTTAACAATGAAAGGGTTGAAATCTTCATAGTTAGCAGAGGGTGAGGACTATACTTCCGTTGCGTTTTACACTTAGCATAAACACGTTCCTTGTTACCGAACACGTTGAAACATTACCTACTAATCCCGGCACTCCTCTTCTTTCTTTATATACTATCTATAACTTCTTTTGTACATCATGCAAGGATTAAAATAGGATTTGGTGCAACCTGTACCTCCCAACGTGGAATCCAGAGTCGCCGCAACCAACGGAATAGAACTTTCGTTTCGATTTTCGTTTTATTTGTTAGTAGTTTTTTTTTATGTCTATGTACAATAAATATTGATGTATTTTTACACTATACTTTTCAAAGACCTTCCTTATCACTTAGGAGAGTTATTCTAATAATTAGCGATTCGTCGTCGCTCCGTCTTTCGGTTCCCTACTTTTCACACTTTCTCTCTTTCATTCTCTCCCTTCCTCTCTTGCGCTGTTGTTTGAAAAAAGTTTTTTTTTACTCGAGAACGCGTACCATAAATATATTTATTTCACGGCCATTACGGGGGGCGTCGGTGAGCCTTGGGAAGGAAATTGCTGGAAGGAAACGAGGCTCCATCTACGGTGCTGTCGAGCGCACGAGAGCGCCATTTTCGAAACGGCGGAAAGTTAGGTGATATCTATTTTTCTTTCTCTTTCTCTCTCCCCCTCTCTCTCTCTCTCTCTCTCTCACTTTCTCTTTCTCTCACTCTCTCTCTCTCTCTCTCTCGATACAAAAAATAATTTCAACGCACTGCTCGCCGCGCGCACCGCGCAAAGGCCTATTCTTTTATATTATACAATCGCAACCCTCCTCGGAGAATCTCTATTACTTTAATGTGTCCGTGTATGTGCCCTCTCGCGGAATCTAAGGTAATAAAACGTGTTACAATACGATAGCGAATAGCGAGCGAGTTTTGCTGTGAGCGAGTGCAGGTGAATGTTCCTTTCGGGCGTCTTCGTGAGATACGAGTAAATTATAATCGCGGGTATCTGCCGTGAATCAGCTATGATGATAATAATCATTAATATAATAATAATAGTAATAGTAATAATAATAATAATAATAATAGCGGTACGTTGTTTATGATACAGTAAAGTACAGTGTGCCCCGAGAAAAACGTAAACAAGAACGTTCAACAATCGATAATATCAAACAGAATATTACTTTTATAAGTATTTATATAAATATTATATGATACAGAAAACGTAACACTGCTCGGGGGGGGGGAGGGGGGATCACGGGGTCGGGTTGGGGGAATGCCCTACGAAAAATACGTATTCGCTTATTACCGAACGGGTATGCGGGGTGCATACACCTTCGGGATATTCCCGGGGGAAACGGCTACCTTTTGACTCGTGGCCGAGTCTTCAAGGTAGAGGGTGTGTGTCTATCTCTCGCTCTTAATTAAATGCACAAGTTGAGAACCCATGCCTTGAGGAGCCATCTTCGTGGAGGATAGGCTCCCGGTTGTACCCTTAAGATTTGCTCGCAGCGAGCCGGTACTTCGTTCGGTTGCGCTCGGTTTGGAAACAAAAAGAAATTCGATCAAGAGTCGGTCACCCTCGTCGAACGCAAATACAAAGGAACTTAATTCGTCTCGTTACATCATATGCGTTCTATGCACGGGTCTATGAAGAAACGGATGGAGGAGCATAACGTGAGATTTTAGATGAGGGGACTACGGCGGCCATCTTACGTTGCTACGAAACAGACGAAATCTCACATTTGTGAACAGCGCCGACTTTTTGAGGTACAATACAACAGGTGTCAAAAGGTGTAAGATAGTAAAGAGTAGTGGATATTGTTTTAAGGAACATAAACATTGCGAATGTCGGTAAAGGTCTCTACACATGTGTCGCATAACGGTGCCGATAAGCGGAGCTTTGAAAATAGACAAACGTTAGGCGCCATTTTGAACTGCGTAAGAGGTTGAAAGTACCTATACACTTTAAATTTTTACGATTGTGCAAACCGTTATGCAAGTAAGACAGTGTTTTTCTTCATTGTAAATTATTTCAAAACAACAGCTCCGCAGTCTACACCTATACAGTCAAAGTCTTTCATCCGTTTTTCATAGATCCACGGTTGCATGTCACCCTAGTTTGAATTTCACAAAAATGGACAGTTGTACAAAATACCACAATCCATTTTCCCTATCTTAATCAGAAGATCCCACGATACTCCTACTTCCAGGTCACCATATTCAATCTCATTCAACGAAATAACCGAAGTTTAAGTTCACAACCATCGAAAGTGCAAAGTGAAGATGGGATAACCTCGAGCGCAGGCATGCGCGAAGACGTAACATTGAAAACGAGCCAAACGCGCGCTCGTGCTTGCCTACATGCATTATACATGATTCATTCTTTGCATTTGCAATTGAGTTTGCGTTCAACGAGGAAGATGTGTCTTTAACGGCGGAGACGGTCGGTCAAATACTGGAGAGTTGGAGTACACTAAAGAGAAGACTATTCGAATCGGCAAGTCTATGGGAGCGGGTCGCTCTCGGAACATGTGTCGGAAGCTAAGTGTCAAGGAAGTTCTCTCTTTGTCTCTTGATAGTCGACGAAGCACGCCGAACAAAGGCTCGACTCGATCTTTGGAGGGCATTACCGACGGATCGGTAACATTAGCGCCGCTCAGAACGAACGCGTGTACTATTCGTGGAAGTGCCCTGAAGTTGTCGAATAAGAGCCCGTTCACATATTCAATGCAACACGCGCATCACAACAATGCCATTGCATTGTCTAACCCGCGTTCGAAAACGCGCCATGTAAACGGGCCCTAAGACGTGCAGACCGAGAAGCGCAACGCGTCAACAACGGCGCAATTTATTAAGTTGTTCAACAATCGTTATTAAATCGGCAACTTCATGTTGAACAACCTAATACACTCTGACTGAGGTACCATCGTTCTCTCTATCAAGTATCCGCAAGCTCGTCCGGAGCTTAATATAAGTTTATGTAACACAATTTACATTTCATTATTTTCACAATTGATTAGATTCGGATAGAACGTGCACCTCGACTACGCCAATGTCTCCCCCGGCACTCTTAACTCGACAACTTCAAAGGACAATGTTTGCATGGCACGAATGCCCGTAGTCTGCGATTCTCTGAAGGAATCGCAAGTCCGACGTAAGGGCGAAGCACTGGTCACTATCCTTTCCATGGAATAGTGCCGACGAGCTCGAAGTCGTAAACCCCGTTACTTCCAATCCGTCGCGAAATTCTATCCGACGAGGGTCGAAAACTTCGTCCACCCACTTTTCATCACAAACCCACAAGCTTGCGACGCATCGCGGGTTACAGTGGTGCCACCACAAAACCCGAGTGCATTCAACCACCACACCGAGTCGTATCTTCCCTAAAAAGCGCTTTACAAAACGCCACTCGTAGGCGTCTCTGTCTTTTTCAGCCGACAATGCGGTTCCTCGTAATACTAACGAGGCCTCATGGTGCTGTTGAGCGGCTGCATAAGTCCGCCATTGATGTATCCGTGATAAGTCGTATAAACCGCGGCAGGATTCTGCTGATGCGGATCCTGGGAGTAGGGAGCGGGCACGTTGACCACGCCGACCGGTAGTTGGCTAGCCTGGTTCATGAAGCCGCCAAGTTGGGCTGCCTGGTTCATATACCCAGTCGCGGGTTGGGCGACACGGTATCCATATGGGGTTGCGGTCATCAGGTTGGTATTCAGCGCCACGTTGGGGCTAACCCTACTAGCGGCGCTCTGCATCTGTGGGCAGGAGCCTCCAGGGTCGAGGGTTTGCCTATAAAGACTCTCGCTGGCATAGGGCTGGGCGAGCGACGCCATGTTGGCATTAGCGGAGGACCTTGAAGCGGATCTACTCGGCGGTCCCGGGGTGCCGGGGGGCACGGTGTTCACGTTGTAATAGTTTTTGGCATACCCCAGGGGCATCTGTGGCGGAGTCGGTAGCTGCCTCGAGGTCTGCGGCGGGGTCATGGTGTGTGGAATGGGCGGAGGAGGGGTCAGGTTCATCGCCGGGGGTGGAGTAGGCGGGATCATGTCTATTCCGTTCGTCATCTGCTGGAGCTTCGCCAGGCTGCACGAATTGGTGGGCTGGTGGTTCCCAGAACCGGACAAAGATGGCGCAGCGGAGTGCGAGTGCGGCGGCATGGCGCTGGTCTGGATGTAGAAGTTGGTAGCAGTGGTGCAGGGCGTTGGCGCCCCCGACCTGCTCCCTCGGTGCTGGATGACATAGGTGTTCTGGGTGGGGAAGGCCTGAGAGGCGACGGTCATGTAGTTCCCCTGGGAGATGACCGCCATGTTGTGCGAATGAGCCGCGTGCGAGTGGGAATGTGGATGAGGAACGGGGGGGACGGTCATAGAAGAAGATTGCTGATACTGGGGAGGGAGATGAGTTCCGTGGGAACCATGACCGGCGTGGGTGGTGCTGGGATGCTGGGAGCTTTGGGTGTGCGGCGTGGGTGGAGTCCCACGATGCGACCTGCTGCTCTGTTGGGTGGATCTGGAGCGATGGGTGGTCTGAGAGCCGCTGGCCCTCTTGCTCCCAGTATGCGATTGTGACTGCTGCTGCTGCTGCTGCTGCTGCTGTTGCTGCTGATGACTGGATTGTTGCTGCTGCTGGTGGCCCGACTGCTGCTGGGCCTGCTGGGAGGCGTTATGGCCGACGTTCTGGTTCTGTTGCTGGACAGCCAAAGACAACTGCATGGGCTGCGGAGTGTGCGACTGCGGCATGGGCTGCGGTGTGTGCGATTGCGGCATTGGCTGGGGGCTCTGGGTCGGGATGCTCTGGGGAGTGTGCGACTGCGACATCGGCTGGGGAGTATGGCTCTGCGGCATGGGTTGCGGCGTGTGCGACTGCGGTAACGGCTGAGGACTCTGCGTGGGCACGCTCTGCGGCGTATGGGATTGAGGGGTCCTCGGCTGCTGCAGACTCTGTGGAGTGTGTGGCTGGTGCATCGGATGAATGCCCACGTGGGCGGTGGAAGCCTGCTGGGGCATCGAGCAATCCGAGTACTGCACCTGTTGGGGAACGTTCACCGCAACTCCGCCCGAGGCCACACTCATCTGCATAGACGCGGACATGGAGACAGCAACCGACGTCGGCATGGAAGGTAAGGCGCTGGGAGGCCTCTCGACGCTGTTCTGAGACGCCAGGTCGCTCGCTATCGAGGTTGGCGACTCCAGGCCCAGTTGGCTCACGTCCAGGTCGCACTGGGCATAGTGCAGCGAGTGCACGGAATTGGTCGTCGAGTCCGGGGTGTACACTCCCATCGAAGGTAGATCTGGCTGAGAAGGAGGGGTCCTTTTCACTGAGCCCGGATTCTCCAGGTGCGGGGTCGTCTTTCCACTTTCGGGAGAGTGTTGCTTCTCTTCAGGCTGCGCGTGCAGCTGCACGTGGTCCTGATGTTCGGTTATCAGGATTCCAGGTTTCTCCTGAGGAGTTGGGGGCTGCACCTCAGGGGGAGAGGTTACGATGGTAGGTGTTTCTTTCTTCTCGCACGGTGACGGCAAGGAGATCTCGATCTTGGGCTGGATCAGGACTTCCCGGGAGTCCTTCGGTCTCTCCTTACGTTTTTCCTCGGCTGCCTGTTCGGCCTCCAGAGGATAAATCTGCTCTGGCTTTTCTAGGTCCTTTTGTTTATCCCTGTCCAAAGGGACCTCTGGAACTGACGTTAATGTTTCCAGCTCCTTTGCTGGCGTTTCGGTCGTTTCAGACTTCTCTTGAAATTCGGGGGGAACGTTCTCCTGCACCTGCTCCTCGGGTTCTGCCTTCTTGGTACCAGGGTTCTCCGACTCCTTCGCAGCTTCCTTTTCAGGCACAGCGTCCGATTCTTCCTTCTTCTCCTTCGGACTCGAAGAACCGACAGCCTGTTGAGTGGATTTAGGCCTAGGAGCTGGTACCTCCTCTTCCCCTTCGTCTTCGTCACCACCTTCATATTCTCCTGGACTCGCGGTGGGTGCTTCACTGGTTACTTGGACGACTTGGACCGATTCACCATTTGGTGCCTGGACTGCCGGAGTCTCGTTACTTTCCTCTTTAGTCTTTTCAGGGTCGTTCTTCGTGGGCGGGGATGCCTCGGCTGCCTTCTCGGCAGGCTTGGCATTGGTTTCGTCAGTCGTTGAGGATAAAATAGGAGGTGGGACCACCGGGCTCTCTTCTCTGTCTTTGGACGGTGACTCGGGCTTCAACTCTGGCATCTTCAAGGTCTCGGTTACCGGAGCTTTCGCCCTGCTTCGCCTAGAAACAGGCGTGCTCTTCGTCTCCTTCACCTCCTCCTTGCCATTGCACAGGTTCTCCTCGATGAGTTTGGATTCCTTGGCTTGTTTCGCCTGCAGGTACTTGGTTTGCCGATTGGTAACCTTGAGCAGTATGTCGTCCAATTTGCTCTGCTTCTTAGCAGGCTTCTGGATGCTCGCAGATGCAGCAGGTGGCGCCTCGGTCGGAGGACTCTTCGGGGTCTCCATCGGGTCCTCTTTCTCCTTAGATTTTTCTTTCTTTTCCTCCTTTTCCTTGACTTTCTCCTTTACCTTTTCCTTATCCTTAGCCTTTTCCCTTTCCTTCTCCTTAGCCTTTTCCTTTTCTTTCTCCCTCTCCCGCTCCTTATCCCTTTCTCTCTCTTTTTCCCTTTCCTTCTCCCTCAACGACTCCCGCGTACGCTTTCTGCCGCTCTCGACCTTCTCTTCCTTTTCTTCAATTTCAGTCTTTTCGGAATGTTTTCGTTTCCTGGGAGGCGTCGGGGTCGGCAGGTCAAGGACCTTTGGCGTCCTGATTCTCCTCCTCGAGGACAGCAAAGGAATGACCGTCTTCGGGGTACTCGTCAAGGCCGCCTTCGGGGTCGGACCCTGACAACTCCTCGCGCTTCTGGAAGCACCGGAAGTGGTCTTGACCCCAACCTCCACTTCCTCCTTCTCATTCTCCGTGTCGGCAACGTCTCCGGTCTCCTTTGCCGCATCCTTTCCACTCTTTTCAGCATCCTTGTTACCCTTTTCCGCGTCCTTTCCACCCTTCTCCCTATCCCTGCCGCTTTTATCGGCATCCTTCCCGTTCTTCTTTTCTTCATCCTTAGCAGCTTTCTCGGAATCCTTGCCGCTCTTTTCAGCCTCCTTACCATTTTTCTCGGTAGCATCTCGATTACCCCTCTCTTGGTCCTTCGACCTCTCGCTGCTCCTACTGGATTTCTCGGTATCCCTGGTTTCCCTCTTGTTCTCCACAATCCTCTGTGGAGTCCTCAGCTTCAGGGGCGAGCTTTTCCTTTGACCCAGTCTCCTGCCTCTGGGCTTCTTCTTTATCTTCACCCTCTGGATCTTCTCCACCACCGCGACGGGCTTAGGGTCGATCATTGGGGACGTGTCGGACCCGGTTTCACCACCTTCTTCAGGGCTCTGGTATGGATTCGGAATCTGTGTCAGCAGCGGTATCCACCTCAGGCACTCCGGGTCCAGCTTGATCCTGGTGCTCTTCTCCAGCCTCGCCATGTGTGCGTCCACTTTCGTCCAGTCTACGACCACGGCTACCTTTGGGGTCCCATCACCCTGCGTTCCCACGGTCCTGACGAAGCCCAACAATTGCAACGCAGTGCCTATGTCGTGCGCCGACACCCCCGTCTCCTTCGTTATGTCCTCCAGCTTGATCTCCTTGATGTCGCGGTGCCCGTGGAAGTACTCCAAGACGACGCTCTTCCAGAAGGAGTGGTATGAAACTCTACCAAGATCGGAAAGCGGCTTCTCCGGGGTGCCCGGGATCCCCTCGACCTTGGATAGTAGGTAGCTGAACTCGATCAGGAACCTCCCGTACCCCTGCCTCTGATACTGAGGCAAAGTCATGATGCAGGAGACGTTGTACCTTTGGGCCGGACAATGCTTCTCTTTGCTGAAATACCCGATCAAGTGGCAGCCGTACTTGTCGTTCTTCGTCACTGCGTAGAAGAGGAACGGTTCTACGTCGTAGTACAGGGTCTTGTGGTCGAGGAAGAGCTTCGCCAGGAGACACAGGTTCTGACAATAGATCTTGTTCACGTTACCGTCGATCTGCAAGAACATCCTTGGGTTAACGGCATGGTCTATTCTGGCGACCCAGTAATGGCATTTTAAACGCATTTGTCAAGATATCTTACGACACAAAACCGGCTATTTAACGCCTTCGTTATCTCTCGAGTTAATGTCGTTCAGGAGCTGTATATTTACAACTATGTACAAAAATATTAAGAAAAGCCCCTTGAAACAAACCGGCCAACTCTTTTAAAGATACAGAGAATTTTCAGTGTCATCCGATAAGGTCGTGAGACATCTAATAAAAGTAAAAAAAAAAGAGTTAAAGGCCACGGTTTGATCGCAAGATTCTATTAAAAACTGTTAACAGTCGGTCGCGAGAAATCTCGTGAAAAAAAAAACTTAAAAAAAAACAGCATTGGACACCTCGCCCTAAGTGACAAAAGGATGAATACATCGTATAGATAGTTACCTCCGAAACTGAAAACTCACCTCGAAGACGGACAACCCGTTGCATCGGTAAATCTCGGTGGCTGGAGGATGGCGCCATTGACACTTGTCCATGTGCCTGTCGAGGACGGCCCGACTTTTCGTGTACTTGAGGCAGAACTCGCAGAAGAAAAGCTTGGGGAGCCTCGCGTACTCCTGGGGGAACGGGCTCGAGTACCAGGTGTCGACCTCGTAGCGGCCAAAGACGATGGCCGCGGGGTTTCTCGTTCCGGCTCCGGGTCCGCTGCCACCAGGACTCACCGAGAGGACGCCCTCGTCGGCGTCGACGGTGAGCCGGTTGGCCCGGTCTCTCGCCTCTCGGAAGAGGTCCACGTCCTTCTGGGTAACTCCCGGGGGTAACGTTTGAGGCACCATGGGTTCGTCTGAAAAAGAGCGGCACGTCGTTTTCCAAGGGGGTCCGTCCTCGCCCATCCTTATACACTTATTAGCATCTCGCTTAAAGCGCTCGCTACTCCTACGGAGGAGTTCGCGTCCCCTTATCACCTATTACATCGACTGCGGTAGATGCGAACCACAAGCGAGATTCATATTACACGTGTATTCGGAATAACCACAGAGTCGACTGGAATGACCTTTGACAAAATCTAACTAAGCTTGATAGGAACTCCCGCGGGTGGGTTCGCCATCCGTCCGCAGTCTATGACCTCATGGTCCATGGTTTAAATCTAAAAATATATATATATATCGCAGCCAGCTAACCAGCAAATGAAACCCACGGCGACGACGTCTGGGGTGAAAACTCATGTCTCGCGACCGTGTAGCTCGCTACGTTACCGAATGACACGTGGAGGCGATGTGCGATATATTGTGGTATCGAAAGCTTCCGCTTTCGGCGGCGTTTCCACTCAGTTTGCATTTTGTGGTTCGCCCAGCGAAAGAGGGAAGCTTTCGATTCGGGTGGTGCGGGTTACGGGTGACCGGGTATTCCGGGTCGAAAGAGTAGTGCCGCCATCTTGGGAAAGCGACCGAAATGCGAGAAATGCTCATCAATGGCGGCTGTTAATTAATGGTGGGCGGAAAAGCGAAGCTTCGGGGTCGCGGGATGTGTTGGCAAAGTGTCAGGGTGGCGGTTGGCGTTGATTGCGAGGTAATAATTGCGAGTGAAGCCTGCAATAGTCATGATCACGGTTATCAGTGCCTGACAACGTCTCCGACATGGAAACTTCAAACGTGAGATCGCTCAACGGGATTCCCGTTTCCCGGAGCTGCGCTTCTTCTCGATCGTGGGCGCAATCGAGAGTCCGTTAGAAAAGAAAAAAAAAGAAAGAAAAGGAAAGAAGAGAAATGGCGTTGATACGAGGCAAGCCAAAGGTTTCCGTGGTTGCGGTCAAAACTGGAACGCGGCCTTGAGGTTTTAGTCACCCTTCGTTGCGACTGGTACCAAGAGTCGCTCGAACGGTGGATTAATAGTAACTTTTACCCCATGAAAGCTTAATGGCCTCGAGCGACGCCAGGCGTCGCCGCATGCAACTATTTACAGTCTAACCTAAACATGATACACTGATTAAGATGTGCTACAGCTATGTAGTAGGACGATAACATGCAGTTGAACGCAAAAATTATTATTTCGGCGCAAGATAAGTGGAGATTTTATTATGTTATGTAACGTCGTGGATTAATCCTAAACGATTAACATACCCAAGATAACAATCCGCGAGCCTAAACATCCGCGTTGCCTCCACTTATCTAAACCAGCGACATTTGTTAATTCCACCCAACTCTATGCAAACTGGAATCCGAGTCAATGTATTTACAATTTAAAAAACGGTTCTACTATAATTTATTCTGGACGTTAATTTCGTCCTTGATTCAAAATATATCAAAACCATTACGCCGCACTCGTTATACTCTGTAATTCTCATTCCAGTTTGCTCTAAGAATGGGTTGGCTAAGCCACTCCGAAGGAACCAGATAGACCCGCGTTTCGGGGCGCCGCCGCCAGAGGCGCGACCGGCGCGTCGCGCTCGCCCGACGCCCATTGGTCGGCGCTGCCGGTTCCATCGGAAAGAGGTTACGGTCATACATACACACAAATACCACACCACACCGCCAACACATCCACGGTGGTGAGAGCGAGGATTAGATTAGAGGGAGTCTTTGCGATGGGGTGCATCATCGAGGTTGGGAAAGTGAACGGGTGGGGTAGACTCTTACCCTTCCTGTTGGAGCAGGGTGTCGCGCGGGGTGTCGTGGTGGTGTTGGTGGTGGTGGCGCTAGTACAGGCTCGAGGGTTGGATTTGGGGGAGGAATTAGAGACGACGGGGCTGGATTGGCCAAGGGGGGTCGGCGAGGTCGGAAAGTCAGGCTCAGGGTGGCGCGACCGGGGTGCCTCGGCGTTCTTCTTCGCGAGCGACTCGTGCCTGGCCAATCCGGAGCCAGGGGACGTCGCGGTGGAGGCGCACTTCACCAGAGGCGCATCGTCGACGCCTTTCAGGCGTTTTCTCCTCTCCTGCTCGTGTCGTTTGGTATTGACAGCGGTCTTGACGAGGTTCGAGGGGGTCATCTTCGTGGCTCTTTCGGCCCCGGGTCCGTAGAGGCACTCGTCAGAGGGCACGAAGATACCAGGCCTAGGGACCCTGGGGGACTCCTCTGCCAGGCTTCTCTTCCTCTCTCTGGAGCAGCTGCCCTCATCGGGCGACTCGTCTCGCTTGCCCCTGTGGTGGCCGGTTCGCAGCGACTTAGCCCGCTCCTGGTTGGCCCCCTCCTCGCCAAGGGGTCGTTTCCTGCGATCCGGCGCGTAGTTCGGCGCCTGAGCGCCAGATCGCGCCCTCGTGTGGGTGGGGGCTGAAAAGAAGTGGCTGAGACCGTCGAAAAGGCCCCTGAGCTGGCCGGCACCAGGTCTGCACTTCTCAGTGCCGGCGGGCGCGCTCCTCTCCGACTTCTTCCCGTCCCTAGGACTTGCCGCGGGTTGGATGTGCAGCCCGAAGGTCGGCTTGTTCGTCAGGTCGAGCTTCGGCAGGGGCGCCCCGAAGATGCCGGTGATGTTGCAGAAGAAGGGCGACTCGACGTTGAGCTTGGCGGCGGCAGCGGCGAAGCCCCAGGGCTTGTCCTCGCTAAGGTCGCAGGAGAAAGGGCCCGCGGGCTTCGCGGGCTCCCGGGCCTCTCCCTCGTCCGAGGACGAGGACGAGGACTCGCTCGACTCGCTCGAGGTCTCCTCCTCGTCCTCCTCCTCCTCCTGCTCCTCCTCCTCCTCGGAGGTCTCGCTCGGTTCCGAGGTCTCCGAGTCGTTGCTTGCCTCGCTGCTGGCGGCGCTGCTGCCGGCACTGGTGCTGCTCCCGGCGGAGAAAGCCGGAACTCGCCGGCCGCCGGAGGGCGCTGCTCTCCTGGGGGCGTCGGCGCCTCGACCTGGCCCGGGACTCGCGCCGAGCGGCCCCGACGACTTCTCACCGACGCCCGCCGCTCGCCTCAGCTTGCTGTGCTCCGCGTTGAACGCGCTCAACCTAAAGAACTTCTGCTTCTCCTTCGAGATCCGGTCGTTCTTCTCCTCTAGCAGCCTACCCTGGCCTAACTGCGGGACGGGGGGGTGCGGTAAGGAAGGGGAGTTTAAGGCCGGCTGACGAGGGGAGACAACACCCGCATTACCGTCCGAGCTGCTGTCCACCTGAGCCACCGCCGTGCTGCCCTTCTTTCCCGGGATGGACACCGTCAGGCTCTTTCTGGACGCTGCCGATCTAACGGAAACAAGAGGTTGCGTTAGTACCGACGAGCTTCTTCTCCGGCGAGATAGCTTTCATGATTTGAGCTTAGTCATAAGAGCCTTAACGCGTTTGCAACCGCCGTTCGATAGGCAAACCTCCACCGTAGCCCAAGCTTTTTTAAAGCATTCAAAATTGTCACAATTAAGAAATCCTGGCCTCTCGCAAAGATTCGGAGATATGCGACGCTGGTCGCGAACGGGTTAAGGTCTCATTACGATAGATGACATCGCCTTTCAGCGAGACAAGATCTACTCTGAATCTGGATAAATAGCAAGCATTACTCCATCGACGTTTTTCCACACAGGAGAGCACTGATCTCTATACTAACCGAATAACGGATACCTACTTGCTCTTTGCGGAATGTTGCGTAATGAACTCAAGGCATACCAATGCCGCTATTAAGTAAATTGTACGCACGTGCAGATGGAACTGCAGTGGTCTCATGTTTTTCGAGTAACCATATACCGTAGACGCTCCATTAACCCGACGTTCGTTATCCGAATAGCCGGTCTTCGAATTAACCGACGATCATTACTATCCGCGATTATTAATCGAAGCATAACCCACAAGTTTGAGAAAATGTACGCGCATTGTGATAGCTTCCGCATTGCCCGTGATTTTAAATTATTCGGGCACCAATTCCTGGTCATTACCCCGAATAATCGAGATTTCAATTTTACACATTTCGAACAACCCACTGCTTTTGACGCATCCGCAAGTACTACCGATACCAGTTCTACGATTATTATATATAGGGAAATCTTAGGCGAAGTAGTCTTCCCTGATCGTCGCGCCATTTTGTTTTTCAGGAACGTCCGATTAGTACAGAGACCAGTGCGGGAGAGTTAGCCGGTCGCGGCGCCACTTTCCGACTCACTTTCTGTTCTCTCGGATCTTGCTCAGCCGTTTCCTGGCGCTCGTGAGCGTCCCGTCGGACTGGGGGGAGGTGTCCTGGGACTTGTGCCTCTTCCCGTCCTCCCTGCTCGAGGAAGGGTGGTGCGCCGTCTGGCAGTGTCGACACCGCCATGGGGCCTTGCTCTTCTTGTCCACCGCGGGGTCAAGGCAGGTCGGGTGGTAGCACTTGACGCACCCGGCGCACTTGACCAGGTAGTTCTGGGACTCCCGCTCTAGTTGGCAGCCCGCGCACGTGGGGGAGCAGTCGTCGCACGACCAGGTGGCGCCACGGTCAACCAGGAGCGAAAGCTCCGGCGGCGCGCACGAGTTGTGCAGCGCGGCGCCGCACAAGCTGCATCTGCTCAGCTTCTCGGCGGTGGTGCGCTTCGTGTTGTTGTTGTTGCTGGCCATCGTCGCCCCCAGACACTCCCTGCATATCGGCAGCGGTGCTGGTAGCTGGAAAAAGAGCAGAAGTTCAGGAAATATTGCGATCAGGAAACTCGGTAGAGGTTCGCGCCAAATACACTTAAAAGGCTACGCGAACGATACCGAATACTTAACGCCAAAGTTCGGCACTTCAATTCGATTATTATTTATTTTTAACCGTTAACTACGGACACGCTCTATTTTATATCCCGAACACGGGCACGCGGCCTGAGACCGCCACAATTATTTCATTATCAAGCGGAGAATAATTTGCACAGGAAATGAATAACCCGCATGGGAATTAAACGATGTAGTATCTAAACGTTATTAGTGAGAGTGGAGAGATTGTACTAGTAACAAATTATGGGGGACAAATTCGCAAGTTTTTCGCACTAAGGTGTAAACACAGTCCAATAGTTATAGTCAAATGTATAACCTGCACAATGAGCATACAAAGATGGAGAAGAGGATGCATTTTTCATCCGATCTTATTTAACAAAATCGACCGTGTTCACGTTCCAAATTCTTGAACCGAATTCCAACGTCATGACAACAGGCCGTTGGACCCATATTTGCAGATAAACGCCTGTATCAGCGTTAACATAAGGAAATGTTCCACATTTCAACGCTCGATCAAGAAATAGCTCCCGGATTTATGTTCTCATTTCCTCCGAATTATTGGCAAGTAACGCGATCGCGTCTCGCATTCTTCGTAAGATCAAAGGGGCTTAAATATAGCCCTGTTGCGTCACTTCCTGTGACGTCATAGGATGCGTCATTGACTCGGGCCTATCTCGCTGCATCAGAGATCAGAGGGATCCCCCCTCTCGCGCTCTTCTTCGCAGTCTCTTCCTTTAATCAATGTCTCCTGTCTGTGTTACCAACCGGCTGGAAAAGTTATCCGCCGCGCCGACAGATGGCGCGACCCTCGAGTCGGCCGGGTCGAGCCCGCGCGCGCTGTTGCCACGTTCCGGCGACTCACCGCAACAATTACGCAGCGGAATTCGAAGAGGGGGACAATAGAGATTTCCAGGGTAGGAGCGGGGGTTTATTGGCGGGCCATCTTTGCGCGGATCGGCCAATTATCGTGGCCGAGGGGTCTTCGTGCTCGGCACGTAAACGCGCGCCAGCGTATCGTTGCGGGGCGCTACATTGGCCCCATTGTATGTATATACGTTCGACGAGCGACCAGCAAACTGGAGCGGCGTAATTATTCATACCGGACATTACCAGAACTTCCCCCGCGGGTATCTCCGGCGATCGGGTAGGGTGCATCTTATTAATTACGCACCCATGGGTCGCTTGCACGCGCGTAACCGGGCAGCTGCGAACGCGCAAAAGTACGCGGCGAAACGAGATATTGTTAAATGCGGTCTTCTCTAAGAACGTTTCTTATTTTTTTTTCCCCCATTTTTTTCTTAAAATCTCACAGCGGGATATATCGCCTGTAGTTTACTAGCGTTGAAAGAGGCTCGATTCGAAAAGTGCACCTATTTTTTACAGTCATTAGTATTGTTGTATCCGGACACCCTATGCACGCTCTTCTCACAACCGTTTTTTGTATGTCTCTTGACAACGGTCAAGAGACTGCGAAAAACAGAAGTTTCATGTCGGCGGTTCCCGTGTAATGCCGTCTCCCGAAATAAAGAGCTTTTCTTTTTGCACCTTGTGGCCGACTTATTTTACATCGGCATCAGAAGTGGGGACTCTGAAGCGACCCATTTATTTTACAGTATTTACATTCAGCTCTGTTTTAATCTTAACGCGATTCCCGTAAATGTAATTACATCGATGCGTTACTCTATCGGCTACTTGTTGGCATGCAATGTGAAATAGAAATAACCCTTAGAAAAAATAAAACTAATTATGCCCGAAACAACCAATTCCTTCGCGGGGGGCATTTCGTAAAAAAGTAATTAATGATATTTTATAGTTTCTTTCAATTTAGTTTTTATTTTATTTTTTTTTTTGAATGCGGACAATGCCAAGTGATTAAAGGGATTCTTCTGGAAGGCGTATCGTTGAAATGGAGCGGAACGAGTCCGACACGCAAAAATGGATCCGCTGCGTTGGCAGAGGGGCATAAACTGGAAAGCAACAGAAACGCCAAGGCAAAGTAACCGTTGCATTGACCAGAAAAAATCGTTGGGAGATTTGAGAGTGGATACTTCATTTACTGCAGCGGAATTGCACACATAAAGCAGACGGCATCGGAAAGCCGTGCAAAACGGTCGCGCGATCACACGGCGTGGGATAAACAAAGGATAACGCGCTGCCAGATGGCGGATCGAGCGTTCCGATTGGTCGGTTTAGATTCCGCGCGCTCGCGAATCGCCGCGCCGCTCCACCAAATGGAGGAACCTGATTGGTCGAAGGAATGCACTCTCGTGATTGACCAATGGGTGACGCTGCATACCGGGACGTTTTGAATCTTTGAAATATTTAGTAGCGGGACAACGAGCGGCTGTACACCGATTGTTTCATTGTCTCGGATCTACCGAAGCGACGATATAGGGATATATACCCCGACAATAATCGTTACGTCTGCCTTATCGAGGTTATGCAACGCGATCGCGCGCAAAGTACACCGTGTAACGGCGTTAATCAATCCCGATTATGTCACGCAATTAGTAACAGGTTCTTAAACGCGACGGTGAAGGAGGGGGGATTTTATCTGGCAAGCTTTGCATGGACCCGAAACGGCGCCCTTATTAATTGGAGAAGAGAAATATTGGAGAATTTTCATTGAACGAGGTGCTCCATGATGAAAAGTGCTCCCGCGCAGCCCTTTGAAAAGACCAACGATAAACACGCTTCCAAGACGTAACCACGCTTACCAACCAATGAACAGATAATTATCTAAATTAAGGAATGACAAAATAAAAAATATAGTGTATAAATAGTAACGTTCTCCTTCTTTCCAGTCCAATTATTGCAAGGATCTTGCCGAACACCTAGACACCGTTCAATTTCAAAACGAAATGACTTCCTCGCGATATTTGTAAACAAACCCCTGACACATTGCAGTATATCAGCCTTTTGAAAGACGCAAAATGAATAAAAAAAAGAAATAAGCCCTCCGTGGGAGTACACCTTGTCACCTTTCCCCGTCCGAGTCTCGAAGACGCCATCTTGGAATCCCTAATTGAACCGTATTTACATCGAACAGATCGTTCCGTTTATCTTCGGAGGCCGGCGCACTTAGAGATTTCATGGAAACCGCAATTAGTTGGCAATTAACGAGAAACCCCGCGTCGCAGCGTCGGCGAAGATAAGAGCCTCGCGTGGGAGAGCTCGCGGATGCGCGCGCCGCCACTCGGTAGGAGAAAGTACTCGAGCGAGCCGACCCGGAAAATCCGGGTTCTATCTCTACATCGTCATAACAGACGATTTGCTGTTTCTAGGGAGCAGTAAAAGGACCGGCCGCGTGGGTCCGGTTTCCATGGAGCCGGAGTGCGAAGTCGCGACTTTGAATATATAACCGGTGGAAACCGCCGAAAGCGAACCGAGCGGTTTACGATCGCGCGAGAGCAGCTTCCAGTTCGTGGACCAACGACCTGTTGCTCGACGGCGAGCGGCGACCAATCATCCGGCAAATGGCCGGCGATTGGCTAGCTCGGTGAACCGCGCGTCCTTACGCGTCACGTGGCCCCTAACGTACCCTTAACGTTCCCCTGTCTCGATGTCGCCCGTCGACGCGGGGTAGGCAGATCCTTAAGAAGGGGTTGCGGTAGCACGGCTTTAGCGAAAGGGTGGGGTCACTTAACGGTCGGTTGTGCAAGGTAAACACCATGGTTCCAGAGTCGGGGGCATTTGGACTTTGCGGTTCCTCTGCTCTTTATCAACCATAAACAATTAACGGTTACGTGGAACCCAATTTTTTTTTTCCCATAATACAGTTCAGATACGAGCGAACCCCGATAAAATTCTCAGTGCAATCGGTCAATCGAGATCAATCGTTGAAGGTCATTGGTCAGCCACGAATAGGAAGAGCTAATTTGTTGTCGCACATATCTTTCGCGCATGGTGTCAAGAAATACAACATGGATACATAATGTACACCGAGAAAAAGAATTAGTTAACTGAAACAAATATATATATTGTTGAATCATATATGATTGCAAGGAAAATTGATGTCATCGAGTTAAACTAAACAATCAACTTTTTTTTTTCCTCGGTGTATGTACTCCGCACGTCAGCAATCCAAGTATGAAGATAGAATTGAAAGAGAGAAAACATAGGAGCCGTTTTCTCGTTCTTTCTATCTCTCTGTGTTCGTGACAAGAATTTCACGACGCAACGTACCAACCACCTATCAGGAATAGAGGGAAGGAAAAGGATTGCCCTTCAATTCGCTCTTTGCTATCTTCACGATAATGCAAGGGAATTTACCAGGACCTGATTCTATAATATCTTACGAACAAGATTGATACATAGACGAACCGCAGCGAGACACTCAATGTGATCGTTCAACAGAGGTGAAAGGGTTAGAGGTGGTTGGTCAGCCGCACGCGGAATGAGTCGACCGCGCATTCTTCTCGCGCAAGGTGTTCGGAAACGCAACCGTCCAACCTAGTGACGTCACGCGGATCTCTGGTAACGCACAGTCGCGGATTAGCGTAACTCGGTAAGGTTTCGAGCCAAATACGTTTCTGAGCGAGAAACTCGTAACATTGAGTTCGAGCGAGATGCTACAGAGTTATATACAATAAGGATCGAGATTTCAGGATTAACGTAACTCGAGGGCAACGAAGAGCCAAAAGTTAATCGCGACTAGCGGTTCTCGGGCGTATAAGCGGCGATCGCGACTTCGCCAATTTCCCGGCGACGTGCAATTATGCTAATCTCGCACCGGGGCTCGAATTCCTTCCTTCGGCGGGAGGAGCCGAGGGGATTGCGTCACCGATTACGGAGAATGCAAGAGTGCCGCGAGACACGTCGCGAGTCACGTGAGCCGAGCGCCGTCAAAAGCGAGGGAACGGTATATATCGAAACGCGAGGTTGCGCGACGGAGAGAACGGGAGTCGGGCCGCCATCTTGGATATACTTCGGCCACGGTGAGAGGAATAATTTAGTTTATCTCAACTATCGGTTAAACCCTGTAAGAAACTAAACGTACAAATGTAGAAGAGTGTACAAACGAGCCACGCCGAATGCGGGGTGCAACGAGGAAACACGGAGGAACGGTGAGGGGACCGCCGCGTCGAAGTGTATCAAGGTCCGAGATCCGATACGCGTCGGTGAAGAAGGAGTCATTCCACCGACCTGCCACGGCCGGCCAATAAGAGCGCGAGGTATACAAACGAGCGGCCGGAAGTCGGGCAAGAGATATCGCGGCAACCCCCTTTATTCTGTAACCCTCCTCGCCTAGTTTCGCTTGGGCGTGGGCATTCTGCATAACTCGCAGACCCACCGCATTTCGGATAGGGCGATAAAGATATCTCATGGATCTACCAAGGAACGAGTGGATGATAAAGTGAGATTTTAGACAAGGGGACTGAAGCTCGAAACGTAACAAGGCACTGCAGCGGTCATCTTTCTTTGCTACCACATGCGCGTAACCTTGTATCCGTAAACAACAGCCAAAGCGTATGGCGCATTTTTTTTTAAAGTACGATAAAACGCGCGTCAAGAGGTACCACGATGGAGAAATTGCATTGCGACCCTGTCTTTAAGGATGAAAATGGTGAACGTGAGTCACGGTTACCGCGTACTTCAAACCGTTTGTACATCTTTATATTAAAAAAAAAAAAATGCTATGTTGCGTTAGCGTTAACTTTGTGCGCAACGGATTTTCCGTTCAAAAGATCCACCTTGATGCGTCGCATACATCGTCAAGTGGTTCCTTGTATCGTTCTTCTTTCATTTAAGATAGAAATTGAATATAAGGATGTAATTAGTGTTAACCGTTTCGAGATTCGTGTAATCTTTAAGTAGTAGCTTATAATAAAACCGTATAAAAGTATACAAGTATCGTTTAACGCAGCGAAGAACGAATTGTCATTAACGATCGTTAATCCTTTGCGGTGTCATTAAACCTCAAGAATGCACACTTGCATCGCTTTCTTCATAGACCCATGAGCTATCTTCTTCGTTTCTAAAGGCAAGATGGCGTCCCTCTCTAGCGAACCAACCGCCATTGCCCGTCCCGACCTGGCAAGCTTCCCACCTCGGATTTTAATTCCCCGATTACGCAACGTCCTCGAAAATGCGAACCTCTCACTTGGTGCCATTGTTTCCAGAATAGTGGCAGCATTCCGTTCTCCTAATTGATAAATCTCTCCCGTGTTGCGGGGTTCGGGAAAGATCGTCGAAGGAATGGGACCCGGTCGAAGGCGCGCCATTTTGGTCTCGCAATGGCGGCGTGACATTTCGCTTCAGTTCGGTGCGGCAGAGGTAATCGACGGTAGCGCCTTAGAGTACGGCAGCGCGATCTCGTGTGCGAGGCATTTGCAACGTTGCAGGTGATTGTGGGCAAACGTCGAGGAAACGTTGCCGTACTCTATCGCGGTCGGTGCTCCCTCGTTGCGAACGGGACTTAAACCTGACAAAGAGACACTCCACTCCGACAGGCCGCGGAGATTAATGGAACGTTCGCTCACAGGAACTGCGAGTCTTTTTACCTCCTATACGTTTGACCTACAGTGAACCCGGCCAATGGAAAGCGAGAATCGACTCAGCGATCGTGGATACTTGGATCTTGCGGTTAAAGGCCTTTTCGAATATCTCGCATCAACACCGTAAGCATAGAAAATGTCAATCAGACTGTCGGACGTAAGACGCCATATTGAATTTTCTGCGCTTAACTCGACCTGCCGTTACGTTTGCGATTACTATTACGTGAAGTATCCGTGAAAGCCTTTCCGAGGCACGAGGTTTATAGACCGGTTAACGCTTTGGAAGTGAAACTTCTAAGTTAAAAATAATGATTAGACATTATTAATTATTCTTAATTATACCTTTACGAAGGGCCCTTCGCATTCGGTACCGATTGTTTCGGGCATGACTATTATAATTTCACTTAAGATGCCAATAATTTACCGACGGAATTATGCACTAACAAAGACGGTTACGCAAATTCGGTCGCACTGATATCAATGTCCGTGTAAATTTACACACTCAATCATTGGTTATTTCGATGCTACAATAAATTGCAGTAAAATTAACATAAAAATTATAGAAAATTATAACGTAATATTACATTAAATTCAAGTAAAATTGCACGAATAGGGTAAACATACAATGTTAGGCGTATTTATTAATTTGCTAATATGCAATTCTCCCATTTTACGTCTTTCTATGTGAAACTTAAGTTATGAAGTGTGTAAAAATGTATGTAAGTTTCCATCGATTTTTATCAGTGTGGTACTAAGGCATAAAAGTGAGTATAAATAGTAACTAACTGTCAGCATATGAAAAGCACTTTCCGGGTCCCTGCCGTAACGTGCGATTTTCGATGTACGACCGCACCATAAGAAGTTTCGGTTAAAACGAAAATCGAAGCAAAATTTTCCCGTCTGAATTTGCATATACAAAAAGTCAACTACTTTGTATCGAAATGTCGCGGCGAAGGGATGTGTATAGTTTGTACCACCCTGTGCGAGGGCAGGAGGCAGGCTTGGTGAATACGTGCGGAATACTTGGACTCGGATACCCGTACACTCGCGCGTCTAGATACCTATCACTCCGTGGCCGCGATGTACGGAAAGCAAGATGGCGCGCCCGACGGCGGGCTTTCCGGTTCAAGGTCGCCCGCGGAGCGTTGCGCCGCGAAAAAAAGGTATGCAAGATGCGATACCACGAGAAGGGAAAGGAAAAAAAGAAGAAAAAAAAACGCACGAACGAGGACCGCGATTTCAACGATGACGCTCTTCCTGTTCGACGAAATGAGGAGCGGGAAACGACAGTGAAGAACGTATGTTTCCACGGATCGGAAACCCTCGTTACACCTTAGTCGCCAGGACTCCCGATCGTTTCTACGCAAGCACCGGACGTTTCCATCAAAATAGCTACTTCCAGGATCCTACTCAACGGCCCCATGGAAAATTCCTGCAACGAGCTAGCTCCACGAGAAACCGGCATAGTGCAGGATCCTTGAGTGCAACCTCAAGACACGGGGAACCAAGATGGCGGTCCGACGCGGGACTTTCGAGTCCAAGGTCGCCCGGAGAACGCCGCACCACGAAGAAGGGAGTCTCGAAGTGCGTCTTAACCGCCAAAGGAAACAGAAAACTCGTCACAATCAGGTTTACCGAATATCGCGTGAAACAAGACTCGTGCTATTAAGGCTTCTTTTCCCCCAGAAAATCTATCACGTGAATATGGAGGCCACAAGGAACGCCCTGACCCCCATGAAATTTCACTTTCTATAAAAATTAGTGACTTTTAGTGAACCAATTTTGAAAAGTAAAGTTTCATTGGTATCAGCACCTTCTTTAAGACATCCCATACTCCAATGGGAGAATTTCGAACGATTCAGTACACCTAGTCGGAAGGAAAGTTTCGTAAAAGAAACCTCTCAGGTGCCACTTTCATGTCGCCTTAAGGTGATGTGAAAGTGTCGCCAAATAGATTTCGTTTATGAAACTTTTCTCCAATGTGAGTCCAATGAATCGTTTCAAACTTTACAATGTAAACATGGAGGCTATAGGGAAGGCCCTGACGCCCAAGAAATTTCAATTCTAATATAATTTGTTTACAGCTATTTTCAAAATTTCTTATTAAAAAAAAAACAAAATGAAATTTCTCGAGTTTCAGGACCTATCCTAGAGTCTCCTCAATCATGTGGTAAAATTTGAAACAAGTTGGTACACCCGATTCGGAGAATGCTTTCACAAACGATTGACTCCTCGGATGCCGCTTTCACGTCCCGTTGAAGAGTTAAGCGGAATGTAAAATTCTAGCTTACCTTAGGGGCCGGAGGCTCAGCGTTTTCGCGCGAGCCATGGTGGTGTGCGGGGTCGCCGAGCTTCTTGGAGAGGTTGGGCGGCCGGTCGGGCTGGCGGAAGAGGCGGCCATCTTGGAGAACGAATCCGCGGTCGACGGCCCGCTTAGCGGAGAGCCGGAGGGCGGTGCGCAGGTCGCCCTCGGCCTCCTCCTCGACGGTGTGGCTCTGCCTGATGTACCGCTCGATGCTCCGGATGGTGGAGCCGTCGCGTTCGCCGAGCTCGCGCACCGCCTTCCCGAAGACCTTGCTGAGGTCCGCGGTCCTGGTGACCTTGAGCGGCCGGGACTGAAGGCCGCCCGGGTCCTTGTAGGAGGACTGGCCCTTGTTGAAGATCTTGAGGACGTCGCCACGCCTCACCGCCACCTCCAGGTGCTCGGCGATCTCCTCCTCGTGGTAGTTGTGGTGCTGCCGAATCGCGTGGCATATCCGCTCGACGCTGGGCCGCTGCTTCTGGCTGCGGATCTTGCGGATCGCGTCCAGGAACCAGGCGGACCACGTGTCGGCGGTCGCGGGCTCACCCATGGCTCGGCACCCGGAGCTGAACCAACGAGCTCACCCGGACCCACCACCGAACCCACCGCGCTGGCCGACACCCCGGGGGGCACCGACACTCACATTCTGACCCGGGACCGGGGGTCTTCTCTCCGCCGCGGTGACCCGACCACCTGGAAAGACAACATACTTTACGATCGATTCTTCCTCTTTTCCTTAAGGTCGATTTACCCCCACCCGAGACGTATCCGTATCGTACCCCGGCGGACGCGAGTGCCTCCCCTGTGGACACGGTACCGCCCGTATAAGAAGAGAAGGCATTCGCATCGAGTAAATTCAACTCATTTTGAGTTAACTAGGGCGAAGCTAGTTGGTTCAACTTAGATTTGGAGATAAATCACATTTTGCATTTGCATGATTCTACTCAGTAATGAGTTGGCGTAACTTTTTTTTATTTGAAACTACTCTTTTTTTTTTTTTTCAATACACTTTTCAAGGTTAATTTACTCTTGGTTTTTACTCAGTGGAGGATGAGCAGGGGTAAATCGACCTCTATTAGGTAGAAGCCGAAGAAGGTTGCCGATCGCCTCCGTCCCCGCACCTGCGGGACTCCCGGAACCGGCATCCTTCTTCCGCGGGTGTTTGGCGAGCGCGTCGCGGGGGCAAGGGGTTCAATTGGCGCGATGCGATCAAATGAAGCGGTATCAAGAGGAGAGCAGGAGAGAAACGCATTCGGCCGAATGCCGAGTTAATTAAGGCCCGCTGTTCGTGACGGCCGATCCGGCGGAAATATCGCCGGCGCGTTGCGTGCCCGGCTACGGCACCGGCGACGTAATTAACCGATCGCAATCATCGGGCCTGACATTTTCCAATTTGCGAGGAGGTGCTCCCTCTCCCCGCGCGCGTCATCGACGTGACGTCCGCGGGTAGCCCCCAGTCCATTGGATTCGGTTCCGCCCAAAATGGCCGCGGTCAAGCAGAACTCGTCCACCTCGCGACTTCGCCGACCCGTAACTTTGTAACCGTTTGGGGCATCATTCCGGAAGCAACGGGAAATCGTTCCAGGGCAGTGAACGAATCGCGTGAGCATCCGATATATCTCGACTAGCGGAAATACAAGAACACCTCCACGTGACGGATCGGTATACGGTGCCTAACCTCGGACGTTTCACTTTCTTCCCGAGTCGCTGGGAAAAGTAAACGGGACGTGGGGTCAGACATGCGAGAGATATTAAAAGTCATTCTACCCCGGAGCTTTCTTGCGCAATCGAACGACCATAGACCATACACCCGTAGAGTGCGCGCACGCAAATCATTAGCCTTTCCGTCTGTCTATTCTCCATGAAATCTGTCTTGGTAAATCTCCGATCGGCATTTATCGTTTCCTTTCCTCCCCAATGTGAAATTTGCCTGTTACCATTAATCACTATTGTCGTGGTAAATTTTAATTAAATTATGTCTCGTCTAGACTCAAGGGTGGAAAGCGACGACGCATGGCTGGCCTCTCTTCCCCCGTAAAAAATGAGTTAAACCTCGCCGTTCTGGCTCGCACGAGTCTCTCGTTGCAGGGATGCGATACGTTTACGGCAGAGAAAAGTTGAAGGTGGAAAAAGGAAAAGTCCGCTCCAGAAGTCGTACTTTATCGAGCGAAGAGGCTCCCCTTCGCGGCGTCGTACTTCGCGGAGCGAGAAATTGATTTCAATTTGCATCGGTCGTTATCGGGAGCTCGTGAGTCATAAACTGCTTCGCTTTCGGCAATACGAATCCCAGATCTGCCGATAGAATAATCGCGTCTACAGCGTTTTGAGATATTTTTCCCCCCTAAATCATTTGCAAAGCTATCGCGACTTTTCCTGTGTTTCATTTTTGCGGGAAACTAAATTCGATGATTAGATAGAGAAATCGCATCTGCAGCGATTCGAGACATTTTTTTCTTTAAAATTATTATTCACAAGACCGTCGCGAACTTTCCTGCTTTTCTTTTCTTTCTGCGGCAAACTATTGTAGATTCGATAAGTAGATAGAGGAATCAAGTCGGAAGGGTTTCGTGATATTTTCTCGTAAATCATTCGCAAGACCGTCGCGAATTTTCCAGCGTTACTTCTCTTTCTACGAGGAACAAGATTCGATGATTAGATCGAGGAAGACGTATGGAAATATCGCATTGAAATGCCTCGGAAGGGAATTGCCTCCTAGGGTCCAATCTAGGGGCACAAGTGCCCACACAACGCGATCGTTAATAGCCTCAATAAGCGGGGCCGTGGAGCATCTCAATGGAAGCATATCTCGAGTATTGAAGGTGGCGTAGTAAACGTTGACCTAGGCCTGGATCGCTCGACCGATACCAGATAATAAATATATCTTCACCGAGAAGCAAGGCGGAAAGAGTTTAAACTCGATTTCTTTCCGCGAAAGGGCGCGCCAATCATCGCTCTGATCTGGCTAAGTATCTCGTTGATTCATTTTTTCTTCTATAAACTAAGATCGTAAATATCCTCCTCTTCGATGCCGTTTCAGTGTGTTTCAAAGTTTACCAGAAAATGACAGACCGGATAACCCGGCACGGATGGACCGATACAAGAAAGTACGAATATTAACTCGATGCTTTTATTGGTATTAATTTCTCCGTCCCGTTAGCTGGCTACTTTATTATATTTTTATATAATTTTTTATACATTAACGACGTTGAGTTTTGTTTGTGGCATTTTTTTTTTTCAAAAACCAGAGCTATTAAAAAAAATAAACAATTTCCGAAAATGACCATTTCAACGTTTTCGAGGCTCTGAATTTCCCTAACGTCAGAGAACCCATTAGAGCCGAAAAATCCAAATCTCCACGATTTCAGAATTTGTTTATCTTTTCGAACAGCTCTGGTTTTTTGTAAAAAAAAAATGGCACAAACAAAACAACATGGCACAAACATCTACATCACAGAAATATTCCAATAAGCCTGTTAATTTTGTTTGTGCCTCAAATTGGATTCCCGGTTCACAGAACCGGAAATCTGGGGTTCGGAAATACACGTAAGACGGTCCATTGAGTCGGCGACAAATATTTCCAGAAGCGTCAGCTTTCAAGGGAGGAGTATTATTCCCGCGGGATGTCATAGGGATACGGAGGGCTGGTCGTATCCTCCCCAAAAACGAGAATTCCGTTCCGGAATGTTCGTTTCGCGGCATTATCCGGGACTCGAGCCACCCGAAGGAAGCCCATAAATCTTCCCTGCAGGAAGTGGACCGTAAACCGCGTTCGCAGAGCCTCCTGCGTGACTCGGCTGCATTTCTCTCCGGGAATGGCGATTTTTCCAAGGTCAACTGACCCGCGCAACCCGATTGAAGGGAGACGCACGCAGTCTCTGCACTCAAGAGGGGAGCCGAGGTGAGTTCTGTGCGCCGACATGCCTATTCGAGTCTAATGCACTCGGGTTACCTATACAGCTAATGGAAACGCGGTAACCTGGGTCGTCACGAACCGCGTTCCCTTCTCCAAGAGCACCGCCAACGCGTACCCTCGTTCGAGTTTACGTTTCCGATACAAGAGAAAGAAGGTGAAGTGAAACTTCTCCAAACTAAGGTGATGCGAAAGTGCCACCTAAGCGGTCAATTGTCTTTGAAACTTCTCCAACCGAGAGTACCGTATCGTTTAAAATTTCACCACATGCATACGAATGCCCTAAGGAGCCTGCACAAATAAAATGAAATTTTGTAGGAAATATTTTCAACGTGTTTATAAAATGTAAAAGAGAAAGAAAGAGAAAAAAAAAACACGAAACGAAATTTCACGAGTGCCCCAACCTTCCTCAGAGCCTCCCCACTCACGTGGTACAGTTTCAAACGATTCGGTGCGCCGAGTTCGGAGAAATGTTTTATCAATATTTTGACGGTTCAGGGGACAGTTGCATATATCACCTTAAAGCCTTTTCAGACATGTCTATACCGTGTCCGTGCATTGATGGAAATAACATCTTAGATTTATCTCGGAGTATCGTGAGAAGACGCAGTAGCGCCTCGACAAGTTCATGGGCTTGAACTAAGCGCTACGCCTCTCTGTACTCTAAACATAGCTTTACTCGGGATTTATTCTCCTTTAAACGACTACCGCTGGTACTAAATGACGTTGTTCATTTTTTAATATACACGGCTTTAACAATATTTCCTCTTTATCTTGAGACCAGGACCACGGTAATCGATGAAGACATTCCTAAATAATATCGAATTAAAATATTAATAGCGTCAGTTTAATCACATTCAGCCGTCGCCTCCGTCTCCTTTACGTACGAACTTGTGTGTGAGCAAATTGCTCATGAACCCACACATCCAAGACCGGTTTGTCCCCCAAGACGGATTCCCACATTTCCATATCTCTAGCGATACGAAACTAATGCGGAAAGTATTAATACGCCAATACAAATCGAAGGAGACAATTTCTATCAGCGTCATTCGGACAGGTCCGAATCGGCCACTCTTGGAAGATCGGTTTACTGTCCATTAACACGTGTCCGATCCGTTTGTAGTGTCGGACATGTATATATCCGCCTTTTACATTAGCGGTGCCATAATCCTACGGGTAGCATTCATGTTCGTCCCTGTACAAACCGGAGTTGGATACGACGCCTGTAAATGGACCTTTACTCTGGTCTTCGATGCAATCCTCTTCCGATTTCCTTTTACCCTTTTACTTCATTACCCCGCCGAGGGGGTAGCGACCACCTTGACCCAGACCGGACGCACCGCTTCGCGATCCCGAGTCACGGCGTCCTGACCGCCGCCGCGGAGCGCTCGCCTCATTAGAGAGGAAACAGTCTCCGCTCGAATGAGGTGGGCGCACGCGCGTCGGCCGGGTCCACGGCCTCTCGCTCGGTGAGCAGCTGCCAGGCGCGGGTCGCGGGAGGTGTCGCGGTGCGACCGCACTCGGCAACGGCCCGCCGACGAATGACGGCCGCGACGTGAGCACGGGAGCAGAACACGTCGTCCGCGCATCGATCCGCGCGCCCGCCCTCTCTCTCGCTCCCGCGTCCCCTACATCTCCGCTCTCGCTCCCTCGGCCGACCGCTCTCGGCAGGGCGCGAGATCGCGCGCGACCGGACGCGCCTATAACCGCGCGTAATTACCCGAGTAACGCGAGCGTCTGGAGCGCCGCTCGAGCGGCGGCCATCTTGCGGAGATTACCAAGAAGAATGATCCGGACCCGTGTCGGATATATTCGATTGATCGGAAATCATTTCGTATCCAATTTCCAAAAAAATTAATCAAATATCCAATATCTACACATCACCGATAAAATCCATTTCTTAGCCCAAGATTGACGAGACCCGTCAATTTAACGAATTTTTTACCTTACGAGAAGAATTACCGCAATCATTGCATACCTCCCCCTTGGTTACTAAATCCAGAAATAAATATTACGATAATATATAACATCACGTAACAAAATCCATAATTTAACGGTGTATAATTAAGCCGTTTCTAGATGAAATAAGTCGGTATCTGACGAAAATTCAGGTTGTCGTTCAATTTGATATAGGTATAGAGTGCCCGTAAACCTAGTGTTAAGTGTCTTAACCACGTTGCATGCCAATCGATTTTAAGTCCCGGCTAGGAATTATAAACCATTCGGGATAGCCCGAGCGGTTCGTCCAATTTCGCTCGAATTTACAAAATAGGAAAAAAGAGAAAAAGGTGAGCACGCAGACGAGCGGCAGCCACTCAAAAATCAATATCCAGGAAGCCGAATTCCGCGCAACAGCGCGCGTTGCGATCTCCCTCGGGAGAGGGGAGAGCTAGAGGAAGGGAAGAAAAAAAGGCACATCCAAAGAAACTACCGGCACGCCGCAACCCCTCGGAAACGATAGCCATCCCCGATCGTGCATCCGCCCGGCTATACGCGTGTTAACGAGGAATAAACCCTCCGAGGGTGCACTTCCAAGTCGCCCTGCCGTACACGTACGCGCATATCCGTAAATCGTCCCATTAACGTACTCACGCACGAGGTAGAGCCCCGATACGGATATAAAACCTCCCCGCGAAGGAAACGGGGAGAGAAAGAAAATTTCTCTTCCTTTCTCCTCCGATCGTACATCTGTCCGGCGACCTATGGACGTATCAACAAGGAATAAGCGCTCCGAAAGCACGCTTTTAAGGCGTTTCGCGGGCGATAACGTCGTCGTTAACATACGTTCAGAGCGATACGGATGATATACGGATATGCACCCCATAAGTAGAGTTCACCCTCTAAGAGCACTTCCGCAAAGCCGTTAAGGATTCTCCCGCAGAGGTCAGAAACGCGCTTCCGCTTCACCGACTTTTCGGGGAATAATTTTAACGCCCTCGTTACGCCGTTTCCGGGGGTCGACGCTTCTTTTCGTGGGAAATTTTGTACAGGAAACGGAGGAGGGCTCGCGCACTCTTTCTTAGAGGAACAGAAGGCATCCGGGGTCTGCCGAAAATGTCCAACAATGTCCTAGACTTTTCTTCATGTACGGGATCTGAGAAAAATAGAAGACGAGATCAATTTCCCACGTTTATCATGGCTAGGAAGAAACTTGCACAATCGAGTGGATTTTGTCCGTCAGAAAGGGTTCTAGTTTCCTGAATCAAGGAAAACGACGGGCAGATAGTTCCCGCCTTAACGAGTTAATTGGCGACGTACATTGAGAATGTATAAATTCTACGTTCGTGCAGAAAGAAAAAAAGGAAAAAAGTTTGACCAAATTTGGTTCATCTCAATACGTATCGATCGAGTGAACCGAATATATATATATATATATATATATATATATTCGATCGGATAAATCGTTTCTCTAGTTGTCGAAAATATTTCAGTGAACTTACCAAATATTCTGATTAAATCTATCGAATTTACTTTTAATACTCAAGACGTTCTATCGTAATGTTTGCTAATCGAGCCGAAGTCATCGACCAAAGAAGTATGCCACGTCAATCGGATATTTGGTTGTTCTATATTCGATTTATATATTCTACGGTCGAACCAAACATTCCTCACTTAAACCAAACATTTTTCCCCGCGCTCGTTGGAACGGATAAAGTATTAAAAATTCGTTAAACAAGAAATTCCCGTATTGGCCGATCTCACGAAAGACGCGTCCGAGTCACGTGGCACATATCCGAAATCTTCCGACGCGTCACCCGGAGAGTAAAAGAGAGAAAACGACGAGATCAGTTTGAAGCATTTCGTGGCCACGGACCGGTCAAGGTTCTCGATTTTACGAGATCTCTCGAGAGCGCGGAGGAAACACATTCGGCGCATCGCGAGCCGGGCCGTCGCTCTCCCGTCGGCAGCCATTTTTCCAAGACCTCGAGTTCCATCTAATTAAATGCAACCCCTTGTAATTAAATTCCAAAAAAAACGAAGAAAAAAGAAGAAGAAAAAACCGACACAAGGTAATAAAACCTACCGCAATCGCAATATTCGCCGTTTCCGGTCTAAGCAAGGCAAACGCGTCCCCATCGGGCAAAAATAAAGAAAGAGAAAGAAAGGGGAAAAAAAAAAGAAATCACTCCCTCGCCATCTTCCCGCGGAATCGTTCACGGTCCGAAAACGGGGTCAGACAATTCAGCGGAAATTATCGCCTGGATATCCGTCCGAGCTGGACACGTCGGAAACTGGACCGCCACGATTCCGCCGTCGGCAGCCATTTTCCCGCACCCGACGACCGGACGAGGTCAAATCCCGAGGAATAACCCGCGGCGATCGAAAACGTCGCCCGGGAAGTTCCCTCCAGAAGTGACGTTTATCGATGACGCACGAACTCCCGGGCGGAGGGCCGCGACGCGCGGCGTGGAGTGCTCGAGAACGGCGAGGGGCACACCCAGACCTGGCCGCTCGTTTCGACGACTTTCCTCGACGGAGACGTCGCGTCCGGACGGAATGCCGTTCCCCGAGGTCGAGGAGCGAGCGCCGTCCGAGAGGCCGTTTCCGCGACGTCGGCGACGCGCCGCTGCCCGTCGGCAGCCATTGAGCGGTCGCGTCGGCAGCGTCTCGGTATTTCGCCGGGCGGAATGGCGAGATGTCGAAACGTCGGGGAAACAATCCGCAAGGATTGATTTTCCGTAGGGAGAAACGGCGGAAGGTAGCGCCGGGTTCGGCGCGTCGGAGGACAGAGGCTGCGAGACGGTCTAGGAGGTTAGGGGCGCCCTAACCTCCTCGAGTCGGCCTCTCGGGGCTCGGCCCGAGGTTGGGCGCGCGCCTTGGCGGCCGAGCCCGGGCGGCTCGGAGCGCGCGGGCCTCCGCGAGCGAGCGCGAGGCCAGGCTCTCTCGGCCGTCGGCAGCCATCTTGGGCCGCGATCCTGGCGGCGCGATTCTCGGCGTCCCCCGGGCCGCGGCCGCCTTTCGGAGCGGTCAGAGCAGCAGGGAACGCTCGGCCGGGGTCTCGGGCGTCGGTCGGGAGCAGCCTCTCGGCTCGCCCACGGCCCGGGTCACGGAGAGAATTCGGCGAAGCGAGGGCCGCGCGGCTGCCGCCGCGGCAGCCCGTATGCGTCGGAGAGAGCGCCGTCGAGCCTCCGCCGCGATTATCTTATATCCCGGCCTCGCCGGCCGGGAAACCCGGCGGGACTCACCTCCTATCGCGCCACTTCCATCGGCGAATCCGCGGGGCACGGCGGCACGCGTTGCGGGAGGCGCGCGGCACACGATAACGCGCGATCACCAATTATCTCGCGTAAAACGGCGTCACATTTCACAAATCAACAAAGGTTACCCACTTGACAAAGATGGCCGGCGGGCGGTACTGCGCGGGCGCGCGGCGGGACGGCGCGCGCGGCGCCGCGCCGCGGCGGTCACGGCAACTAGGCGGCGAGGCGCGCGGCCGGCACGCGGTGACCAACCGGACGCGCGGCCCGATCCAACATGGCGGCGAGCCGAGGCCGAGTCGGGTGTGCGGTCCGGGCGAGGCGTCGCGGCCCGAGCTCCGCGGCCCTCATGCCGCGCGGCTCTCCCGCGGGAGACGCGCTCTTGGCCCCTCGACGAGGCGGACACCGGCCGCGGGTACGCGAGCGCGAGGTTCACCCCGGCGCGTCTCTTCCTCGTCCTCGGAACCCTCGAGAAAACCGGGCGCGAACGCGACGTGTTCGCGGCCACGCGAAACACACTCTGTTGTACGCGCTCTCGGCAATTTCGTAATGAGATTATTGATTTTTTTAAGGGACTCCTCCTCCTCCTCGGTCTCCTTCCCCCCTCCAGACGCGGTGCGTGTGCACCTATGAGCTCGACCGACTTTGACTTGCGCTCTCTCTCTCTCTCTCTCTCTTTCTCTTTCCCCCTCTCCAACCTCTTCTGTCTTCACTCTGGATCCCCGAGCAACATAACCTCCCAACGTACTCGGCGCGACGCGTAGATGAATGATAGCGACCAGGGCTATACTTCCGGCGGATTATAGGTTAGGCCGCGCCAGCGGTGCGGGGCGGCTGCAATGGCCGCGTGTTTACGTTCCAGGAGAATCAACCAATGAGCGTTCACGCTTTCTCCTAGAGCGCGCCAAAGGCTTCGTTTTATTGGCTCGAAACCAGTGAAACGATAATGTAGATAACGCCGTGAGATCTTAACGTCTGACCGACGGAGTCGGGATCGATGTGGCCGGTTTAAAGAGATTATTGATTTTCTTTGGACACGGGTGAGTGGACCGCCGAGAGGTTAGGATTCGCGATACGGACGTGTTTGTATCAACGGCACGCGAGGACTAAACGCGTTAAACGTTAAACCTGTTCTCCGTTTATTGGGTGGAACATGATGAATTTAATGCACGTGAACTCGGGAGAATCGTGATTTACGAGTTAATTCCTCACGAGCTGTTCCCACTTACTCCTCCCTAAATTTACGGAATAAAAGAGCCCCTAAAATCGATATTTCTATTTATTATCCCTAAACTTAAAACGTTATTCATATCGCGTCTCGATTCTACAAATTCCTGAAAACTGACGTGATTTCGGAATCTCCAACATACGACAGGCCACACGTTGGGTGAAAGTCATACTTTGGTATACATAAGTCATCTATGAATAGCTGTGATTCATCGTATCGATTTCTGTGTGAACTCGGTTCCAACGTCTGAAAACTATCCAAAAGATATATAATACTCTATTACTTTACACGTCGGCGTGTCGTTCCCGCTTCAAGGATCTGACGCCTCAACGATATTGAAGAAAGGCGACGTCTTACATCAATTTCCTGTATCATCTTCCCTTTACACTGAATCGAGCACGACTCTATATTCCTCGTGGCCTTTTTTATCTCTGGAGTAGCAAAAAAAAAATTAAACAGGTTACGACGCAACACTTTGGGCGTGTATCGGAGCAGCATGAGACGTATCCAGAGCTGCGTACGGTCGGCGCACTGTCGTCGCCGATGACTCATGCGTGTTTGGACACATTCTGAGAGATGGCAGCACGTGTGCCGACACGAACCTTGTAGAGACGTCAAGTAGTGGTTTGTCCGTCCAATAAAAACCATTCGACTCGACTTTTTACGGCCGATCAGAAGGCCAGGCCACCAAGAAGAGCTATTAACAGAGATGAGTTGGGAGATTGCTCACGGACAGGATCGTGCGATCGCATCCTGTGCTGCCCTCTGATTTCGTACGTTAGCTTTCACCGGTTTTTGCCCCAAAGGGCGGCGCAACGAATTTCTGATAGGAGCTCGCGCACTCGCGACGGCGGTACCATCTACCAGTCGCCGTTGGCGGCTCACGTACTCGTGATGGTAATACCATGCGGCAGTTGACGGGGTGGCTTACCTACGCTTACCGACATTTCTCGCTTTTGATGGTAAGGGAAGAACACTCATGGCGCCCTCTTTGACTTTACCCTTCACTTATCTTATCTATTTTGTCCGCAAACGAAACAGGCTAAACTACACGTGGGTGCCCGAGAGTTGAGTTATACTTTATGTACAATTTTTATAAGCTACGAAAATTAATAACAAAATAATAATTAATAATTCTAAAGGTTTCGACTTCTAATTTGTAAAAAGTGCGATCAATTGAAAATAATGCATTTTCTTTAATTCGAGTTGTACTTTTTTTTCCCCTGTACAAATAAACGAACTTATTAATCAATTATATTTAAATTATGTAACTCCTGCAAAACGTGGGCATCTTTCCTTGGGTCCTCGTTACGACGATTATGCAAAACATCTGTATACACGCTATGCCAAAAGTATTGCATTTCTGAGCAAAGATATTATGATTCCTGATTGTACTTTGCACGCAATCGAAATCAGCGATGTTACAAAATTTGTATGTAACTCTAAGGATCAGGCTATGTGTAGTGTACATAACAAGATCAAATTAAAAGTAACCAGGTTATTTTAAGTACAAGAATTTACAGGATCCTACTAAGTTCTCCTTGATCATGGGGAAAAATTTGGCTTTCCCTCGTAAGTACATCCAGATCGTTGAATGATCAGGGTGGCAGCATAAATGCCACACTTCACGCACGTTTCTGTGTCTTTGCCTTGAAGAAGCTCAGCCAAAAACCCTGAAAGCGTCACAATTTGGACTTGTTAATTGCTAATTTTTCTTTTCAAAGAACATCAGTCAAAATCAAAAGATTTCCATATTACTCATATTCAGTTAATTTTTAATTTTCTGTACATCAATTAACTAAGGAAAATAATGTACCTACCACCAACAAAAGCATCGCCGGCACCGTTGGTATCGATAACGTTTTCTTCTGGTACCTTCTCGGCAGGGTATTCAACCACAGTATTTTCATGTGCAACGATGACAGGTTCAGCCCCTTGTGTGATAATCACTAGACGTTTTCTCTTCTTGTTTATTTTCTCCAGGTTCGCGATTTTTAGAGCAATATCTCTTCGGTCTGTTACACCTAAATCATTAGCTTTTGAAAATGCATCAGCTTCGGTTTCATTACCAAAAAGTATGTCAACATAAGGCAGTGCATCCCTCATGGGCTTCTTGTAAAACTCGCAGAGAAACGGAGCGCTTAAATTCATGGCAAAGATCTTATTCTCCTGGTAGGCATATTTGGCAACCATCTGTATCGTCTCTGGACTGACTGTCAAGAAAAATCCCTGGAGTGTAAAATTGTACGTTCTGACATTCGACACACAACCATTTACACATTCACCACGGACAGTAATTGCCTACTTACAGAAATGTAAATGTACTTGGCATCTTGAAGCAGCTTATGATTTTCTGCCTCCTGAATATGTGAAAGGGAGAAACAATTCGCTGCAGCTAGATTAGCACAAAGCGATCGCTCTTTTCCAGTTATCAGCACGGCACAGGTGCCTGTTGGTTCCTTATCTGTATATTGATACCGAACATTTATTCCACTGGTTCGAGCTCGCTCTTCCAAGATTTTTGAATACTTATCCCTCCCAACGCAGCCCATATACGTTGTAATGTTGGGTTTCTCCAGAAACCACTATATTAGAAATATTTATAAATAATATAGCAAATATAAAAAGCACCAGTAGTACAGTTAGCAATGAAACATAATCAAATATTAATCATTTAAACTCCTAATAAACATCTACAACTTACTTGTGCTACTCTCATGGTGTTTTGTACAGATCCACCCGCAATAAAGTCAGCTTTATACTGCTCGATAAGTTCGTCATAAAGTGGTTTGTGCCTCTCATTGGCGAGTATTGCATCGTTAGCTTTTAATCCATACTTTTTCAGAAAATCCTCGTCAACTGTGGCTGATATATCTAATAGTGGATTTCCTAATCCAAGTAGAAGACCCTCTCTGAAATATGTTCATTAGGGCTATAAATAAAGCAAGCTTCCGTGTCTCCTCCACCAGTTAATGCAAACTACAGCGTTAAATTGTTATTTACACCAGCAAATCTCGATTACATTCAATTTAATTCAATCAAACAGTGAATGTCTCGATGAAACCAAATAGGCCGATTAGTTTGAATAGGATTTAATTTATTGTACACGTGTGACATAAAGGTTGTTAGTACTGAGTCATAGTTTAACCGTGATAACAGCGGTCACAAAGTCGAGATAAGCGTTATAAAATGGGAAACAGATAAATCATCATACTTGGGTAAACTGGAAAAGGAAACATAACCTTCGAGCGGGTATTCTAAAGCCACCTTCAGTCATATTGCGAGGTTAGGATTATTCCCGGAGGGTTAAGATAATTGAAGATCGTTAATAGTACCGTAGTTCTGCCATTAGGTTCCAGTCTCAATCTTCTGCCGTAGTCTTTGATAAAAAATGTGCGTTTTACTAAGTGTAACCTATACTAGACTCCACCGACCAGCGGTTGCGTGCCAACTGATATTACATTCGAAACGGCACTTCGGGAGCTTCCCACATGGCGGATGATGCGCCAGTGGCAACGACCAATCACAACTTGGCACGAACAATTCCAGACCGCTCATTGGCCGATAACGCGTAACGTTCACGTCATAGCCAGAACTAAATATATACATTGCACAATCACTTTTTTTCTTACCGATTACGTACACTGCAACTTTAACGATCCCCTACAGATTATAACATTCTCGAAGATACAAACCATATCATTATTTCACATTCAATATAGACCAAAGAACCTGGTTATCAGCTTCAGTTCCCTTCGAAATACTTATAGCGCTTAGTTCTAAAGGTGATTACACAAAAGGAAGATAGTCTCAATCTTTTTTAAAAATATTTTTATTCCAGACTTACCAGAAGTCATACTTTCCTTCATTAACATTCTTACTACTTTTCCACCTCTCAAGTAAGGCCTCGATCCAGATTCCCGACGAGATAACAGAACCGCGCCCGACAAATTCGTGTAAGCACGTGGCGCCGCTACGTCATCCACGCGAACTTCACAGCCACGAGTGCGGTCGAAAACGTTAACCTCGACCTTACCGACTCGAGATTCTCAACAAAAGACCTCGACAGATATACTCCAGATACATTCCCCGCAACTTACCTCAAACTTCGACTCTTGCGATCACGCGCCACGACAAGCCCAAGAACAAAAAAAAATGAAAGAAAGAAAGTCGCGAAAAGAAATGAAAACCTATCTCTGAAAATCTCTCACGAGGCGAGTTGATTTATTTCGCCATCCTCTCGACCCCTCAGCCATAATTCGCTGGATTCTCTCAGCCACGAGGGTTCCCTCTCGAGCCCCAATCCTGAGGAATAAAAGAAACAAGAAAAGAGATTTTGGATACTCGGGAGGGTACTCGAGTTATCCTACGCTCTTAACAGGAGAGGTTTATTTTTTATCTCACCGAGGGCTGCTTGGCTCGTGTTTCTATACGAGGCTTACGTATGTCGACTGGTCCCGCCAGAGTTAATCCCGTGGATCGAGCGCCCTTTCTCGACCACCTCAGGACCCGCCCCGATCCTCGCCTCTCCCCTCGGCAGGATCTCTTCCTGGGAGGTTATATGGGAGTTCTCGTTGGACCTCTGGTCGTTCAATAGCGAGTAGAAGGTGAGAGCCCAGGCGCTCGCTGACCTCATGTCCTATCATCACACATCACCATTACAACAATGCATAACGAGCGCGTATGGATGCGTGCGATACATTTGTTTCGTATTTGTTTTTGGTTTTTTTTTTTTCGGGCGTGTTCTCGGTTTCTAGGTATTACTTTTCCCTCGTTCTCTCTCAGTTACGTATATCCGTGAACCACATCGGCGATAAAGGGCACGGCAGTCTGCGTTCCCGAGTCGGCGGATTCCGTAATTCCGTATCGAGGCCGGCGACTCCCAGCAACCGGCGGCCGTCGTCGACGTACGCGTCGCGCCGTTACTCCGTTCGTACGCATCCGTAAAGGACCCGATGGGGGGGACGGTGAATCGTCGGCGGCGGTATGCAAAGGAGGCTATGTAGACGATATGCAGAGTCCCGGCGTCGTTCTCGCTCCCCGAGTCGGCCAAGGGGCGGACCTATATATTCCGTAATCCCGGCGGCGTCCGATCCTGCTCTCCGCTTCCCGAGCCGGTTGAGAGGGGGCCACGACAAGGGACCGGGTCGTTCCGTATTTCCGCCCCCGACCTCCCCGAAGCGTGTCTGGCAGTCCTCCGAGTCACGGGGGGGCCCGGGGTCGAGAGTCGTCGGCGGGTCATCCGTAATTCGGGCGAGCGAACGTGAGAGAACCCGTCTCCGGGCCAGCGGCGTCCCGAGATCGACGAGGAGAGTCTGCGTTCCCGTCTTCGCTCCCGAGGCGGGTGAGGGACGGGCCAGGGCTGGGGACCGGACTATTTCGTAATTCCGACGCAACGATCAGTTTCGCTCTAATCGGCCCTCCATTCTCTACCATTCCTTTCGTTCACCGGCCCGGGAGTCCTCGTCGTCGGCGGCGGCGGCGGCGGGTGTTCCGTAATTCCGGGTGCGCGCGCAGCCACGTGCACGCGCGTAGGTTAGGTTACTCCTCTCTCTCTCGCCCAAGTCCCGTCCTCGGCGGCGTCCCACCGCGTACCTGCCTGGACACGTCCCGACGCGTCCGCGACGCACCTCGCGACGAGTCCTACGCATCCGTTCCCGCCGACTAGTCCAACATCGGTCCCGGACGTGTTTCCTCGACCTGTCCGCTCGACGTCCGAGAAGGGCTATGCGCCCGTCCGCTCTCTCTCTCTTTTGCCTTGCGCACGCTAAAGGAAAACCGGTCACTTTCTCTCCCACTCTCGTTCTTTCTTTCTCTCTCCCTTCGGCTCTTTCCGTCGCACGTTGACTCTAAGACGATATGCCTGCGAAAACCCTCGACATCACTCGGTGCGGCCGCCCTTGCGCGAAACCGGAAGCCGGATGTGGAAGACGTGTCTCGAGCCACGGAGAAGTTCCCCGGCGGCCTCCTGGCCCTTACACGGTTGCGATCAGTCAAAGTCCTTCCGAGCTCGCCTAACCATTGCAACGGCGTGTTCCCGCTCGACTACTGTTCTAAGATAATCGGGAGAAGTTTCAAGAGAACAAAGAAAAAAAATAAATAAAGACCCTCTCGTATTTTCATGACACTTTTTTTCTTTCTTTCCCTCTCTCGCGAGGAACGGACCGACGAGGCAAAATCAGCGATTTTGAATCAGCCTGTACGCGCACGCAAGGTAGAGACTTGACGCAACGGATATACAACAAGACGCAAGGAAATCTCTCGTACTCGCACGTGTGTTGACATTTATTAAAATAAGAATTTGCAAAACACAAGTGTTATCATGTCCAGGATATACAAACAAGTCAGAAGTAAGTTGAAAAGGAAACTGCACGGCATTTTTAATCGGCCTCTTTCTCTCGTATATAACTCTAGAGTTAGTAATCCACGTCCGTATATGCATGAAGCGTTTTATTCGCGCTGTACGCTAGCTCGTGCGCGACCACCTCATCAGCAGTGCCAACTGTTCTGAAAACATCAGTCACACAACCAACGGTTTTTAAGGTTATACTTCGAGGCAGATAAATACACGATCTCTCCTTTATGGGAATAATAAGTAAGAGTCATGTCCTAGCGGAATTACGGGAGGAAATGAATATCAAGGCGGACAAAGTTTATATGTACAATCTAAGTCAAAAAAGAGATGAAGAAAATTAAAACGGAGACCGTGTGACGGTATTCGGTGCGGACATTGTGGGTACACGGGGCGTCCCTGGCGGCGGACATTTGAACTTTTGTTACAGCTTAATAGTAAAAAAAAAAATGGAGAAACAATATACAGGGTGTTCCGATGCTCGAATCAGGTGCGAAGCGACATTCTGCGGGAAAAACCTAGACAAAAATGTATTTGCGATAATGCGCTACGACCGATAGTTTTCACTGTAAGGAGCTTTGAAGTAATGCCACTTAACTCGGTGAACAACGCTCAGACTTCATTCTCTCTACACGGAAAACCGTTGATCGCACCGAGAACGTATAAGAGACACTTTCGCCTCAGTTTCTCACGCAAAATTGATTTCCGCCCTGAACGTTTGCGATAATCAAGACATTCAGGAAGAATTTTCGTTAAAATTGAAACGCTCTAAGCCAGTGTTGCCAAGTCAGAGATTTTATACCCAGGTCTGGGTGGATTTAAGTAGTTTGGGGTGTAGTTTGGGGTATTACATATCTAGGGATTAATTGTGGGTGAAACCAGAAAAATCCCTCTGGCAGATCGGATAAATTTGGAATAATTAGTAGGTGGGTACGACATTTATCCCTTTGTGGTCCCATGTCGAGGCTGACTCGATAATTACAAAGCGATTTCAGAAACTAGAACCGCAAAGGGTTAATGTCATTCGATATCAATCTACACACAATTTTAAAGAACTTATTCTTTACAAAAAAAAAAAGATAGAATGCCGTTCAGTGCCTATATACGTATAGGTCTACCATCATTCCTCACTCTTAGCGTAGAAGACTTCTGAGCCGTTTAAAGGCGTCTTCTAACGATAAAAGTGAGATATGAGTATGGTATACTGAACAACGTTTAAAGACCTAGATTTATTTCGTAAAAAAAAGATGCAATTTATAAATACCTTTCTACAAATGGGTAGAAATGGAGCTCAATCTAGGGGGTATTTAATTCACGCGTCTGGCAACACTGCTCTCGACGGAAAAGGAGTGACCAAAAAAGGTAGCGGCGCCCCCTGGCGGCCGAGTCGTGCAACTTTCCGCACGATCGGATCATCCCCGACTTTTCTTTTTTTTTTTCCGTATCTCAAGCGACTCGACTTTTCTTACGAGGGAATCGTCCTCCGACCCATCCACGAATTACTATTCTCGGCTTGATCGACGACCCGACGAGTCGTTTCTCCTTTACGCGACTCGCCGAAGGGTGGAGGGGAAACGCGCGACACAGAGAGCGAGCGAAACAAACGAACATAAGAGAGAAAGAGAAATGCGCACAGAGTGAGAAAAAAAGTGACAGAGTGAAAAGGTTTCCGAAGGAAAAAACGTTTTCTTCGTGAGTTTGAAAGCTCCTTTATTATTCGTTCATTTATCGCCGAACCTAAGAGAGACATGTTAAGTGCCAGTGGGAACACCCCGACTGAGACACACCTCGCTGTAACTCTCGTTCCGTTAATTCATTCCGCAAGTTAAGCCACCGACGAAAGCGCGGGACAAACGCGGCGGATAAAAGGAGCGAAAGAAACGTCGTTAGCGTTCGTGGAGCGAAATAAAGAGATCGACCTTCCGGTTCCGCTATCGCGTCGTCGAATTATTTTATTTCCCGTTATTTCACGTAACCTGGCGTTTACGTCGCGTCGTAATATTTTATTAGTGCCTCTAATAAGGGGCGAAAACCCTCCGAGAAAAAAACCAAGTGAAAAATTAATATCTTTAGCTAGCTTCACGGGTGCAGGGATTCGACGCGCAGGCGCGCCATCCGGTGGCGTTACGCGGTACCAAATCCGATTTAAGTATCGTTCACGTTCGACTTGGTATGGGTTTAGCGTAGAACTAGCGTTTAACATAGAGGGTGTAGGTAGTGTAACATAGAGCGCCCTTCACGAGTCGATGGCTCAGGACAGACTAAAGATGAATTCTAACGAGTAGTTGCATTCGCTCGAAAAGACGGACAAGAAAGTTTGAGCATTGCAAACTTTTCCCGTTCCCCGCTACCGCTCATTTTTGCACTACCCCCACACTAATATTGTTTTCAACTTGGTTACACCTTACACTAATGTTGCACAGATATAGTACAAATGCATAGCGACACGGCATTGAATATTGTACACACTTTTCAAGTATTGTTTCCCCCTATGTGAACTTGCAACCATTAAAGGTATTTTTCAAAAATGAGAAAATGTTTGAATCTTCGCCTGAGTGACGAGACCGTTCTCGTGAATTATCGCAAGCATTTCTAATCATAAAAATGTTGGCGTCGCCGTTTTCACTTAGGTTTTTTTTTTTTTTAATCCAAGATCACTACAACGGTCGTAAAACAATAGCGAATCGAATGCAGACTACTAATTAATACCCCATCAAACCGGCACTGACTAATCGAACATAATTAGTGGCGATACTCTACACTAATGGTGCTCAGGGTAACCAGCTTAAAACGATATCGAGTCACTCGTGAACGATATTTTCATCATCCGCGGGAATTTCGAAAATCGCGTCTTTGAGATACACGCGCCTCCCCGGAGCCTTTTGCTAGCTCGACGACTTCCCTTCCTCTTAGCCCACCCACGACAGAAAAACGCCCAAAATCTCGAAACACTGGCCTGCTCTTTATCTCACCCCGACTGCAACTCGACACGATAAAGCAAAACCGCATCCACTCTCCAGATCGGCAAAAGAAAGAGAAAGAAATCGTCATCCAAACCCTGTCCTCCCACGTGACGCGCGGCGGGACTCAATCTCGAAGGTAAAAAAAGCGACGCTTCGACGCACATATTTTTCCATTGTCTAGAAAACTTCCTCCGTACATTAAGTAGTACAAGGAGACGTAACCCCAATAGTCGGATCCACATAAAGTGGCCCCAGAATCGGGAGCCAGGATCTCAGATTTTCGCTGATCTAACGATGCGAGCGCCACTTGCGGAAAGTGAAGGAACTCCAACCCTACCCGACCAAAACCTCTCCCATCGACGTAAATGACCTAAAATGCTTTTAATTTTGCAATTAAGTTACGCAAAGTGAAACGATAATCCACGGGTGATATACGGAATGTGATGTTTTAACGTGATAAAGATTAGCTGACGATATTCTAAATACCCACTGGCGGACGATAATTTTTAATTGCAAGAGATTCATTGAGGCGCTCTCGGCAATAGATCAGAAAAAATCTGAACATCTTGGATCCCTAAAGTGGGGACAATTTCAATACATGGTGTTGGATCTCCTTATACGACCTTCGTGGTGTTCCGTACCTCGTCCCGTTTCCGCGCGCGAGCGACGACTCGCAGGAAGCCATAGCGACGAGAACGCGGCGGGTGTTATGGATGTAGGATATATGGAGACCCCTCAGGCCAATCTAACCACAAAAGCAGCCAAACCGAGAGAGAGAAAGTGAGAGAAAGGATAGCCCATCTGTTCTCTCTTCCCTTTTCGCTGCCTTCACAGGAATACCAAGGGAATAGTCGAGTTTACGGGCTCCATGTATTCCACGCCCATGCGCGTTATTCGGGACGCCCCGACCGAATCGGGTTCTCCCAGGCGAAGATTCTCGATTTCCGAGGGAGTCGAAACCCCAGGAGCCCCAGGAGGTCGAGGGGACTCCTCCACGGCACGCGACCGAGTTCGGCTTTCCTTACACGGCGAGATTTCGCGTCTTCATTCTCCATGTCGGACGCACGCGCACGGTCAAGCTATTAGAGGTTGGTGCAAAAGTAATCGCGGTTTTTAACCCTTTAACCCTTTGTACGATACATCGTAAAATGAGCAAATCATTACTCTCCAATTTTTACTATTTCCCTGCAAAATTGGTATAATACATGTAAACGTAATCAAATATATAATTTTTAGGCAAATTTCTTCGTTGCAAAGGAACGATACACTGATAAGGGGCTACGTTAGGTTTCAGCGGGGGGGAAAAAAAAAGAAAAAAAAACTTTAAAAAATATCGATAGACAGACATGTAATATCAAAGTCACATGGCGTTGCGGAAGGTTGATAGATGGCGATTTAAGTCGTCGCGAAACTGATGACTGCACATATGACGCGTGCAGGATATATTTTCGGTAATGGAAAAATCTCTGTTAAAAGGTTACGAATTTACCGAAATAATCTTTGCACCACCCTAAAGCACAATTACGGTTAAGTTCTCGCGGTCGGACGGTAAAAGGGAACATGGAAGACGATAAGGGGCCGGGAATTGCCGCCCCTGGCGATCCGATTTCGGCCATGATAAAAAACGTCCCTGTTATCGCGCTCCACCCTGATCGCGAGGGGTACTCGACGAATTCCGCCTCGCGGACCTTCCCTTCGCAAACGTCCTCGAGTGTCAAAGGAAGAGAAACCAACACGCTGCGTAATTCTCTTGTCAATCTCACAAGTATATATTCTTATTACATATTCGTGGTTCTTTAATCCAGGCGGTACCTCACGTGGTCTCATAGGATCGCTACTATCGATAAACGTAGTTGCAAACGCGACGGGTCCTTAGCGGATGTAGAAATGAAAAACGGACACGGCAAGGGGATGGAGGAACAACGAAAGTAGGAAGAAGAGGAATAAAAACGGAAACGATAACCAACAAAAAATGAAAAAGAAGAAAAATTCGAAAGACGAGGATCAGGAGGGAATCGAACAGCTAAAGGGTGGGACTTACACACCAAAGGGGGGAGGGAGGTTACAACGCGCGCGCGCGCACGCACGCGTACGGTAAAGGCCGCGTTCTTTATCGTCAGTTACCAGCTAATTAATTGCTCGATTATCAAGTGGATTATTACTCCTTTACAGCTCGGCCTTCAACTTCTCTCGCGGCCCGGGCCCTTAAAAGGCCGGCTCTCTACACTTAGTAAAACGACGGTTTATTACGAGAGACACGTGTGCCAACTAACGCTACGATATATCATTAATAATTCTCGATCGCGAGCCATTGGGGATCGCGCTCGACCGATGCGTACCTTAACGACCTGACGTTCAAGTCCGTAAATTTAGATTCGCATGTACGAGGGGAATCGAAAGTTCGTGTGTCCGTGTGTGTATGTATACGTATATAATAAAGGTATTAAAAAAAGAAAAAGAAAGAAAGAAGAAAACGAAAAATGGCAAAACAAGAGAGAGAATCAAGAACCGAGACGAGGGGCGCGGAAAGAAGTCCGCTGTCTTAGAGAACTCGAGGAGAATCATTGTACGCGAGGATCCCACGGTCGAGTTTCTTCGAAGAAAGAAAAAAAAAACACCGGCCGAAGGGATCTTTGTCCAAAGAAGGAAGGTAAAAACAAAAATAAAGAATACAAAAATAAAAAGGGAAGCCGAGAAACCGCGGGGCGCGGATTCTTCCACGCGTCCCGGCTCGGCCACGTGGTCGAGGCGTCTAAAAGGTTTTCGGCCATAGAGTATATAGAAATGGAGAAGACGTTACTACACGTGTATACGTTCAAATGTCCGAAGGAGATTAGACAGAGTGGGAGACCTTCTCTCTAAACATCGCCGGAAGTATCTTGCGCTCAAAGAAGCCTTGAGGCAGGAGACTTAAGCAACATGATGCGCGGTGGAAAAAAAAAAAAAAAAAACGTGCAAAGAATTTCTATTTCCAATGGAAGATTTCCTCGGTAAGAACGTCCGTCAGCGTTTAGAGTGAGAAGAGACCTTTCTGTCCGATCTCCCCCGAACACCGCCACCCTTGCCCACCGCTTTTAAAAGCATCCTCCATTTCTACAAGTTCCATGCTTTCGGCGCGGCCGCCGGCCGAGCCACGTGGTCGAAACGTCAAACTGACGTTTGACCGAGAAGACGCGCGCGTAGAGCTATCACTCGCTGTCTCTCTCTCCCTATATATATACACATATACATAGAGGGTAGTCCTGTGAATGTCTCGTTCCTTCCGTGGTAATACAGTCGTCCGGTAATCTAAAGGGTTAATTTCGTGGAATCCTTGGGGGTGGTGAACCGTGTTTCCGCGATTGTCCGCGTGCATGTATACGTGTATGTGTTTTTGTGTGTGTGTATATATATATAGATTGAGCGTAAACTGCCGGCTAGGAGGACTCGTTCCGACGGCGATATTCTCATCGAGAGACCGGTAGGGCGGCGAGCGGCAGATCTCGTTTCTTCGCGCGTGCAGATCGACGGACGGCCAAGAGTTCTCTCTTTCTCGGTCCCGACGGGCTTCCTGCTAGCGACAGAGACCGACACAGACGGACGGAGACCGACGGCGGACCGATCCGAGCCCGACGCGACCGCTTTAGTATGGTGCGAACCGGCGCGACGGCGATGGCCCTCGTAATCCCGGTCTGCTAACCAAAATCATCACGATCAGTCAGGAAGAGCCACGATCGTCATTCGACGTCTATTAAATATATGATAGATATACAGGGCGAGCCGTCTAATACGCGAGCGCCGAAAGCGTTCCTCGACCCATCGACCTTACCAGAAATGGCGACTAATTCGAGCCCGCTCGATATCCCGGGGGGTGGAGGGCACGGCCAATGCGATTTTCAATAAAATTCCAAGGGAACTGAAAATACGCGTGCACACCCTCCGGGGTATCGAAGACATCTTGAACGCCAATATCTTCTGTAACGTCCACGGGGGAAAAAAAATACCTCCGACGCGGCTTTAGGTGACTAACCCTGTACATTTATTATAAATATATATATACATATATATCAGGCAGGATTAATGATATTCAATGATAGCACATGTGCAAATAAATGTAAAAATATATATATATACATATATGTATAGGTAAATGCACGTATGTGGTTGCGAATAGAGAACAGAGCAGATAGAGTGCAGCAGAAGAGGCAGACAGATACAACCGAGATGGGTTTCAACCATCGTTTGGGAAGAGTTGAAAAGAGTATCGAGGAAGCTTTGAGCTTTTGTCGATGTAAGTCACCGAAGGGAAATGACAATTGACTTTCTGTTTTCAGATTCCAGGCCGTGGCGAACTGCTTGGGACTTTTTCATCGAAGGCTTCGGTGAAAGACTGCGGGACACTGTACTTTGATTCGTGGTTGGAAACTCCTCGGAGAGGAAGATCCTCTCTCTGTGAAAACTGACAGATGGTTAAGCTTAATCTTTTCGAAGTGGATAAAGGCAATTCCATAGAAGAATGGAATATCCATACAAATCTCGTAACGTCTCTTTGGTGTCTTGTCCAGAAATATCAACGGAGCAAAGCCAATGCTAGGGGAATTGTGTTAGAGCGAAGAAGATGAAAATAGTCCTTCCAGAGAAGTCAACTTGAGTATTTGACACAGCGGAGGAGTTTCCAACGAAGCGAAGGACAGCGGAGGGTCGACTCGACTGCTCGTAAGGGATGTATCGGGGGCTTTGCTTAAAACTTTGCTCTCTTGGCAAGTTTCTACTTACCTACGCTCTTCGAACGAGTCTCGGCTGAAGTCCTCGTACATGCCTCTACTATAACAGCGGTACAATGAGTGAATCGGTTCTACCATTTTTGCATTGGAGAGATTATAACACCATACTAGCTCCCTTGTCCGAGGCTTAACTTTGTGAATTATTTCCAGTAATGCAAATTTTGCGTCGCGATGTTGCCTGATATGACCAGAAGCGAGAGGAATCAGGATCGGAGCTGGGATGTCATAGGAACTTCATCGGAGTACTCGATCGAAGGGATAAAAAATGAACTATTGATAATACATGATAAAATGAGACCAAAGAAAGTCTAATCTCATTCCCCTCCCCATAGGTACTTTTAACTTTTAAAAATATAAGATATTAAGACAGAATCGAACAGAAGGTAATTCGTTTCTCTTACACAACATTTATTTCTTTTAACTACTCTTCCATGAAACAAAATCTAATATACCTGACAAACCGTAGCCATCAAAAGGGACAGAAATCAAAGGAAAAAATGTGGCAGAGTGTACGCAGCCTTAAGTGGATATAACTGGCTTAAAGAACGTAGTTTATAATCTATCAACTTCATGTGTTCATCAAAGAGAATTGCATGCCTTTTCTACATACAAAGAGTTCCTTTGTACTTCAGAAAGGTGCTGTCATAAATCATCCTCAATGGAATGATAGAATATTTCAGCATCGGTATATAAACGCTCCCGTACATATGCGATCGCGTTTAGACAATGAATTAAAGAACAGCAGAGAATTATTCCAGCAAGTCGTAGTGCTCGCCGGAGGGATTGACATAATTCTTTTCTAACCTTGGAATATCTTGCTCGTCTCGCGACTTATTCGACGATATAACGCTTTAAAGTAAGAAAACTAACGTCTGCAAATCAGACTTAAGTAACTATTACGTATCAGTTGATGCGAGGTATATCGGAGCTAAAAGGAATGTGTGATGGAGTTCAAAGGGAGATACAATGGCTAATAATTTTTGTACTTGACCCTACAAACTGGACAGAAAAAAAGGATGATACTTGATTGAAAGACCCTGAAAAGTCTTTTCTAAATTATGGTATACAGGAGTCCAAGTCATACGAGGCAGACAACAGCGCGCTTAGGCCGGACTCAAAAACCCATGCGCCTTGGAAACTTTAAAATTATACCATTAGCTATAGACGCAAAGTAAGAATCTCCTAAATGCCTTCATTCACGAATCAAACTTCCAAATAAACTAAGCCCCTTGCGAAAGGGTTTCCCTCACAGCAGAGACCCTTCATCGAATGGACCGATAGCAAGACCCCCGAAGCCATTCAAGTTACTCCGAAAAGACCGGAGACTGACATCGACACTTTTGCAAAATTATAACAAAGGCATCAATGTAACAAATCCTTTCAACTTAAATAAATTATCGATTACGTTGACATGGTCATTGAATCGATCAGTCTTGGAACCACACTATATCCTTCCACTTTGGCAATCTAAAGTTTTTAATAGCACTTAAATACCATTTTTACATTCTATAAATGTTGAACTTTAACAAAATCCAAAACTTAGCTTCATTATTAGTTTTTGAGGTACTTATTACCTCTCTAGTTCTCAATTCTAAATGTCACGGTGCATCGTTCTGGGCAAAATCTTTTCTCATTTCTTCAAAACAATCGTTAATGAACACTCAAGAATTAAAAGAAGTAGAGTATATAAATTAAACATTACACTATAAACAAATTCATTAGGGAACAACATAAACTGAGAGTAACATGTACGATGACAAAATTTGAGGTTAACTGTCATTTCAGGGGACTCGTGCGGTTCCCTTACCAATTCAATTACCTTAATACAACATATTTCAGTGGATCTAGTATCCATCATCGACTCAAAAAGATAAGCAACTCTTCGGCGAGTCTAGTATCGATCAAAGTAGTTAGCGGTCATCATGAAAATCTCTTCTGTCGAGGCCTCCGTGCCACTCCGGGCTGAGCGATGCACATCGGAGGCAGAGCTTGAAACATGAAAAACGAGGAGGTGGAGCTTCGCAGGTGTTTCTACACTCTTAGTTAAGGCCACAGGACAAGAGAGTCTATGAACTCGGGCTACCCCTAGGAAAAGCAGTCGCCTCGTTCAAGGCACGAAGGCCCTCGGAGATCATCGCAGACACCATCATGGGCTCTTTCCCCCTTTCGTACACTAACTTTGCTGAGTTGCAGCGCAAAAGAGGGCTCCGATATATGCGTGGATATATCGTGGGAAGCGAACAAATCATTTTTTCTACTCCATTAACTAAATATAAAAGAGACTTACTCTTTCGTGACTTGAACGTCGATCCGGTACTGTTTCTTTAGGGTCGCCTGCGTTCATGGACAAAGTCGGTACGCAGCCTGAAGTTCACTGAAATTTAGAACGTACAAAAACGTCCGTAGATATAATGCGAGACCGAAGGAGAGTTCTTAGTCGACCAGAGGTGCTCTTTTCTGGTTAAGCTTGCATTTACCAATGGCAATCTATCGACTGGACGAGCTATCAGTGGGTCGATACTTCGAGACCCCGAACTATAGAGCGGGCTTCAGCTTTGATTTACATCCGTGCAATCATGCACGTGATGTCTAGTATGATGTTTTCCCTGATCTCCGTCAATATCTTCCATGAAATCATGAATTTTCTTTTCAATTATTGCAATCTCTCTTTTTATACTTGTAACTACTTTATAACTTGTACCAGTATGTTTCACTCCAGCAGATTTTTTATAATGTTAATTGTGCACCCAATTTTGATTGTAAAAAATGATGATACGCTAAACTTGCATAAAACGTGCCATCAAAAGTCTCCGATACAAAGTATCAAGCCACAGGCAGCTCGTCCAATCGATATTTCACCACCAACAGTCGCATTACCTCGCTGTCCTGACGGAAAAGTTTCACTCGTTCGCGCCCGTCGCGAGAAACGAAAAAATAAAAAAGACAACCAAAGGCAAGATTTTGAGAGACCGAAACACAACAAAGGAAAAAAAAAAGTAGAAGAATCACTGAATTTGCGCGCCAGAGGCGAGAGAATAATTCGTCACTGATTCGAATCACCAAAGCACTCCGTTGAGCCAGGCTCTGGACCCTCTACACAGCGAAAGGTGTCACGTCAAATTGCACAAGCAACAAGGGTGGGAGAACCATATCTCCACGAGTTGTGACTGTTTAGCAGAGAATAAACAAGGCATAAATAATTACAGGCTCACAGTGCCCACTTGCAAAAGTGACGATACTTCTCACTGTAAGATCGTGCATCACCGTTCCCCTAGGAAGAACAAGGCTTACAGTGGACTTCAAGAAAAAATACTCCGTTAAAAAATCGAAAAAAAGAAAAGCTCAGATCACACTCCGGGAAAAGAAAATATCAATGGAACCAGATCTCGTCGAAGCGTCTACAATTTTCTCAAAACCAAACCATCGTGGTGCACTAAATGTCTCTCCTCTATAGAAAAACTCGCGCACCTGCGGGAACCTCCCTGACCAGGAGAAGCAGCTCGACAGGGCCCACTGGGAAAACAAAGTATCACTCCGACTGCTCAACGCACCGTACCACTTGGCACACGTAACCTGTCACCTGTCACTTTTCACGGTTTACACAAACGCAGTTGTTCCTTTCCAACTCGTGGGAGGACGATCATGGCGAGCCAACCCAATTGTTCCTTGTGTAATTGGAGGAGAGCCTTAGGTGCGGAGTGCTCCGCTGCGGAGAGTCCAGATGGCGAAACAGAGTTCAGCCGATGAAAAGAAAATAAAATCAAGAAAAAGAGAGATCGTACAGAAAATGGGAGGACAAAGAGAAACAGAGAAAACTAGAGAATCAGAAGGTATGCCGCCGAGTCCCACCTCACCCCGATTCGCATGAGCCGTCGATCCAGCCAGGAACGTGTTCACAATGTTAAGTCGGGGGGCCACAGGGGACGATTCGTTCGATCTACTCACCTGAACCGGCCATTGTTTCCGCTCGGGGGTGGGGAACGCCGACTGAACATGCCGTACTCGTTGCCACGTGTGAACCCGGTGTCTCGCATGGATCCCATACCTAGAGCAGGCATAGGAGGCATTGGATCTCGGCTTGGAGGAAGTGGTGGCATTGCAAAGTCACGCCCGAGCATGGAAGTGCCCATGTCACGGGGTCCTGTCATACCCGTAAACCGCCTCTCGTAGAGGTCCCTGCTGTCCTCGAAGCCCCTCCTGTCGTAGTAGCTTTCGTACTCCTAGTGCACAAAATCAAAGGGCTTCGTTAGCGCGAGGAACGAGGCCCGACTACGACGATTGACCGCGATTTAATTTCAATACCGGCGTCACATTCTCAACCGGGAACGCCACACCAAAGGGACAGGAATACCGTGCCATCACAAAAGTTTTCCATTCAATTCTACTTTGGTTCGCGCGATAAGGCCCCGATAGGAAACTACTGCCCCCCTGTCCTCCCCTGTTGTAGCCATTGGAACAGGGATAATTCAGAGGAAAAACGAATTCAACTTTATCGTCGAAACGTCTCAATGGTATCCGTGCTTGGAGATTGGCAAGTTGTTTTCTATCAGAATATTTCAGGAATACCAAAGAGGAGGAAGAAGCGGTTCGATTTATTTATCGTTGAAACAGCCACGACTTACTCGTGTTGTACAACTCGTCGCCAAATGGATTTCTCGAGCAGGGATATTCGGAAATCGGGAAAACTGAGGGAAAGACTTTATGTTGCTCTTGGCAAACTAATCTCAAAACTTAAAGGCACTCGAGCATAGAGTCTGGGAAGTAAACGAGAACTAAAAACCATGCTGCGTCGAACGCTGCCTCCAAATTCTCCAACCGTCAGAATCACTAATCCAAGCATCAGCAACAGAAAGTGTCGAACAATTTACCAAAAGAAAAAAATCTAACCTAAAGGTCAAAAACTCAAGCGGTTGCCCTATCCGGCGATGGCTTATTCGTCTAAATAAAGTCTGAGTGAAAAGACGATTTATGTTCTTTACTGCAAAGTGTATTGTATCCTCCGTATTTATATATATATATAGATATATATTGATTCTTACAATGTTAATTACATAAGAACAATCATATGGGACCGCCTCAAAAAAGGAACCTAAGTAGTTTATTGTTATAACAAACACAGCGAGAGAGAAGATGAGAAAGAGAACGATACGAGAGAAATAGAGAGATAGAAAGAGAGACTTCACCAAAGAACGTCGACATTTATTGTTCGTTACACACTGCAAGTAGGTATCGACAGTCGATCGGCCTGTCGTCCGCAACGGCGTTCGAGTGTCCATCGACAGGCAGTCGGTCTGTCGTTAACTAGCTGACGATTGGGAGCTATCTTTCAGCGGATCCGATTAGGAAGCGACAGCCCAGATGGTTATTCTCGTTTTCCAGCTCGACGGTGGGAGACAGGGTTATCGGCAACAGTTAACAGAGGGAGTCGAGGCAGGCCGGAGCGACTCGGGGGTTGGTTTTTGGTCACACGTTCGAAAGGGGGTACGAGGCTTGGAAGGTGTTCCCGTCGATCGGTGATAACGCGTCGATAGAATATGGGATACTTACTCCGAAGCGGCCACCACCCATCAGCCTGTCCCGAAGGAAAGGTGGTGGCGGCGGCGGAGGGTACGGGTCGCGTCCGAACATTCGGTCCCTGAAGCCGTTCCTGTCGGGTCCCCCTCCCATTCCTCCCTTGGGGCATTCCTTCGACCAGTGGCCTCCTCGGCCGCATCGGTAGCACTGCTCAGGATCGCCCATCCCCGGCCTCTGTCGCACTCTGCTCGTGGAGATCTGAACCTTCATTGGTTGGCCGTCCACGATCTGTCCGTTGAGCTCCTTGATCGCGTCGTTCACGTCGCCCGTTGCCTCTAGGTGGACGAAACCGTAGTTCCTGACGATGTCGCACTCGACGACCGTTCCGTACTTCGCGAAGAGCTCGCGCACCTGCGGAGCCTTTGTATTGTCCGTCAGGTTGCCAACAAAGATCTTGGTCGTCGGAGTGTTGGGGCCTTTGCGGCTCTTTGCAGCCTCGCACTTGATTGGCTGGCCGTGCACCATGTGGCCATTCAAATTCTGAATAGCACTGCGTCCAGCTTCTTCGTTTTCCATGTGCTGGACAAGTCAAAGAACACTGTGTTAAGTTATATACAAGTTTCATTTAAGCCGCGAGTTCTTGTTTCTTTCCTTTTTTTTTTCTACTAGAAAATTTACAACAAACCAAACCTTAAGAGATCATTGCTACTCAGAAGGGATGCATATATACTTTGGAATCATACCTTACAATTGGAAGATGAATCATGGTCAATACAGATAAAATTATGAATAAATTAGAAATTATATATTTGGGGCAGGTTAGATTTTCTCCAAAAGAAAAGTCAGGGCAATACCATTAAATGGAGATGTCAAACAGTTAGGGAGAGATATATATCTATGAGATTTCAGATTGTTATAAGCACCACCAGGACACTTACCACAAAACCATAGTTTTTGACGACGTCACACTCCACCACCTTCCCATACTTTTCGAACAGCGGTTTGATGTCTGCATTTGATGTCTTATCGGCTAAATTGCCAATGAAGATCTTGAATGTGCCCACGCTACTAAAACCCGGCATTTTCAGCTCGTCTTAGAACCTGTAAAAATACACAATTCAATATTAAAATCATGCTTTACCTTTTGTAAATACATGTAAATGCCAAATAATTAGTACGATCGAAAACAATATTTTGAACGAAGCCTCAGCTTCGACCTTCTCTGAAAAATAAACATCTCCCAATCAGAAACTCAACGTTACAACTTCTGTTGGACATAATCTTAAAGAAGCACTATTAATATTAATTTCCAACCCAACAATAAAAAAAATCACTTATTAAAGAAGAATAGTCATAAATACTCATAAATACTCATAGAAATTGCCCGAATTCGCCGAGTCGTCAATCTATGACAACAAAACAGTTACTGGAATAATAGCAATAAAATTCCTGAAATTCGCAAGCGAGAAAGAGACAGAGACGCCTCCCGAGCACAATGGCGGCGGCCCAAGGACTTTCTCCGTTCTGGGCGCATGTCGAAATTTCGCCGCCAGACCGTCCAACCTATTCCCTCGATGCGAATTTCCCTCAAAAATAGTTTGTGGATCGTGCAAGGCCGTGTTTCTCGCGATTTTACAAGCAACGAAAGGGTACGAAACTCTGGAAAGTTCGAAAACCCAGAGGGACGCCGTCTCCTCCCGAGACCCGCCGCGGAGCGACGCGACCGCGCAAAACGAAGCCCGGGCTCCCGTAATTCCTCTTTTCGAATTCTTAGAGGTTAACATCGTAGTTACGGAATAATTCTGTATAAAAATCTTACCAGAATTTTAACGAAGACAGGGCGAAACCTTTCAATGCGCGGACACCGGCTCAAGCTCACCGGACAGGAAGGACGGACGTCGCGTAATGGCGTCCGTCTGGTGAGCGAGGGGAGCCGAATGGCTTCCCTTTCTCTTGGGGCCGAGCGCCGAGCGCTCCTATTGGTCGGTCTAGGCGAAACAGCCGGCCGCGCGCGAATCACGAGCCGTCGGAAATTTCCATCGAGTGGTAACACTATTCGAATGGGTTTACGAGGTCGCCTAATGCGAGTCCCCCAACAGGCCTATCGAAAGACCGTACTGTCTCTCTTGCATTCAATCCAGGCGAAGAAGTGCAACGAAGACGCGTTTGTTAGAAATATCCGCACGGTCTCTCGACTATCCTGCGCCTCACCTCCGACGTTTGACCAACGTCACGGTGGTTTGTATGAAACTTGCTGACGCGTGAAAACAAGATGGCTACCCACCTCGCTCTGGTCCGGCGTGGCGCGGATAACTCGATTTTATTCCTTATCGCATTAAATAATATCACGGCAGTTCCTTCTGATTCGATTATTAGGAATAAATTACGGATTGAGATCGTCTGATAGAATAAGGCCAACGGTAAAGTTCGGATTCAATAGGAAGTTCTACGACGCAATAACGTGCAACTAACACATGGACGCACCCTAGTGTACTTATCGACCACTTCATACGCCGTGTTACCTGTATACACATACCCATATACACGAATCATCCACTCTCCGTACACGTAGCTATATACTTGAAAGTTAATCCTTGCTTCTTGTAATAAACCGTTAAAACATGACAAAATAACTCTTTAAACTATGTAAAGTTGACTAATTCGAAAATTTAGGGCATGAATGGATCGCGCGCCAAAACATCATGCTTTCGTTTGGCATTAATAATCGTTTGATGCTCCTAATTTTAGGTTCCGTCAGTAGATCACGGGTATATTCGTTGTGACGGAAGAAAATTGAAAGTAATCGATCTGGGCGAAAAATGAATAATTCAGATACGAGTGGTCAAGGATGGGAGTAAACGCGCAATGGCGCGTCAGCTTGCCTACTCGATATTATAACCAGATTTTAACCTGAGATTTCGTCGGCGTGCTACTAGTATTCCACCATAATAAAGCCTTAACCTGTTCCCAAGACTTATGATAATAATTTTAGAAAGAATTTGTACTCACCAAGTCAGTATTTCCGTAAAACGACGCGATTCGACACGACGCGAACCGACACGTTTCCCGCGATAAAAAATGGCGGACCGAAACAGGCCGGGAGCGCGAGCGGCGTCTTCTCGACGCGAGTCACTGTGTCGCCATCTTGACAACTACGAAAACCCTAGAACTTTCCGTTGGGCCGCGACGCGGTATCGTATTAAAAAGTCTCAAAAATAAGGGGAATCCACCTGTAACTGCATAGTGATTTTCCTTAACAAGCATTGAAAAATGAATGTTCGTTAAGAAAAATTATACCTTAGGGTGAAATAAATTATTGAACTATCTAGAAGTTTATTTTATGGTGGCAGCACTGCAGCCGGCATTTCTCTGATTCCCAGAATGCAGCGCGATGTTTAGCGTATTTTCTTTTTTTCCCAGAATTCCAAAGCATACGTAGACTGTTGTTACGTTTTCCTCACGATTTTAGGTTATTCGTGGAACTATACTAGTACTCATTTTCGTTAGCGACTGCGGCTGTCGTGTGTCACGTAGTTCCTTTATGAGAAATAAATGACACGTTTTCTACATAAGACCATCCGGCAATAGGCGCGATTGTTTATCGATTTTACCTGCAGGGAACAATTCTGATTGGCTCGTTCGAGCCATGCGCAATGAGTTGGTTCCCTCGTTTTATTTTAACCTATGAATCATCGTGAAGGTTGCGGCTGGGGATAATGCGTGCTCTTGATTTTTGCATTTATAGGTTATCTCAGTGATTGAGTACTTTATGACATTAGAGGTCTTCACCGATGGTGCTTAGCGCACGTAACGAATTTATTAAAGCAAGATCGAATAAATGAAAGTTAGATAACATTAAGACAATGCGACACGTGGAAAAGATGATATCGTTTAATACTCATTAAAAATATAAATTTCATTATTTTCTCAATCGAATAGCCGTTAGGTACAATTTCGTAATAGTATAATTACAATCAGGCCTCTTAGAGAAGAGCTAGGATAATATTTAACAATAGCTCCAGAGGGAGCTTTAGGCTATAACACAACGATCTCGAGTCAACGACCGAGAGCCCAGCTTCAAGTACTTTTTACATATCGCTTCAACAATTACACCTCCTTAACGGTTCATGAAGATAATAGAAGATATGCCAAATTATTTTTTTCCGTTAAAGGATTGGCCAAAAAGGAAACAATGCCTAGTGAATAATGATAAAGATTACTCCTTGATAAACGGAATAACTTCATCAACTTACACATGCTTTTTGTCTCTGAATGAGCATTTCAAGGCTAAGGATCGACTGGCGATTGTTAAAGGATCCCAATAAAATGAAAGCCTTATTTGATTCAAGCATTACAAGCACCTGGAAACACTATTTGAAATTTGAAATCATCCTGCCACGCTTCAAGGTTTTATCTTCTAGAATATAACTTCATTCCTTGGTCAGCCCTAAGTAGTAGCCTTTTTGTAATATATTTAACAAAAGTTCTTTACAATACAACGAGGTGAGGCAACCCAATGAGACATTTTTATTGCGACTACATGATAAATAATTTAATTACTTTCCCAAGATAAGTGTAATTAAATTAAATTTCATTTCTGGTTGTTTCACGAAATCGCCTCAACACCCGAGCTTAAAAAAGAAAAGAAAAGAAAAAAAAGAAAAACAAAAATTATTCGATTCGCAGTGATTCTCTCGATCATTCACTCACCGGACACACACAAGCATCATTCGTACTCATTTACAAATTTCAGTACTCAGTCTTCGGGCTGCAGTCTGCGATTAAGTCTATGTACACCGGAGAGGGGCGAGTATTTACAAGGGTGGGATACATTACGTCCAACCAGGAGTTTTTGAAACAAAAATTAACGATTCTCGGACTTCTCTTCGAGCACTACACGATCTTGATGGCATTGTCAATGTGTAATTTCGACATAGTCTTCTTTACTCGAAGAGCTGTCAAGCGGACTGCAGGATTTCCGTGCCAGCACTCCGTCATGAGCTTACTGAGAGCAAAGAGTACCTGTAAGAAAAAGCATAGAATAATTACTAAGGCAAGTACAAAATGGAAAAAGAAATTAAATCCTGATATTGACTGATTGTTGAAACTTGTCAGATGGGAAGATTCATTAACATTGTATAGAAAAAATCTTTGCCAGTAACGAATGGTTGTGATGTTTTAATTATCATTTTAAATTTCATGAAAGAACTTACTGGATCGTTCTCCCATCTCGCAGGCACGATCGGCCGCAACCTCTTTACGCAGACTGCCAAGCGCATGTCTTCAAAGTCTGGATCACTGGGCACTGCATCGTGGTACGGAAGGGCATAAGGTTCTGCAGTGCTAACCTTTCCACCAGTGACGCACCTCCTGCAGACTTCCCAGAGTACCAAACCAACGGAGTACATATCTGCCATTTTAAAGGAATCAAACGAGGAGGTGTTCAGGGTTTCATCTAATACCTCCGGTGCCATGTATCGGCGTGTCCCAACTCGTGTATTCGGTGCTATATCTATTTCTCCGCTTTCACTGTGAACAAAACAATGACATTATTACCTTATAATTATAAGTCATAAATTTAAGAGGAAAATCAAATAAATTAATGTATACCATACCTTATGAAGCGTACGGCAAGACCAAAATCAGCAATTGCACATTCTCCGTTCCTCTTCACCAGAATATTCCTGCTCTTGATGTCCCGATGAGCAATCGCGGGTTTGCCCCGAGTTCCAAAGATCTCAGTGTGCAGGTGCGCAACACCAGAAGCAATTGAGGAACAAATGGCCAGAAGTGCAGGATGATCTAGTACAGTGGTCTGCAAGTAATCATGTAGAGATCCCCTTTCATGGTAGTCCGTAATGAGGAGCATTTGAGTCCAGGAACCAGTGCCCTTAATATCCGCAGCAATAAAGCCCAAGATATTGTCATGCCTCATGAGAACGGTTTGGTAGATCTCGGTCTCCCGGAACCATGAGGCCTCTTCAAGAGTGAAGAATACTTTGACGGCAACCTTCTCTCCTCTCCACCTGGCAAGCCAGACTTCTCCATACCGACCCCTGCCTACACACTGAGATAGAGCAAGCTGCTTGGCAATGGTGCGCTGTACAAGAAGTGGCAATCCAGAGCCCGAGCCACTGCTTTGATCGATCAAATCTTTCAGTGTACCCTGTGAAGGTACGAGACAAGGGCCTCTCTCTTTTCTGCGGTATCGATGATACACAACCACTGTGGCGATCGAGAAGACCGTCAAACATACTGATAGCGAAGCTGCCAAGACAATCAATGGTGCTCCAGAAGCTATCGCTATGGGATCCGGCGGTACCGTAGGACGAGGCTTGTACATTGGAAATATATCCTTGTTACAAAGAGCCGTGTCATTGCAGCATATTATGTTCTTGCCCTGAAGATGAGGTACCAGGTAACCTTTACACTGCATGAAGCCCTGCTCGTCGGGGGGTAAACAGCCAAAAGAGAATTCTGGTATGTACTCCCCAGCCTCTGCGTCCCAGACTTCCTCGACTGCGCTGAAGCAATGACCTCCGGGTCTTCCCTCACAGGTCCCATTTTGGCGATCGTCCGGACAGTGGCCTTCGCAATAACAAGTGATGCCCAGAGCTGCAACAGAGATCACAATCTCAATTTTTCATCCCAGAAGTTCTATCTAGGTTATGTTACATTGCCATCTAGGTTAAGTCTCTTTCAAGGGGCGGGAAACAAATCTATTAGTCCCCATTTTTACAACTCAGTATTGTGCACAACTATTAAAAGATTTCTTGTAGGTCAGTAATAACCTGCACGATAAATATTTGAAAACATTCCAGATCCGTATCTCGAGTTGTCGTCAAAAAGCGCAGCCACTTCGACAGGTTCCCGAGCAGGGGGAGGAGCTTTATCAAATTCCGCTTTCACCGGTCGCGGCGGATGCGGAATCGCGGCAGGTTACCCTAATGGATTTGCGAATGGACCCGATTAAAATCCCGATTACACGCGTTGTGCAACAATGACCGCGTCATTGAGCCTCCGTAAAAGGAGATGATTCTTGCCGAGCTACGTGGGAATGGGGTTCCCCGTATCGTCCAATGACTGCGTCAATCGTATTCCACTGATTCGTCATCCTGTAGTACGTAAAAAGGAAAAATCCTCTACATTCATCTCCAACCAGCGACATAAACTCAGGGTCTTAATTCTCCTGCTTCACAACGGAGTAAACTGCCTCTTGCATCTGTTCTTTTCTTAAATAAAACGTGACGAGGGGAGGAAAAAGAGATTCCTTGAAGGTTCTTTTTCTCCAGGTCTTGTTAAAACGTTCGCCAGTTTGCCAGACCAGATCCGTCAACGTAAGAGAGTGGCGAACGACCTTTCGAGACCAGATCTTACGAAGCACCTATACGCAGAGACAGAGTGGGTGGACAAGACCTGCGTCCCACGACAAATCGCAAGAACAAGGTGCGCCGATCGTCCTGAAATCTTGGGATCGGTGACCGTCGCTTCCGGTGTCGGATGACCCGAAAAAAGGAAGTGGAATTAAATAGAAACCACCACAATCAGGATCGAGCCGCACCGTTTCCTCTTTCGATTAATTTACCTACTACATATACATTTAGGAGAAGAATGATGGCCCATAGAGAGGACAAAACTTCCTGTTCTTGGTGTTACGTAATATTTCATTCCAAGAACATCCGTTCACGCGTCGACTGCATGCGTGGTATACCAGCAATAACCCTATAATCTAGAGAAAAAGCTCGACTGAGTTTCGCGCCAAATCCATTTAGCACGTGCGCGCTCAACCGAGTCTCTATACTCGCGGGAAGGAAATCCTGTACACCGTACAACGTAAATCTCGATTTTGACCGTGACACGATGATTCTACCGTAAACCATTTAGTATATTTAGTATGCAAGTGCTTTATGGTGAGTCTAGGAGCGCATCAACGTCTATCCGAACGTCTCAACGTGCAAAAATGCGAGATGCAACTCAAGTCGACGATACGTTACCGCAATCGCAGTTAGAGGCGCACGTACAGAGAAGAGAGATCAGAAGCAGGGTGCACACGCTCCGGGCGCGTTATCTGTTCTGCCACACATATTACTCCCTCGCTTCTATTTTACGATGACCGCACTATTTATAACCACCGAATATCTGAGTGATGGATCTACGGTACCATCTCGCGGTTCTTGCCAGTTCCAAAGCATCTCGCATCTCTAGCCGAGCTTTAACAGGGCCGGAATGACCAGCTCTCCCAAGAATGCGGGGAAAACGAAGGAAACGATTTCCGCGAATCTTCCTAGTCTCTTTTTAACCGACAGACAGGCCTTGAGTCGAACCGGCAAGGTCCCCCGTAATGCTTGGTAATTATCCCCGTAGGAAATAAAAATTGACCGGTTCAGACAAGACCTCGTTTCGCCCGGGAGGAGAGGAAAAGAAAGAATGAAAAATCGGAAGACCAAGGGGCTTCCGTAATTCCGGGGAGGGGTTAATTTTTCCTTTATTCCTTCGTTCCGCCCGCCGAGAGATTCGGCGACGATAAGGCCGCGTTGAGGTAGGGCGGAGAATAAAATAACGTTTTGGATTATGACCCGCGTGTTGAGCAAGTACAAAAGGCGCTTGTACGAGGTCCGTAGTTTTCCGCCGATAATCGGCCTCGGGCCGAGACTTTAATCGGCAACATCGGGACTGGACGTGTGATGAAATCTACGGTCGCCGAAGATCAGGCCAAACACCGTCGGTAAAAATCCCATATCCCCGGCAGTCTGACGCCAACTGACCGAAAACCCGCGTGAAACCCGCGATCAAACGACGCAGTATCTGTTCTCGCCGATATGGATAGTGCGACTAATCACTGGGAGGGATTTCAGACAAGACCGAGTGCTATCTCGCCGCGGAATAGGAGAATTACGACACGTTCCGAGGGAATTATCGCGTTATTTATGTTTATCCCGCCCCTGTATTTATATTTATACTTATCGCGGCCACGAGTGGCCCGAACGGGGCCTAAGGCTCTGGTTGAGGGCCACTGGCTCTGCTCCGAAGTGACGCGCGGAACTCGCCACGTGATTGGCCACGTTCCACCTCGATTATTTCGCGAATCCCAATTCCCACGAAATTTTGTAAAACGGATTTTTGATTCACTTTTTCACAAGGTGTATACTGGAAATGAGAATTTCAATAATGGAGCAACGCGTTGGGTCCAGTTTGCGACTTTTTCTGCATCGCGCGCGGTTCAGCGAAAAGTTAGTCGAAAGGAGCGCTAAGTAAAGTTGGACCGATGCCTTCGAAATCGGGCCTACCAATGTGAAATAGGAGAATCACGATGGAGACGATCAAAAGTCGGAGAAGGACCGGCTTATCGAGGCCGGAGGGGCCGATTTCTTCGGGATATCCAGTCTCGGGGCTCTTTTGCCGAGTGGCGAACGCGCGGCGCCATAATCTGTGCTCCAATCGGCTTCGTCGGTGATCTTCCAAAAGAGGAGTGAAAGAGCACCTGTTCCCTTTCGGATTGCCGAAAGTGGCGGCGAGAGGGAAAATCTCTCCCTTTAACGGCAAGAACGTTCCGGATTACGTCACGCTCGCGAGTACCACCATTATCCGGAGATGTGATCGATCTCCGCAATAGTGCGCGCATTCCCCAGGGGCTAATTTCTCGGAACGCCGCTCGATCTTACGATTAATTATGGAAATATTATTTGATTAGATGAAATATAAAATCGTGTAGATTTTTACACACATACTATTTCGAAGGAAGACATCAGTTTTGGAACAATGTACATGCATGACGCAGAGCAGTATATACTATAACGATTGGCAACATATCTGACATATTATCAGGTTTTTAATAAGATGAATGTATCAACGTATTTGGCAAAAACAGTTGATTTCCATTTTTTATAAAGAAACAACGATTCGAACTATTTTTGTAATTGAAAATGGAAACAAGAATGTATTTGGCAAAGTTTTTTTTACACCTTAGGTGTTCTTGATTACGAAAACCGGACGACGGACAAAAGATTTCGAGGTTAGGTTGGCTCGAGCCTCCATCGGTCCCGGCAACGCCGGCAACTCCGCGGCGACATTTGCGGGGCATTTCTCAGGGAGACGCGGTCCTTTTTCCCCGTCTCGAAGGAACTCTCGGTGCAGAATGCCGCGCCCCTCCGAAATAAATCGCGCGCGACGACGAAAGGCAGCCCAACCTTCGGGACAACTTTGCGCAGACGGAGGAAGAGGGAGACATGCAGACGCGAAGTTGACCTAACCTGAAGGGACCAAGCCGCGCGTGTACCGCTAATGGTGCTCGCGAGTGCACTTACTTTTCTCATTAAGCAGGGACCCATCTCGTGCGACAAATCCGCGAGCAAATTGCGATACCCCTCACGTACAAAAATATTTGCTCGAATCGATACAATTCTTGTTGCTTCAACCTTAGAACATGGTTATACGGACAACCAAATATTTGGTTGACGCGATAAATTTCTTTGGATGATAACTGTTGGTTGGCTGCATCAAATATTGTGGTAGCGCACTCCAGATATGAAAGAGATTCGGTACGTTTAATCGAAATATCTTCACTATCGATTAAAATATCTTATACGATTAGCGAAACGATTTAACCAAGGCACTTTGGTTGATCCAAGAAAACGGGTTCGGTCAAGTAAACCACATTCGATTCACTCAACCATAACGTTTCCTGAAATTAACCAAGTGCAGTCTATGAAAGGATTTTGCTCAGTGAAGCAATTTTTCATTATGCGTGCTCTTTCGATATTTTTTTCATCAAATACTCTTTTCTCCACTATTCACATAATAATCAGATTTATACAATAGTGTATATACAACCATAGGATTGTACCAACAAAAATCGTATCAATTGAACCGAACATTTTTTTTTGCGGAAAACAGTAGGCTCTAGTATTAATAAAAAATTGTGGAAAACATCATTGTGGGGTCCAAAAAGGGAAATGAAATTAATCTTCCGGCTTCGATCTCGTCTATCCGAGGGCCCAATCGGTACCATGGTGTACCGATGGCAGCAAAGTGGTCCGAGATACCGAGCGCCAATAAAAGTGACATTATGGGAGTACAATATGGAAAACGCTCAAATCGAGTACACTCTCTTGACTAATAATCTCGACGGATTGAAAAATATAAGTGAAATTAATCTTTCGACTGCGATCTCGACGGTCTCACGGTCCCATCGGTGCCATGATGTACCGATGGCAGCAAAGTGGTCCGAGATACCGAGCGCCAATAAAAGTGACGCCACGCGAGTACAATGCCGGACACGCGCAAAGGCCACCTCGCGCTCGCGCGATTAATCGCCCTCGCCGTTTCTGCCGATCGCGAGGGAGTGTTTCTTCGGTGAAACCTCGCCAAGTCCGATGAAGATTTGTGATATATACCCGCGAGCCGATGACAATGCAACGCGTCGGGGGCAATTAGCGCGTGCCGGAGGATCTCAAGATCCGATGCGCCGTGACGATCGGTGAAATACGCCGTCGAGGCCGCTCGACGGCATTATTTGCAATTACTCTTGTACAGTCTTATTCACGATCTCGTGGGGTATATTCAACCACAGTCTGCTGCAAACGTAAGGTAATCTTCATTCGCGATTTAATTTAAGGAGTAAATCAGCGCATTGGCAATATGGCGTCGTAGCGTCGAAGAGATCGAGAGCGTCGACGAGGCGCACTTATTGTTTTACTGGTAATGCCCGGTAATAATTGACGTTCAATTGTCGATCCGTCTCGTCTCGTCGAGGGAGTTGCGATGAATCGTGACAACGAGCGGTTCAATGTCAAAAGGGAAATGGAAGAGGACACGCCTTCGCTCCCCGGCATGCGATAAACGGTTTACGAGGGCTCATCGGTGCGCGCTATTTTTATTCAATCGCCGATCCTCGAAACGACCCTTAAAGGCAAACGTCGGTTTATCGTAACGTGACGTGACATACGCTTCATCCCCAAACCAAGTCTCTCCGAAGAAGAATTAGCAGCTTCGCCGCAGAGACTTCAACGCGTGTAGCTCTTTAGGGTCGACTTCGACAAATTGTTCTATAAACTAGTTGCGCATATCTAAACCTATATCTCATTGCGCTTTCTGAAAAGTCCTGCGGCACTAACGACACAATTTAAAAAATTATTCTTACTAATTAATACTGCAGGCGATAATATATTCCCCATTTCTATTCATGATTGTATATGCCCACCTACGGAACAGCTTTTCGATGCCTTTCATTTAGTGTTCCTCGGATTTCAGAAAATAAACTATAAAATGCTGCAGAACTTTTAGCCAATCCAACAGCTCGTCAAACGATACAATAACATACACTATCGTCTTCGTATTTTTGGATGTACTCATTGGACCAATACCATGTACTAGGATATCCCATAAGTAACATGGCTTCCTTATTTGATTTGATACGAAAATCTGAATTACTTATGGGATGGACAAATACGTTCTAAATCTTACCGAATAATGATTGTACGTTCAAAATTGAGGGAGAAAATCGAGAACCATTTAGGGATGGAGGTAACGTTCTTCGAGGAAGCAAAGAGAGGAACCGATATCCCCTTGTTGGTATTCGAGGCGCCTCTGCGACTCTGGCGAGCACCTCTGATTAATTAACCCCGCAAGAAACCAGACCTGGTTAAGGATCGAAAAGTACACCAGTCGCCGTCGAGGCGGGATATCCCGTGGGATCGGCAGGCTCACGGATCGGAAAGAAACTCGCTTTAACCAAAAGTGACACCATCGAGAGCAAGGAGCGAGTAAACTCGAAACCGGACCGAGGGAAACGGTGGCTGCAAGGCTGCAACTGCCCGACATTGAAACTACACGTTTCCTGGAGTTTTGCGTTGGCATCAAACCATGGGGGGGCTCTATAAAGAAACGGCGAGTCAGCGTACTCTTAGAAGTGCACGCGAAGAAAAAATAATCACGGCTTTTA